CTATTTAACCTAGCCACCTAATTAACCTGGCTACATTTTTAACCTTTATATATATATAAAAAAAATCCCTTATTTCTTTATTAATAATTATAAAAACCCTTTATAAAAAAAGCAACCTATAGCTTATACTTTAAACTATTAAACGAAATTCAAAATTATTTATAATATTCCTTATATAATACTTACCCTTCGAATAAAATGTTTTAAACTAATAAGTAAAATACTACTTTTAAAAGCTCAATTAATTCCGGATAAAGAAAAATCAATTATATAATATATCCTTAATCTTATAATAAAATTATTTCTGCCTTTATATAGTTATATAAAAGATATAGCTAATTAATTAATAGTATTATAAGGTTAAAAGCTAATTAAAAAGAATTAAATATTAAACTTTATATAATAAACTTTAAATATTTAAATATATTTTAATTAAAAAATTAATTACTAATAGGTATTAAATAAAAATCCAATTAAATATTACATTTAGTTTATCCTTATATGAAAAATAATAAATAAAAATAGCATTTAAAAAAAAATTTATAACTTTAATAAAATTAGGTTTATAATAAATAAAATTATATTTAAAATAATTATAACTTTAATTAAATATAAACCCTTAAAAGAGCGAACTTCTTTAGAAGAGCGAACTTATGCACTTTTTTAAAAGTTGGGAAGTGCTTAAATAGGGAGTTAAACTTGGGCAAGTAACAGTATAGCCGGTGGACAGCGTAAGGTTCCTAGGGGTATAGTTAAATAGGAACCTTAAGTGGAAACGATACTTAGTTAAACTTAAAAAGAAGTTAAATATCTAGGCGTACGTAATAACTAAGCTATAAAACTTAATATAGGGTAATAGCGTAGCAAAAGTTAGATAGGTATATTCTGCAATAGTATAGAATACCCTGGTATATAGGGCGGTTATATAGTATAAATAACCTAAAGGAAATAAACTAAAAGGTATAGCTAGCTCCCTTAAAAGTATTTAAAATGCTTATATTAAACGCGTTATAAAGGCCTTTAAAGCTATACTAATGCGTTAATTAAAAACGGAATTAGATATACCCCCTATCGACCTATATTTAAATAGTAGGGCAGCAACGGGCAAAAGCCGATTAAAAAATTTAATATATTATAAGGTATTAATAAAGGCTACAATAAAGGTCGACCAACTTATACAAGCGTTTTAGAAAAGGCGGGCCGGAAGGTAGACCAGGGGGAGACCTATAGGTAATATAGGGAACCAGCTACGAAGTAACTTAACTATGAACCCGAACTATTAGTAAAACGAATAAGTAAAGGGGAAAAAACCAAACGATACCCTAATTAAAAAGTAGAAAGAAAAATAAAGCTATACCAAAATAGGATATAGTTATTTTATAATAGTAAAGTAAAAGCCTAAGGGGAAAAAAGCGCTATAAAAGTTTTATAGATTTTTAAAGCATAAAATAGCCCTAATAATATAAATATAAACGAGAAAGATAGGACTTAAAGCCTTCCTATATAAAAGAAGGGTTTTAAAGTTCTTAACCCCCCTTTATATATATATAAAAGGGAAGAAATTTTACAATATATAATCCTATAATATAGGTTATTAAAAAATAAAAGGAAAACCTTAATTAAGGAATTAATTAAAATATAGCTACGGATTAATAGGAACCTATAAATAATAATGGAAAACCTAATAAAAATAAAAGCAATTATAAAGTAGCTATTAAACATTAAAAGGATAACTATATATAATAAAGCTAAAGGGATTATGGGGAATAAAAAAGGGGGAATATAAAGAAAAAAGAACTTAAATAAAAAGGCTAAAAGGACCTCCTTAAAAGTCCTTAAGGAAAAAAAGGAAGCCTTCCTTTCCTTTTTAAATAATTAAGAAATATAAAGAAAATAAAAGAATTTAAGCTTATTTATTTTCCTATCCTTATTATATAATTGGATAATATATATTAATTTATATAGGGTTAAAAAGTAATAAAGTAATAGTTATAGGTTATATAGGGTTTTTATCCAACTATTATACAGTTTTACTTATAGCTATATAAGTAAAAGGATTATATTATATAGGTAATATAGTAGGTATATAATAATAATAATAATAATTAAATATAAATAAAAACTATAAACTATTTAACTAGGTAATTTAAAATAATTTATAATTATTTAAGCAATTTTATTATATAGTTAAATTATTTTATTATATATTATTTTAATGGGGAAAAACTACCTTATACCTTAATATAAAAATAATAATATATTAAACAATTAAAAAATTACAATTATAAAAAATAGTTAAATAATAAACAAATAAGCTATAAATTAAATTAAGTATTTTAATAAATATATAAAGCTTTATATAAAAGGATATTATTACTTTCTTTTCTTTAATAGCTATAAAAGCTATTATTTATATAAATTTAAATTATATTATAAAAAAAACAATATTATTACCCTTTATATACCTTCCTATTCCTTTTATTACCTTTAACTATTTAATATTAAAATATTTAGCCCTTTAAAATAATTATTTAAAAAATAAATCAAAAGCTTTATATAAGTATATATTACCTATATTTAAAAGGAAGATTTTATAATTATATTTTTCTATGTATTTAATAAAGCAATTATTCCAAATAATATATAAAGGGGATTTAAAGGAATAAATTTAATACCGTATAATCCAAATTATATTATTAACCAATTAAATTATCCAATTATACCTTAAGTTAACCCTTTATCCTTAATACCACTTAATCTTTATATAATTATAACTTTAAATAACTTAATTAAAGTTAATTCCCTTTTTAAATATATTAAATAAAGGATTATATAATATTAAAATAGCTTTCCTATATTTATTATTAAAAGGTTAAGTTAAATTATATATAATATAATTAATATTATATATCGTTTTATATTATTAAAAAGGGAAGTTAAAAGCTTTTATAAAGCAAATTATAAATTTAATAAATGTTATTATATAAAAAGAATTAGATTATAAAGTGGAAGATCTTTTACTATTAAAAATATTAAGGATTAAATAAAAGTATAGGGTATTTTTAAAGTAGAAAATCGCATCGTATATTAAGGTAATTATTGTATAAAAAGGAAAGAAACTTACGCCTAGCATTATAAAGCTTATAATAAACTTAACTATAATATATAAAGTTATAAAAATATTATAAAAATATTTAACGATTTAAATTTAAATTAATTTAAATTAATTATACGAATAGTTATTAAGATATTTTTAAATGCATATATGAAGGTTAAAAATGTAGCTAGGTTAATTAGGTAGCTAGGTTAAGTAGGAAATGCATTAATTTAATATATTTATTAAAATATTTAATTTATTTTAAATTAAGTTTATTATTAATTTAGCTATTTTTTAAAATTATAATATATTAATTAAATAATATAAAGCTAACTATTATAATATTAAAATATTAAATAAGTTTTTCTTTATAAAATAAAAAAAGGTAATATTATTTAATTATAAAAATTAATTAAATTTATTTAAGTTTATTTTACCTTTTAATATTTATTATAATTATATTAATTATAATTATAATGCATCTCCCACTTGACCTGGCCACCCAATTAACCTGGCCACCCTAATAACCTATATAAAACCCCATTATTTCAATCTTTAATAACTTTATGAATACTAACTGTACAATTTGATAATTAGTACCTTTAAATCCGTTAGTTAAAGGGAAATCCAGAGGTATTTTTTACTATTTTTTATAAAATTTATTAAGCGAGATATTAAGCAATACGTTAAAGGAACGCTAAGTAAGGATTAATTTAACGTTTACTTTAGCGTATTGCTTAATAATTCCGCAAATATAAGTCGTAAAAGTTAGTAAAGGGTATCATTAAATAGCTCTTTTTATTACGAATCTAATGGTATATTTTATTATTTTATACGACTAGTATTTGTAGAGTTATTAAATTATCACGTGATTAATGCACCGACGTTATTTATATGGGCTGGGGGGGTGGCCAGCTCAATTGGGTGGCCAGGTTAAGTGGGAGATGCGTTAATAGAAAAAAGAAATATATAAACTATAATAAAGCTTATATAGCTTAAAATAGGAAATATAAAAGGGAAGTAAAAAAGAAAAATAAGGTAAAAGTAATATATGCTTTATAACTTAAAAGCTCTTAAAATAAAAAGGAAATAAAAGTTATAAATAGAAAAGTAACCGGCCTTAAAGCTCCCTAGTCCAAGAGAATCGGTATTATGTTTTAAAGGTGCACTGAGTGCTAAACTCCGCCTCAAATTAGAGAAGGGTAGAATATATTCTTCATTCGTACTCAGATCCTGGGCGGTTGCTATAATGGCGACCTAAATCCATGACTAGTCACGGTTTCTGGACAGCTGAAGACGCGCTACCGAGCCAACCAACAAGCATATGAATATGCAGATAAAGTTTGCGCTGACTGCTGTCATTGACAGCCAAAGCAAACATGTTCATATGACCGGCTCGTTTGTGACTCTTGTGGAAAACGGCGTAGAAATTTCAGTGCAAGCTGTCCCGGAATAGTCGCAATAGTCTCTCATGGCTCTTGAGGGGACAAAGCATTAAGATTGTGCCTAATGTATACCATTTCACCGCGTAATCGATGCAATAGCCCTCTTAGTTACTCGCCTACATTATCTAAATATCCTATAGCCGAGTATTGGTGGTTGCTATCCATCACGAAAAGGATATAAGCCCTAGGTAAAGAAAATGGGGAAGCGTTACGCATTCCTTCTTCCCCTCGATCTTGCGATCTTTCTATTTTAACCCCGTAGGCCGCATTTTAGAAGATTTCAATTGTCTTGATCCTAGTGTTCAGCATGAGTGGGGCTCGAGAGGTTACCACGCACATCGTCAATCGTAAACCGCAACACCCCACGTGCTCATATGGAGACCATTGGCGAATGGGATGAAGCCGCTATCCAACGTGCTCGACAAGGCCAATTGCTTACCAGGCTTGTCTGGGGTGCCGGTTGGTTGGAACGTCCAGATAGTGGGGGCAATATTACATGGCGCATGCGGCCTACCTTCTGGGAAGAGACATGTCGCATCGTATCCTCGTCAGCATCGATTGATGAAGCTGTGACGGGCGCGACGGCGCACGTGCTGCTCGTTAGGATGGAACTAGGTATCTATGGCTTGCAGCATGTGGTTCATCATCAAAAACCCGCCGCTGCGCAAGGGCAATACCACCTGCGTTTCCATGTCTGCCTCAATTAGCTTCTGCTTGTTTATTTTGCATGCATTATAACTACCTTTACCATGGCTGCTCGTGCTTTGCTATGGGCGACCTTTGCTGCCTCTACGCCCGGGTCTGTGATCGGCAAGCGAACTGCGAGCGTAAACAGTACAACGTGTAACGGCGCCAAGTACTCATATGACGAGCTTGCCGGCTATGGGTTCGTACCTTCAAATGCCATCGACAAGCTGGGTGATACCCTAGGTGGACTAGGCTCCTCCCTGCATCTTGACCAGGGCGCATGGAGGAAGCACTGCAATGGGTCTTACTCGGGTATCCTATGGTCGCTTCCTGACAGAGGCTGGTGGGTTGGAGAAGCATTGCCAACCGCCTGTCATTATCGCGTTAACGTGGAAATAGGAATACCGAAGGCACCTTGAACTACAACCCGCGTGTTCATAAATTTCAGATACTCTTTACACCCAGGCACAATGCGACTGTTTCACAACCGTCAGCGCCAAACCTAGAATTCTTCTATTTAGATACCATTACTTTCTCCGGACCGGATGGCACTCCTGCTACTGGCTTGGACGGTGACGCAATCGGACATCTCTCCTATCCTGGCTTCCCTGACCTGCCTGTTGCTACATATGAGGGCGACGGTTTTGGCGGCGAAGGGCCCGGGGGCAAAAGAATTCCATTGGATCCAGAAGGCCTTTAGTAAGTCATGGCAGGATTCGCGCATCCAAGAGTGCCATACTTCTCTCTTCATTTTCCTGTCTGCATTTCGCAATGTGTTAACCTTGTTGGAGAGAGAACACCCGAGAAAAATCTGCTAATCATCGTAGTGTAAACGACGACGGGTCATTCTGGGTTTCTGACGAGTACGGGCCATATATCTGTCAGTCCAACAGTCTCTTGGATACCGAAAGTGTCTCTCACCATGAACCATTACAGATCTTTTCAGCTCCATGGGGACCATGCTCACCGCGATTCGGCCACCTGAATCAATAATACCAAAGCGAAATGGCACCGACTCTTTCTCCGCGAACAGTCCCCCGCGGTACCTCGGTGACGACGGTGATGATGTCAGCCCGGAAGATCCCGATACCGGCCGTGACAACAATCACGGTGCGCTCTATCTTAGAAGAGCTCAGGTCACGTAAAGAGCCTTGCTAAACATGCTATTAGGATTCGAGGGCCTTACTGTTTCCGCTGATGGCAAATCGTTATATGTGCTGCTACAAGCCGCAACTGTCCAAGAAGGAGTACGCATAATTTCATCGCCGAATTCCCGATTATAGATGATCCTCGGACCAACTAACCTATTCCCTGAAAGGGTCTGGAGAAGCAAACACAGCGACCTACGCGTTTCCTCAAGTATGACGTTAGCGACAAGCTAGCTCCCGTCTATGTAGGCGAGTGGACTGTGCCTCTTCCCTCTTACGTCGACCCCACGGCATCTCCAAAGAAGAATCCCAAGGTGGCCGCCCAATCTGAAATCCTCGCTCTTGAGAATGGTCAGTTCTTCGTGCTCTCTCGTGACTCCGGTGCAGGCAATGGTCAAGATGTCACCAAATCTGTATATCGCCAGATCGACGTCTTCGATATTTCGGATGCCACGGATATCAAGGCTGCGGGTGGCTATGACTGCGCCGACGTAGAGTGTGCTGTTGCAGATGCCGACACGGGCGTTTTGAAGACCGGCATCACAGCTGCGAAGTACTGCGGCTTCTTGGACTTCAACGTCAACGCGCAGCTTAATCGCTTCAATGTGCACAACGGTGGAAATGCCGATCCTGGTTTGCTGGTGGGTTACTTCTTTCCCCCCAATCTACAAATTAAGACGTAGAGGTGTGACTGACGAGGAGTCAAGAACGAGAAGTGGGAGTCGTTGGGTTTGGTCCCTGTCAATCCGAAGAAACCTAATGGCGAGTATTTCGTCTTCAGCCTGAGTGATAACGACTTTATTACCCAGTATGGATACATGAACGGTGGCGAATTGCCGTATGCTGACGAGAGCGGATATAACCTCGATAGCCAGGCTTTGGTCTTCAAAATCACTATTTCATAGCTGGTGGCACCATAAAATGGCGGTTCGCATCTATATACATGTTCTGTGAAGCTAATCTATGTAATCAAAACCGGCGCCTATGGGCAATATGGATTACGGAATAATAAAACCCAATCTTTACTCCTCGCTTGACTTCTTCGCTGAGTCTACGCTACCTTCAATGGCATGTCAAAGGCAGCCCTAGACCCTATTGACGCCTTAAGCTTGGGTGACTTTTGTGTATTGGCAGTTCACCTAGTTTATGACTATACGCATCCACACACGTTTCACAAGTTTAGGCCCCACTTCGTAGATTGATGCTTACAACTGGCAATAACTGACATGGTGTACGGAGATCGAGGTCGTATATGTCAATCACCCTAAGTATTGGCCTACCGTGCCAAGCCTGATGTATATTTACGACCCGAACCTACCTATTAACTGTAACTAATTTCCCATTCCTACATTGGGTTACCCATTCGTTGGGATCTGAGGGCAAGAGTGAAATGTCACTTCAGACTTATATGGGGATAACGAATTACTCAAAATCGAGGACCGGGCGGCGCCTATGGCGTTATGCGTCTCTCTCTGGTTGGAGTAACGTTGGCCTATAAATAATGCGTCTCGCAGCAGCTTCCCTTACTACTTATGCCTATCTTTTGTCATTCCTACCAGCGCCAGCTGCGAAGGTAGTGATGTAGAGAAACATTACACGCGTTCAGTCGCTAGTGGTGGGATATTGCTCCAGAGTATGCGGTAAACACTTGAGGTGGGCAACCATGATCAGCATAGGTTAAATGTTGGCCGATTGATATTGCTTTTCGACCACAGCATACGGGATTTGGTTTTAAAGTCGATAGACAACGTCGTGTTAACCTTGGTCCCAGCACCACACGGTAGAGTCGTGTGTACCTGGATCGTGCCACAAGAGGGATCCTTCACGATCCTGCGTCCTATAAGAGGCACAGACGGAATACCTACTGTATTTACTTTCATATGTGAGTAATCACGCAGGTACCTGCGGCACAGACTTGCTACTTGCCGTAAGTATAGATAGTATACTTTGTGTGAAGTCCGTCCCTTTTGCTGGTGTCCTAGCGCGAGAGGTTAGCTACGTCGTCTGTGCGTTACCGACGTCATCCCGTATTTCTTTTGTCTCGGTCAATGCTACATGCTGTAAATGGCTAGACGGGCCAGGGTCCATGAATCTGAAACTTGGAATTTGAAGCTGCCCAATGTGGAGCGGAGCAGTAGTCTAAGTACCTGGGTAATCGATCTCTTCAGAGATGCGGGGTTTGAATACCGGTACAGGCCGGTAGATGGGGATTTGCCCAGTTCATAGGAATTTCTTTTGGTTCCATGTATGTAGCTGTGGGATTCTGCCTGGGTTCGTTTGGGCTTTTGGATTTCCAGTCAGTCGAGATAGGGAACTTGCCAAAATACTACCTGCACGTTTGCGCCACCAACCAAACAGTCACGAAACACTCGAGCCCAATCGATAGGGTATACCCAGGCAGATAGATAGATTGTCATTCCCAGTACAACGGACGAGTGCCGTCATGTTGCCGTACTTACTTAGTCTAGGCTTAAGTACTGTAAGAATACCACCTCTAGATAGCGAGGATTCGGATTGTAGACGCCGGTCATATGAGTACAGTGTTTGGAATATATATGCACAGTATACGATACACCAGCCTCTAGCCTCCAGCCTCCAGTGCAGTGTACTGCAGATGCCAGATGGTTACATGGTAGGAAGTGATGGCATGAGTCGCACTGTGTCGCGATGTTGCCAAGCCACCCCGCCAGCTAACCACAAGTACCCAGGCTCCCCGGCCCCTCTGTCGTCATCACATGGAGCACAGGAGACCGGCACACTTGAGACAGACATTCGTTGGGCGCTGTGCCAGTTCGCTCTCGGAGTCTTGTCTTGACCCAACATGAATCCATCCACCCTCGCCGCTTATCTATCCTGACCAGCCAACATCCAACTCTATCTTTGGATCTTGGGCTCCCATCTACTTTGCTTCCCTCCTTTCTCTCCCAAAGCAAACCATCTCTCCATTCGAAATCGTTCCATCTCTCCTACCTGCCCCGTGCCTGGTGTCCCCGTGCCTGGTGTCCGCCCTCTGTCATCGTGCTATCTTGTACGCATATCCTCGCTTCTTGCATTGGCCCTGTGCGATATTGCACAAACCCGCCTGCAATGGCCACTGCCTATCGGAGAGCCGACGACGACGATCTGGCCTATGGCGAGCGATGGGACCATGATCGCTTGGCCTACGAGAGAGACCGCTTTGAGGAGCGCGAGCGCGAGCGTTATCCTCCCCGTGCACCTCCCCGCGAACACATTCGTGAGGCTTCCGTCGACGAACGATTCATCGAGCGTCGCGCTCCACGACCATGGGAAGACCGCCCCCCCGTCCGCGAGATGCGCTACTATGACGACGATGAGGCATCTCGACCCCCGCGCCGACGTCGTCGTCCCTCCCCTCCGCCAGATCTGGAGAGGGGCATCTCTTATGAGAGAGAGCGGGACCACGATTATCGCGGCCCCTCGCCGCCTCGTCGCCCGCCCGGACTCTTGCGACGTCAATCATCCCTAGATACCTTTGACCGACGCCCAGCCCAGCGACTATACGACCGCGACGAGTACGGACCTCCCGCTCGCCGCAAGGAGTACCGTCCAGACCCCTACGAGCCCATCCCTTTACCCCGCTCCCGTGCTCTACCTCCGCCGAGGATATACGCCGAGAACGACTACGAAGAGATCAAAGTTGCCGAACCCCAACGTTACGGTGATGACGACTTTCATGCATACCCGGAACATGTCCTTGAGAGGGAGATAGTGCGGCACAAGAAGGTCAGGGATCGAAGCGAATCGCGAACTAGCCGGCCACGTAGACGTCAAAGTCGCTCTCGCCGTGGCAGCTCGCGCTCTTCGTCGACTTCTTCCAGTAGTAGCAATACGGGTGGTACTACCCTCACCACCAAAAGCGAATATCCCAAAAAGGGAAAGACCAGGATTCCCCTTCGCCTCATCAATATTAGGGCGATTGCGGAGCTTCAGTATCCTTATGTCATAGAAGTATGTTAAAATTACCGTAGTCCCCTTTGTTTTCTCCCGCCGTTATGACTTGGCACTCTGATAGCGTGTTACTGATACGGGCGCAGGGAAATACTGTCATCGTTCAAAAGGCGTTGGGCCAACAGAACATCGATGACTTGCTAAAGCTCAGTGATGAGTATAAGAAAGCCGATGCTGAACTAGCCGCGGCTCGCTCAGTTCCTGGTCCCGTGATTGAAGAGCGTAGGGAAGAGGTGTTCACTATCCCGCCACCTGCGCCGCCTACAGTCATTAGAAACCCACCACCGCCTCCTCTGGTTGCTCCGGTTGAAGTGGTTAAGGAAACCATGGTACGTGAAGTGTCGCCAAGTCGTAGCTATACCAGTTATGCCCCCACTAGCTATACTACTACCACTGCTCGGGCTCCGGTTGTTGTCGATGCTGGCCCGCGCGAAGTGAGCGACAATGTCCTCGTCGGGCCACTGGCATTGGTTGGGGATAGACGTGTGGATCACCATCATCATCACCACGGACACCATAGTCATAGTCACAGCAGGGACCGCGAGCTCGTGCGAGCTGAGCGCCTACCTACAGGCGAACTGGTCTTGTATGAAGAAGAAGTGGAAAGAATTGAGGAACCCAGGCGCGGGGTGCGCATCGAGAAGGACAAGAAAGGTAGGATGTCCATCAGCGTACCAAAAAATCGCAGGTGAAGGTGCGCGCAAATACATTTCGCGGTGTTCCCGCGAGTCGTTAGGGAATAATCCTAACTAACTGCTTGATTGAAATAGGTCCACCTCCTAAGTTGATGAGGGCTATGCTCGCAACACTCACATAATACATTCATTGGTGAAACTTTGGGTGTCTAGCACATTGACAGTCCATACCATCAGGCCTATTTAGACGGCCTTGCACAAGGGAAAGCAAAGGAAGGGCAGTGGGAAGCCGCGCAATCAGATATTATAGCCTCATTTCACTGGTATTTCTTGGGATACGAGGAGAGACAGCGGCCCTGGGCGTATTGGTTCACATAGGCAGAATAGCATGGTCACCTATATGATTATAGGATACAGTTGTGCCTGCAGAGTGAAGATGTATTCATTCGCGCACATCGCCCACCCCGACGGATGAAGGCAGATATATAACGCCGTTACGATTCATGTCACTTCTTCCCTTTCACAGATATAAGAATGCGAGCAAACGTTGCAAATCTCTTTGCAATCCCGATTTAGATTTATTCCAGGCCTAGCGAGTTGGTTCTATACTTTTTCAACTAGTGTCAACTCTCTTAAGGAGTTCTTTGACGGGTCGACCAAGGTTTTATGGATGGAATCATCTATGTAAAGGATAATAAGAGTAACATAAGTTCGAATAATAAATTCTGAAGCCATGTCCATTGTATAAGGGATGACTTCAAAATGAAAGCACGGCGTTGCTGTACTTGTACGCCCCCGTTGGCAACACGACCACAGTTCTACTTCTATACAGCTATATACACGTCTCTTTCTTGGCAGTGGTTACGGCCTAGCCTGCAGGGAAGAATGGGAAGCTTTTTCGCATCAAGTATCACAGCTCTTTTCAGTACAATTCGTGCGCAGGCAAACTTTTAGGTTATAGAAAATCAGGTATATTTAGACAAGTTATGTTTATTAAAACACTTATAGACAAACGCAGTGAACGATGGGTATTCTATTCTAGTTACTTGTACTCTGTTGAAGCGCTTACGGTGCCCACTCATATTGTGTATGATATTAACTATCGGAGTTCTACTCGAATTGGAAACCAGACACCCTAGCTTGTTGAACTCCGTAAGACTCGAACCATAAGCTCCAGGCACCAACATTATTGCGCTGTTTGAGTTTCCACTGGTGTCTCAGTGTGCTGGTTTCAATATGATCTTACACTCCTGCAACTTTTCGGGTTGGTTGCAGAAACTACTCATGACAATATTGTTGCTTTCATCATAACACACCTGGACCATCTGTCATGTCATTTATAACCTGCTCTAACACCAATGACCAATCCTTCGGCCCAGGAGTCATAGGCTGCCGAGACGACTTCGACTTTACTGTTAGATTTGAGCAGCTGTTCTTCTCTCTGACGCCATGTGCACTTTTCATTCTTCTCTCAATAGGGCGCATCATTGCGCTCGCCAGGCATTCAATCGTCGTCGAGGCGCGGTACCTCTGGCTGAGTAAATTGGTATCGTCGATCCTTTATTGAATTTTTCTTGTTGATTAATCACCGACTGACTCACTTGACATAGGGGGCTACTATATCTTATACATTAATCGAGCTAGTCTTGCTTGTTCTCACTAGCACAGGCTCGTCCAGCACAAGTCGCTTTGCTATTTCTGCGTCTTCGCTACGCATTGTTGCCGCTGTCTGCATGATACCTCTCTCGTCATTGGAAAACAACAGGTGCCCGCGGCCATCTGTATTGCTTGGAGCCTATCTTCTCATAACTATCTTACTTGACATTGCCCAGGTTCGTACGTTTTGGCTCGCCTCTTCGACACAACTCGAAATAGTCTATGCTGCCGTCTTCACAACAGCCCTGGGGATGAAACTTGTCGTCGCATTACTTGAGGCCCAGAAAAAGACGAGATGGGTTAGATGGGATAAAAGTAGTCACAGTCCCGAGGAGACAAGTGGTATTTATAGTCTCGGCTTATACTCGTGGCTCAATAAGCTCGCCGTTTCAGGCTATCAGAAAGTCTTACAGTATGTATTTTCGTGCTCCACCTGTCGTCTCTTTCACTATGATTCTCATCACCTGCCGAGCCACGAGGAGCACGTTATAAATTAACCCCAAACAACAAGAGTCTAACAACCACCGAATCTCACAGGGTCCAGGATCTTTATCCTCTTGATAGCGCCATGAGTTCTGCACAGTTGCACCCGCGCTTCGCCCGGCACTTTAAATCTTCACTATTCACAGGACGCAAACACAGACTTCTTCTTATCCTCTCACGTAGTTTGGTAAATCAATTACTCCTTCCTATTATCCCGAGGCTGGCCCTACTCGGTTTCACGTTAAGCCTGCCTTTCTTCATTGAAAGCTTGATAGAATACCTCGCATCCCCAGCAGCTTCTATGTCAGCACACGCTGGTTATGGACTTATCGGCGCTATTTCTCTTATATCTACTGGCATTGCTTTATCAACCGCGCTGTACTGGTATTTCCAGTACCGCATGCTCCAAATGGCCCGCGGGATGCTTATTAGCGCCATATACGTGAAGACCACAGAAGCTAAAATCGCTGCTGGAGACGGAAACGCGTCACTAACTCTTATGAGCACCGGTATGTGATTGTTACTTGTCTCATGTCTCCTCCTAGATCCTTTTATGCCGTAGTGATATTACTCAAATGGAAATTGCTATTGACTCCCCTCCTTTAGACATAGAACGAATATATCAGGGCTTTCGTTCCTTGCACGAAATCTGGGCGAACATAGCACAAGTAGCAATCTCGGCATTCCTGTTGTACCGGCAACTTGGGTCTGCTTTTGCGGTGCCTATCGTCGTCGTCACACTCTGCGCCCTGGGAATTCTTGTCCCTATTCGGTACACTGCAAGAGGCCAAAGACGAGTAAGCAAACCCACTTGATATAATATCGGCTCTAAAGGGATAATCTATTCTATTATTACCAAAGTCCTAGCATCTCTGCTGACTTTATTTCACAGTGGATGGATGAAATCCAGAGACGCGTTGGTCTCACATCCAATGTCATTGCTAACATGAAAAGTTTGAAAATATCCGGTTTGACGGCCCCCATTACTTCCTTCGTTCAGCAACTCCGGGTAAAGGAGCTTGCTGCCAGTAAAGAGGTACGACCCTGGTGGTATTTCACTGTTTTTTACTAAGAACACGGGCTCGTACCGCAGCTTGGATTGGTGGTTCTCTGAACACCTCGCACTGCGGTGGCTTTCAATCTGCTAATAAAATGAACGACACCCGCTAATATTTTCATAGTTCCGTAGACTGCTCCTGATTTCAGCTACATTGGCCTACCTGCCACTTTTGACGTCTCCTTTCCTGACGTTTGCAATTGCCCAGCGCACACTTGATGTTTCTAGTATATATACCTCGCTGTCGTATCTTTTACTCATGACCCAGCCCCTTACTCAGGTATTTCAAACATTCCCTCTGATTGTTGGAGGAATAGAGTGTCTTCGGCGCATTCAGTCATTTTGTAAGAAATTTCCTGATTCGTTTTGGTCACTGAATCCCCCTCAACATGAGAATGAGCTTCGAAGTCCCCATCTCAAGACAATGCTCCGCTCATCTCAGACGAGAGGAGAGAGAAAAATGAACACGGTGCTTGAAGAATCTAGTTCGTCATATTGACTCGCCTAACAACATTTCAGTGGAATCCGAAGATCGCCACGACCGTCGGACCGTCAAGAACTTACACGCCGATAAGAAAACAGCACTAACATCAGAACCCAAGTCCGAGGTAAATGCTGCCACTCAAGAGCCTGTAATTGTGATTAAAGGGGGCAGGTTCGGTTGGCTACCTGACCAGATAGCCCTTCAAGATATTGATGTCAATATTCAGGGAGGATCATTGACGATGGTTGTGGGCCCAATTGGTTCAGGGAAATCCTCGCTCTGCAAAGCGCTACTAGGTGAAATGCCGTACTGTGGCGGAATATTCACCATCAATATACGATCGTCAAAGGTCGGCTACTGTGAACAGAGCCCGTTTCTATTCAATGGAAGCATACGTGATAATATAGTTGGCTTCTCACCGTTTGATCCGGCCCGATACGCAGAGGTCATTGAAGCTACCCTCCTCCAGGTAGATTGCCAGACACTGCCGCAAGGCCACGACACGATTATCGGAAGTAATGGCATTACTCTTTCGGGCGGGCAGAAGCAGCGCGTGTCTCTAGCACGGACTCTCTACTTGCAGACTGATCTCTTGATTCTAGATGATGTCTTTAGCGGTCTTGATGCAGATACAGAAGATCAAGTTTTTGATCGCGTGTTCGGGAAAATCGGTCTTCTGAGGGAAAGGGGCACATCAACAGTGCTCTGTACACATTCAATACGCCAGTAAGTAATTTTCTTTGTCATATTTTACGCTTGCTCCGATCTCGCCATATCCACAGCAATTTTGCTTGTGATTGAAAATGCGTCTTCAAATGCTTGTATCTTCTATATGTCGCGATCTCTTGACAAGAATAATTGCTGACTTGGACTGTCAAAAGCCTGCCACATTCAGATCACATAATAGCACTCGATCCCAACGGTAGAATTGCTGAACAAGGTTCATTCGGAAACCTCAGCATCGATGGAGGATATATCCATAGTCTGGGAATCAAAGCTACTCACGGAGCTGACGAGTCGAGTGCTGATACGAAGCTTGAGATCAACATGGTAAACCCGCCAACAGTTCAACCAACAGTTGAGCCTACTGCTCCGGAGACCCATGATACTACACGACAGACAGGTGACCTCGCTGTCTACAGGGTTTATTTCAAGAGTATGGGGTTGTCATGTAAGTTGGGCCTAGGGAGCGTTCAGGCCAACCCATGTTTGCCATATTATAGATAGAATAACTCCGAACTGACATGCTCTCAGTGACCATCTGCTTCTTCTTCCTTGGTATTACGCATGGGGCTTTTCTGAACTTCTCTACTGTCTGGCTCTCATATTGGGCTGCAGACGGAACCAGTGCAGCTCCATCTCACGCGAATGGCTACTATATCGGGCTCTACTCCTTGTTCCAAATCATCGCGACGATTTCACTAGCAGCATTGGCATTTCTATTGCTTCTGACGGGCGTTTCTCGTGCTGGAGCCTCGCTACATCACACTGCCTTGAAAACGATGGTCCACGCACCGTTGCGCTTCTTCACTACCACTGACCAGGGTGTTATCCTAAACCTGTTCTCACAAGATTTGAACCTCGTTGATACTGATCTCCCAGGAGCGTTGCTGAACACAATTAGTAGTGTGTTTGTAGCTATTGGTCAAGCTGCTGTGATTGCCTCAGCAGTGCCGTACCTCGCGATTTCTTACCCGGTCATTGGAGCTATTCTCTATGTGCTGCAGAGATTCTACCTGAGAGTGAGAAATGCCCACCATTCATTTGCTTTTAATCCGCCCAATGCTAGCTTGGAAGGGTTATTGGTTTTGGGGTGCCCATCTATTACGTAGGCAAGCAGTGTTGCTAACCCTTGCTGCCAATAGACTTCTAGACAATTGCGACTCCTGGACTTAGAAGCTAAAAGCCCACTATAGTATGTCTTTGCTCATCAGCCATCGAAACTCGATGATACTCGTCTCGACGCGGCGTCGTTTTAGCTTCCAACTAACTCTACTTCTAGCACACACTTCCTCGACACTTCTAGGGGCGTTGTCACGCTACGTGCCTCCGACTTCATGAGCGAGCATAAGGCTAAGAACCGTCACCTGTTGGATACGTCACAACGACCAGCCTACTTATTGATCATGATCCAGCAGTAAGTTGTAGTCTAGTTCCTTGACCTGAAACACTCATAGATGATTTCTTTGCCGTTCTCACCCCAATCATGACTAACAGCTTGTTAATCTATCAGATGGCTCGCCGTTGTCTTGAACCTTGTTGTCGGTGCGATTGCGATCTTGCTTACCGCATTAGCTACACAGCTTCGTTCGGGCTCAGGAATCACCGGTGCTTCTCTTGTGACATTACTTAGCTTTGGCGAAAGCCTCTCGGGGATCATCATCTCCTATACACAGCTAGAAACTTCCATAGGCGCCATCAGCCGGCTAAAGTCCTTTAGCGATCGTGTCAAGCCAGAAGAACAGGAACATGAGGAGACTCATCCCTCCGCAAACTGGCCGCAAAAGGGCAAGATATCAATGCGGAACGTATCTGCTAGTTATTTGTAAGCCTGTTTTTGGGTGAAGAACCATACGGAAGATACTAACTGGCGCATAGAGATTCAGGCGAAGGGGGAACGAATGGGGCGGTGACTTCAACATTAGCACTTGACGATATTAGCTTATGCATTCGACCTGGAGAAAAAGTCGCAATATGTGGGCGCACGGGAAGTGGCAAATCCTCGCTGATTGCATTGCTGCTGAAGCTACTAGAACCACTCGCCACGACGCCAGACTGCGTATATATAGATGGCATCTCTCTTGCACGACTCGACCGTACCACGCTGCGTCAGCAGATCATAGCAATACCCCAAGATGCCGTGTTTCTCCCCGAGGGCTCAAGCTTCTTCACCAATCTGGACCCATACGAAGTAGCCACACTGGAAGACGCACAGTCGGTTCTACAGGTCGTAGGGATGTGGGATTTCATTGAGGAGCGTGGGGGTCTCGAGGCAGGTATGGCTGAAAGCACACTGAGCCAGGGGCAGCGACAGCTTTTCTCTCTTGCGCGCGCCGTGTTACGGCGCCGAATCCGGTCGCAAAGTCTTGGACTTGGAGGTTGCGGGTCTGAAGGTGGTATCCTTCTGCTTGATGAAGTCAGCTCAAGTGTAGACCAAACAACAGAAAGGAAGATGCAGAAGGTCATTCAGGAGGAATTCAGGAATTACACCATCATTGCTGTGAGCCATCGGCTAGATATGATCATGGATTTTGATCGGGTCGTGGTTATGGAACAGGGCAAGGTTGTTGAAGTGGGAAACCCAATGGATTTGGCCACGAGCGATGAAACAAAGTTCGGGAGTTTGTATAATTCTGGTAGATAAGAGTATCAAGTCAGCTTTGCTGTTCTTGGTTGGGCTCGCCGAAGGAATGTTTGAAGGCCAAAGTAAGCTGGCAAAGAACATCTCTACTCGAGTAAGTTCCACGCCATTTGAGTTGTCTGGTGTTCCACTTAATGATATGTAGCACGCAACATGTAAAAGGATTAAAAGATAATTAAGCGTTAAAACTCCGAATAATTATTGGTTGATCAATTCACGACCTTTTCATACTGACACATCGAGATCATAAGCGGTAGTTATTGAACTATATTCGTGAACGTTGAAACCTGGGTAAATAGCGTTCCAGGATATTTACATTTTGAATTAATGGACCGTCTTGGAGAGCATAGGTCATGAAATGAAGTCTTAAAGTCATGTGATACTGAACAGGGAGACAGTATTACTATGAGGTTAAGTAGCAATAAGTTGGGCATTCTTCCATCGCAATTATACCCACGATGATTCGTGCAGGGAGTAAGGGGATCAGTACCGGTAATCTTTTTCTCTCATTGTTTCTACTGAACTAGGTAACTCTAGTCGATGTTCAGTTGCCCTGAGAATTGCTCGTTGGAGCGAAGATAACTTTCATCTCTAGGTTAGTAGGCATGTTCTTTTGCAAAATGAACGAAAAGGTCAATACCTCTGGCCTAATTTAATCACCATGTTCCCAGGGTTTCAAGACTAATTTGTGCAAGGTAATGCACCAGTCAAAGATCATCATCGTGGCTGCGGCTGTCCAAATATGGCGGAGCGGCGAAGCCCAATCTTCCAATCGGGTCATTGTGCATTCTGTTAACCCCCTGACCACACGCCCTTCGATTACTAAACGATATATATCATGGATGTACTATTGCATATTACCTTGGCTACGTGAGGATCTCATTGTACATACTCGTCATGATCTTGACCGATATATCGACAGACAGACCGAGCTTGGTTGACAATTCGGGCAGGGAAGTGTCGTTTCTATAACTTACATTGCAGCCTAACCCCCTGGTGTGGCTTGGCAAGGTGCATCTCCGCTGCAGGGCATCGATAAGAACCCGGTGGAATCTTGAGCCTAGCCGGCGGAAGGCTTCCGGTGAGGGAGATTAAGATGTGATATATCACATTCGGCAGCCTCGCCTTCGATCTCGGTCTCTGTTGGGGTTTATTCTTGGGTAATCTATCGTCCCCATGACGAATCATAAAGTAGCTGCAGTGGATGTGTTGGCGTTGCCCACCAACCAGGTATCCGGAACCAACCACTGTTCTGGCCCCGGATAGCTCGATGCTCGATGCAAGCCATGCTTCTTAGATTCTCCAAGATCTCACAAGTTCTTCTGATTGGTCTACTGGGCCAGGTACACTGAGGATAGTGCGCGGCTATCGGGGAGTCTCCCCAATTTAAGAGATGTCAGCTCTGTGCGAGACGATAATTCATATTCAACAAGTCGTCGGTTATCTAACCGGCCTCTATCCCCGCCACGAACGAGTCACAGCAGCGGGGCCTCGGGAACTTCTGCCCATAGATTTGTATGCGGCTGTTCTTGATACATATGGCTGACGCTGCGATGATTATCACATGACGGCATTCCTAACTTCTCCTTGATAGGCTGGTTCAGGTTTGATGGCAGTAAGATTCCCTTTACGGTCTGCCGTGCATGATATAATCCGATCCATACCTACCATAAACTAGAGAGTCCCGGAAGCATCCGGGTCAGTGGATCGACAGCCTCATCTGTAGGTTCTCGTGTTCTGCTGGGGGATAATTGGCATATGCAGGGTAAGGTACTTTCAATATTTTGAGGTTCTCGGTCTAGACTTACACGTGGACATCAATCTGCCTCGACAGCTCCTCCCATGAGGCCCAGAGCGGTGTGTTTCTTCCGCCATCACCTTCTTACGCATATATACACACACGAGGACATGTACTTCTAGCTATTCTATTCGGTATTTTCAACCTCCATGGACACCAGAAGATCTCTTCAACATGCTTCACAATACATTCTGAGACCACTTAATCCTCCTATTCACCTAATACCCTCGAACGCCTGTCTGGGCTCTATATCCGGCTTTTAGGCCGACGAAATCTGAGCAGGGGCTAGGAAGAAATCATCTCTAGCTCCGACAATGCCTCACAGCACCAGTCACCTATCCTCCAACGGAGACACTTCCACCAACCACACGAACATCTCAACGTCTACATGTGATCGATTTATGGATGTCTCGAACATTTCAACGTCCAGCCGACACACCATTGACTTGCATCAAACAGCGCAATCCACATCGAGCTCGGAACCTCTCACTTACTTTGAGCATCATTACGAGGATCGTCTCATGGGGTTCTTTGCAGGTCTCGCTCATCCCCACCCACAGCAGGCCCAACCGGTTTACAACGGGCATATGACATTCCACCATGCGCAAGATACAATGTTGCTAGGGATTGGCGCATGGTCGCATGAAGATGCCCACCGTACTTGACGCTCATGACGAACGAACCATACAAAACTTCGTCGAATCATGCCGTTGAAGAGCCAATTCATCAAATTCCATCGCAATTCATTCTCTTCGAGATGGTTGTCTGGGCCGATCAACTGTAAGCACGGTGAAGTGACACTGAAAGCAGGGCTGGCCCCTGCGCAGAGAGCTGCGGGAAATCATATATAGACACGTTGATATTGTCAATTGGAAAGAAGCATCTCAGCATCCATGATTTAAATTCTCAAATGGATTTAGAATCGTGACCTGTCGTAAGAAGTATGGGTAAGTAGATAGTAGCATCTATATTGTTGCGTGAGACCTAGAAGGTCAGGCAGGAGTGAAGATATTTTAGTCCATTCTAACTATTTACCTCTCTTTATCTGTTCCCACCAATGTCTTGTGATGCGATCCTAGGGTTCTCCTACGACACGTGTACGTTGAACTAAGGCGGTCGTATACAAATTGATCAGGGCACTATCATCGCCCTCTTGGTAGGTAGCATTGGATGCTGTAGTCAGATAGGAATGCGGTTAGCGGTAGGCATCTACATAGTACACCAACCTTGCTTCAATGAGATGCGTATAGTCTCCTCCCTAGACCAAGTGCCTACCGCAAACTAGGCATTGTAAAAATCGAAGATGTATCGAGCGGCTAGCTCATTGTCGCCTGGTAACCACAATTACCCACCTACCCAGAGTCTCGGCAACCTAAGTAGTTGAAATAAATCCCATAGCAGACAAGAGACATTTTGACAGCCAGTCACAAAACGCTCCACTTCCTCTTTCGGGAAATCTCTGTATCGTTCCAGACTGTCGCTGCAACCTCGGAATAAAAGTCGAGAAAATCCCTCCAGCTCAGGATATGACAAACCATCGACTACGGAGCTGACAAGTTGTTGTATATGTTTACAGTTCGGTAACATCAAATGTCAAGTTGATTAAGCTTGAATACTACGTTGCCATCAATCACAAAATGGGCAGCTGGGATGCAAAGAAAATTCGCCATTTACCGCTGCACTAGGCGCATTTTCTTACATATAGATATACACTTACACCAGGTCATCACGGTGCGCGTATTTCTAGCTCAGCATTCGCTAAACTAAGAGTCGTAGATGGCTAAGGCCGGGCAGCGGCACCTATACTTTATAAAAGCAGAAAGCCACGTAGAAATTGGCCACCTCCATCTCTTCAGGAGAAACCAATAATGGGCCTCTCCCTCTCCCACGGACGCCCATACGTTCACTGAGGGGCCCCAGCACGTAGTCATCCTTCTCCGATTCCCATATGTCCCCAAACTTCTGGTGATACTGTAGCTCTAGATTGTATCCCTCGGCGATGGCTCGGAATGCCTCCCACGGCACTACGTACTCGGGCACCTCCTCAACCGCTTCGTCGAGGAAGAAATTGTATTTCCAACCATAAGGGGGACGGAAGATACCATCCTCGGGTGTCTTGCCGGGGAACCTCACCCGATATAATTCATTGCCCCATTCCGCTGTCTCTTCGGCCTCACCCTCCTCCTTGTCTTCTGGCGGCTGTTCACCAACGGGATCCTCGCTCTTCTTGGCGACACGTTCGTTGAATTCCGTCACTTTGGTGCTGATAACATCTGAGTTCGGTATGCATCCTATGAACCGCCCACCCTTCTTGAGGGCGCTGGACACATTCTGCAGCATCATTCGAGCCTTCTCCTCCGTCTCAAATGCATAATGCATGCAGAACATCATACTGACAATGTCGAAGCCGCTACGGCCCATGGGCGATGGATCGAATCCTACTTGGCGCACGATATCGACATCGCCAAGCGACTCACCGTAACAGTCCTTAACGTAAAAGCGGGCATCGAATAGATGCTGCTGTCGTTGGTTGCCCCCCCGATAGCCGCCTCTCCCGCCGCGGCCGCCCCTGCCTCCTTGGCTGCCCATGCTTCGATACCGCTCCTTGGCCTGGTCAATCGAAACGTCGGCGGGATCCAACCCAACATAGAGCTGAACCCGCTGTGGTGCCTGTTGCCATTTGCCCAGGTCGCCGCCTTTGCCGCAGCCAATGTCGAGAACGAGCAACTCGTGCCCATGTGCGCCGGCCATGTCACGACCTTGTTGGTGGGCACCGGGCGTGTGATCCTCGTCGGGCGAGAACTTCTGGATGAGGGTGCTCTTGACCCAGTTGTTGAAGACACGCAGGCCCTTGATGCGGCTCCCCGTCTTCCGCCAGTCTCGGCCGCGCTCGGGTACGGCATTGTAGTGTTGGCGCACGATGTCGTTGATGCCATGGGCGGCATCGCTCCCGGCGTGCGCAGACTCTCGCTCGCGTTGCTCATGCCGTTGGCGAATGGCGGCGGCCTCGGTATTCGATATGCGGGCTCGCTGGCCTGGGCGCTTGAGCTTCCGAGGCTGTTCGGAGGGAGATGTAGAGCGCTGGCGTTTCTTGGCGGATTCGAGCTTCTTCGCGTCGAAAGGCTGTGGTAACTCATCGATGGAGGGCAGGCCTCGCCCTTTGCCATTTGACTCAGCCATTGGGGACCCGTCATTGGTGCTGTGTCTCCGGCGCTTTGCCGACTCAAGCCTCTTTGCATCGAATGGCTGGGGAAGGTCTTCTGTACCCTCGTCGTCGGCCATGATGCGAGGTAGGGATGGGCGGAGTCTCGTTTCGACGCGGCTTGCGCTGATATTGTGTAAGGTATGCAGTGATCAGTGATGTAATGTTTTGTTGTTTTGTCTTCTATCTTACAGATTAGGACGATGTATTGCCCAGGGGGTTGTGAATCTAATTAGGCAAGTTCTAATTCGGGATCTTGTGATAGTGATATGCTTTTCGTTTGCTGGCATGAGAAACATTGACCTTGGGTAGGTATTGTATGCTACTGAGGGAGGGAAGCGAGGGAAGGTACCTACGACGGGTGGATATCTACATAGGTACATAGGTAGGTATGTTCCTAAGTCTGATGTGCTATGTACACCTGGGCAGAAATACATACATATACATCATACTTCCAAGGTTGGTAGGTACTTCAATTGAATTCTACGCGACATGTACATTAGGTATGTACTTGGGCAAGTTCAAGTGCTGGTAACCCAGGTTCTCCCCAGGTAGGTACACATGTACTTACGTACCTTTTATCAGCAACTTGAGGCTCTTGATCCTGGCCTTCCCCCCACTCAACAGCTCTAGCTGGGGCCTGCCATTGGCTCCGCCCCCGGTCTCAGCTTACTTAGCACTGGCAGTACACTGGTTACGTCCACGTTGGACGCCTGCCGCTGTTACTACCTCTTACTTCATTGTGGTGGGTATGAATACCTACCTACCTTACCGAAAGTGAATGCTCACGGCGAATCGCTCTAACCGCCACCTTTTTCTGCCGTCGTCTCGCGTGATCAAATAACAAGCATAATCACATCTTGCCATCCTCGCCGCATTTTCTGCCAGCTCGCATACGCCCGGCCTTGACCTTCGTTCGGTCGCCTTGAACCTTGAACCCATCTTCTGCCTAGACAAGACGTCACGTCACGAATCCGGTCCCAGCTGCCGATGCCACGAGCCTCACCTTGAACCTGGTCCATCATACACCACCTTCTAGCAACAGTCTAATCCCAATTGCAAACATGGGGTCTGATCCGCAATATGCGAAATGGCCACTGTTGCCGCTATCGCAGCATGTCTTTACTCTCACCAACCCCTATGCCGCCCGACCTGCCCAGCAAGCCGCCGTCAAGAGCTTACAAGACGCCATCAGCGAGCATAAGATGGCCCCTCTCTACAGGTACCTTGCCCACCCGGCCGAGGGCATCTTGAATGCTTCGGGTGAGACATCCTCGAGCACCGCCGCACATCAGAAGCCTCTCGGTCGGAAACCCAGTGCTGGTGCGGCCATGATGGCAGGCGGTGCCCTGTCATCGGCCGTAAGTCTGCCTTGGGATGATCAGGTCTACCAGCAGCTCAAGGCCGACAACGATAAGGAGCTGGAGGAAATCCAGAAGGAAGAGGACGAGGCTGTGGAGAAGGCTGGCGACACGGAAATAATGGCCGCAAGAGGGAAGCGTGCTGAGTTCTTTGCCAAAATTGGCGACAAGGTCAGCTGAGACTATCTCTTTTCTTTTCTTCTTCCGGTCTCGTTACACCCACTCCTTTGACATCGCTCTGTCGCAGTTACTTACCATGCCTGAGAACAGGACAAGGCGATATCAGCCTACGAGGATGTTCTCGAGAAGAACGGTATTCTGGGTACGAAGATCGACATTGTACTTGCCATCATCCGCATGGGTCTCTTTTACGGCGAACGTACCCTCGTCAAGAAATATGTCACAAAGGCGAAGACATTGGTAGAGAGTGGCGGTGACTGGGACCGCCGCAATCGCTTGAAGGCATACGAAGGCCTTCATCTCCTCACTGTCCGATCGTACAACCTCGCCGCCCCTCTACTTCTCGACTCCCTGTCCACTTTCACCAGCTATGAGCTATGCACATACTCCAACCTTGTCGTCTATTCCGTCCTTGCCGGCTCCGTCTCCCTGAAACGTGTTGATTTCAAGAGCAAAGTCGTTGATGCGCCTGAAATCAAGGCCATCTTGGGAGCCGACGGAGATGATAAAATGCTGGCCTTAACTGGCGCCCTTTCCGCAGGTCCCGGAGCTGAGGACTCGGGAGTGCGGGATACCAAGACTACCACGGCACCCAACGTTGCGCCGAAAGCCACGACCGCCGTTAACCTGACCACCTTGGGTACGGGTGCAGATCAGCCCGAGACCGAGATGGCCATTGATTTCTCATCTCTTGCCCAGCTCGTGAACAGTTTGTACAACGGACACTACAAACTATTCTTCGAGGCCCTCGCTCTCGTCGAGGAGAAGTTTCTTACGCAGGACCGATATCTATTCGAGCATAGAGGATGGTTCATCCGCGAGATGCGGCTGCGTGCATACCAGCAACTTCTGCAGAGTTACCGCGTCGTGGGTCTCGAGAGCATGGCCAGCGACTTCGGCGTTACAGTAGACTTCTTAGATCGGTAAGTCCAGTTCCCCCTTTGCACATCTTTTATAAGCAGACAATTTTGTATCTAACTGCCCCAATTTAACTAGTGATCTGGCTAAGTTCATCGCGGGTGGTCGCATACCCTGCACAATCGACCGCGTGACAGGTAAGGGCGTCATCGAGACGAACCGACCAGACGACAAGAATAAGCAATACCAAGATGTCGTGAAGCAGGGTGACCAGTTGATCACAAAGTTGCAGAAATACGGCCAAGCTGTCCGCCTACGTGGTAGCGAACGGGCGTAGTAGATTAATTAGCTAGGCAGGCAGGTATTCAAAAGGAGCAACTAAATAGAACAATGCAGGAACCACTTGGTACTACTTAGTTTCACCCATGTCTGTATAACTTGATACGTACATATATCGAGTCGTTGATATGGTAGTTTTCAATGTCACGTACCCTCAACCGGAGTAGTGCGCAATGAAAATCTATACATATCAAGACACTGTTCTCGAAACTATTGCTATAAATCATTGCTACTGCAGGCATAACGGCATACAACCGCCTACGCCACCCAGGAATCGACCTTGTCAAACAGCGCCAGCTTTGGAGAGAAGGGCCTATGATGTAGATGAGAATAGTGTCTACCTACTTTGACAATGCTATAAAGAGTCATGACCGAATCCGTCTTATCTAAGTAAAAGACCTGGCACTCCTATGAAATAGTAATCCTTTCTGTCCCAGCCATTCTATTCATCCCATCTCCTTGACTTGGAAGTCCCAGTGAAACTCAAACTACACCCGTGCATCGCTAGGATAAGCCTGCTATGCATGCATGATGCGTCGTTCTACTGCAACGCCTCTTTTTCCTTCTTGAATTAGAAAATCAGGCTGAGAGACTTATACCAGAAGGTCCAAGGTTCTAAACACACCCATCCCTCATTTCGTTCATCCAAGGAGAGCCGGCTAATAAAGCCGACATCGAGTGAGAAATGTGATCGCTATTACTCCCGATTTTCAATTAAATAGCGACTAGACTCTTTCATCGATACTTGTTCATGAACTCTTCGTGGAATTTCTTAATCGAGCTAACCCACTCGGTGCCGGGCGCAAGGAACGTCGTGCGGAAGTGCAGCGTGCCCTCCTTCTGGCCGAAGCCGCTACCTGGGACAACACAAACACCCGTGGCCTCGAGCAGGCGCATGCAGTAGAACTCGTCGGGGGTGCGGCCCTCGGCGCGGGCGGCGTCGGCGGCCTTGGCGGGGACGTGGATGGTCGGGAACAGGTACATGCTGCCCTGGGGCTCGCCGCACTCAACGCCCTCCATCTCCTTGAATGCCTCGTAGAGGGCCGTGGCGCGCTTCTTGAGGCCCTCGAAGATGCCGTTGTACTCCTGCTCGTAGAGCGGGTACGAGGCGTCGCCGGGCTGCGGCGGGTTGACCATGAGCTCGACGAGGCACTGCCCGATGACGGGCGCGCAGAGCATGATGGACACGAACTTGTAGATCTGTTCCTCGACCTCCGCCTTAAAGCCGATGAGGTCGAAGTAGCCGCCGCGGTGCCCGCACTCGCCCACCATGCCCTTCGAGATGGAGTGCAGGGACGCGAGCTCGACGCCGTCGTACTTGCCCGGGCTCTCCTTCTGCATGGTCAGTAGCACTTGTCGGAAGCTATGGAACTTTCCGATGAAGACATTGGTCTGGTAGACTTCATCGGCCATGACGACTAGATTCTCCTCGGCTGCGAACTGCAGAACCGACTTGATGTCGGCCTCGGAGAGAGAGGCACCTGTCGGGTTACCGGGGTTGATGATGACGATGGCACGGACATCGGTTCCGTTGTTCTTGGCTGCATTGTAGGCTTCCTTGATCGTCTCTACCGACGTACCCCACGAAGCGGCTTCGTCGAGGTAATAGGGCACACAGGTGGCGTTGAGAACGGAGAGTGAAGCAGTGTACAAGGGGTACTGGGGAATGGGAACGAGGATGCCGGATGAGGGATTGGCACAGAGGATGTGAAGCAGGGTGTTCACACCTGACGAGGCACCGGCGGACAAATAGATGCGAGCAGGGTCAGCAGGGAAACCGTCTCGCTCTGTTCGCAGTCGGTTAGTTCCGTGTCTGGGACTGGAAGAAAGAGTTCTCATGGGGCTGAAGACATACTCTCGAGGAATTTAGCGATGCTCTCTTTGATAGCCGGAACGCCTGCACTTGCGCTGTAGGCGCCAACGCTACCAATGTTCTTTAAGAGGAACTTGGCACGCTCCAACACATCGGGCTTGTATCCCAGGTGGTCCAGTAAGACTTGCTCGTTGTCTAGTAGCTGGGGGTTTTCGAGAAGACTTAGGACCTGGCGGAAGAAGGTGATGGGCTTTTGGTCGAGCTGCTGAGGGTTACCAATGTTGGCGCTGATGACCTCGGAGAAAGGCAGGTCGGTGTCGCCTCTTCGAAGTCTTGCACGATATTCTTCAGACTTGACGGCCAACTCGCCACGCACGGCATACTTGGCCTCGACGACATGGGGATTGATGTTCCCAAGGTTCAGCCGCGGCATGTTTGCGACGGTATGAGTTTGACGCTTTGCTAGGTGAATTTGTCGTGATCGCAATAGTGGGGTGACCAAGGGTCGTGAGGGAGCTCGCGTTCGTCCTAGCGATGGCGGGGTCTGAATGAAAACTGAGGGGCAGTCAATACGTGACAAACGTCCAAAGTAGCCGGGGGGAGCCGCGGGTATAAGCACGGCAAACAGATTGGGTTTTCGCAGAAAAGGAAAGAGTGATGCAAGAGGAAAAAAAATTCCAAAAAATCTAGAGGCAATTTCCGAAACGGAGGTCCGTTCTCATGGAACACGACACGGCAATTGCAGAATTCTTAGGTAGTGGGGTGAGGGGCAATGTGGTTTAGGTAGTAGTGCAGGCAGGCAGGCAGGCAGGCAGGTAGTGAGCGTAGTGAGGGTTACAAGACGATGATGGCAATGCATCGCGTACTTCTCGGTGAGATGGAGAGAAAAGAGAGAGACGCTGCATGTGCGTTTTGCCTGCGTCCTTTTCTTCCTTGCCCTTTTTACCTCTCTTTCGCGATTCTTTTCCCCCCTCATACACGCTGGCCTGGTATACCTAGTATTTAGACCCAAGTAATCCCTCATCAGCACAGCAATCGCGTGTTTACACTAGCTGGTGGCATGACATGACCAAAACGCATGTCATACACGTTGGTCACGCCTAGCACAGTCTTGCATTTACACTATCGTAGAGCAGGTAGCGGTAACGAAAAGCAGAGTACATCTTACACTACATAACAAGTACGTAAGGATGGGATGCAATTGAGCTATTGGGTGTGCATATTGAGGCGTTTGAGCTGGAGCCAAGCGACTTTTGCATCTCTAGGATGGCCAATGCGGATAGCACGCCGTCATCGGGCCATCTCTCATCTCTCGTCCTGGCTGGCGAAGGATAGAAGAGCGGTGCCAGGTGAGCGGAGTGGGGGGTGCCTTGTTGACCGGACACCCCCGGCACTAATCTGTAGATTCTGCCGATGGCGGGACGGGGCGAGAGTTTATAGGGAAAGGGAAGTGGATAAAATAGAAGACCCCTACTTGGGTAACTAGCCGCTGGGGCGTCATGCTGCGAACAGCACCGGCAGAGACACGACACAGCGGCAGGAAGATGAGAGCAGGAGCGCGAGAGGACGAGGGGAAGAGAAGAGGGACATTGATGAGAATAGAGCCATTGTCATCGGAAGCAGCATGAAGACATCAAAGAAAAACATTCTTCTTTACCTGTTCCATCGCGTGCCGGCGGTGGGCTTCGGGGCAGAAGAAGCGACTGGCAATGGGCAAACGATCTCCTGGTTAGGTGCAGTCCATCTATGCCGAGTCCTGTTATCCTCTTCGCCGGACCGAGTAACAGCGCCGGGTTCGCTGCTACAGTTGATGCTGCTGTCATCATGAAAAGGCAGCTGAATTAATTCCCCGACTCTCTGGACCAGCGTTGGGATGGAGGAACCGCAATACGATATAGAAAGGAGAAGAACGAAGTATGTATAGTCTAGTGAGTGCAATGGGCCATTTAACCCGAACGTAACGAAACAATCAATGAGAGTGCCCCTTTTATCCAGTCTGCTATGAAGGAGCTGTTGGGAGCACTAAGATATCGTCAACTTCAGCGCCGGTCAACGGAGAATAATTTGGGGACCGAGATCTGCCGACCAATGAGCTTGCTCTTATTCATCCGGACTTTGGTCGGAGATATGAGCGACATGCAATCAATGACCATCACCCGGGTTATCGCATATAGGTATCTCCTATATGTGACATACATAGTATGTACATATATGTACATAGATGCTTTCTAGTCACTACCTAGCCTTACCCCAACTATAGGTACCTATTTCTGTGATGATGATGGTAAGTATACCTCTCTGCTGAATAGACGCTTTCACTACAGAAAGTGTCACCTGCCCTGGCAGGCTCAACTGAGCTACTAGTTCAAATATTTTATATGAAAAGCTCAAGAGTTTGTCGTGTCGACGAATGAACCCCTTTCCCTAGGTAAGGTAGGCAGGTGTCGTGGGTATTTTCAGTATTGAGATTATCACGAGTCACGAGAAAATTCCAAGACCGTGACCAGATATCTTGGTTCACTTTTCACTCGTGTATCGATACATGATAGATTAAAGCAAGTAACGCACTTCAAATCTGGAATGTGCAGAACTGCCGTGAGTGGACTGTATGTTGATGTACATTTGCGTCGATATGTATATCTATGTACATCAAAGATGGGGAAAGGCTGCATTGCCCGTTGCCCTCGAGCCAAGTAACATGAAGACGTTGCGATTCTCTAGCCACAGTAGGTAGCGTGTAATAGTCTCTGGCTCGACATACCTAGGTATCTGCACAATACTGTCAGAGCGTTATGATGGCATGAATATGAGTTATGATAGGGTGAGTCTCGCGAGCAGCCCCCTCTGACCTTTGCCTTGGCACCACCTAGCGCACCTATTTCACAAGTCGAGGGGACAAGAAGTCGATATTCCACCCGGCTAATTAGCCCACGATTTAGTTGCAGATATGCCCCATAATGCGAAAGACTTCTACGGGGTTTACCCCTGCTTCTACAATGTATCAAGACCTACACAAGTCACGTTACACCCTATGGTAATGTCAAGTTGCAGAGCTGCTGTGTACCGTGTCTGGTAGGTAAGGACTTAAGGTAGCTAGCTACCGGTACTCAGATATCATTTACATAGTTTGAAGTACACCGATAGCCAGAGAGAATTGTAAATCGACTTAGGTTGAGTCAGATATAGTAGTGTCAAGATGGATGTGCTCCTGAAACTACTACATTAGCTGGCTTCTCTCATAAGAGCCATTCTTGGTCTAGATCTAGATCAATAGCAAGCGGGCTGCTGTCAACATAGAAATTCTCGTGATTTCCGCCCCTGTTTCAGCTTGGACACGCTGTTATACTCGGCGGGGCATTGGTCTTTTTGTTTTTTTGTTTTTTTTGTCATTCCGGATATCGAAATGTGAACGCGGAGCACGAAAATCGCAACGTCAGGTATACCTACGTCTACACTAGCACCTAGCATTGAGCCGGCACTGCGGCCCAGGATAGGTATCGTTAACGGTGATCTGGGGCTGGCAGTGGCCCGATTGGACAGAAGAGACAACTGTCGCTTGCTCTGGTACCGAATTTGGCGCTCAGAGAAGTCAAATGACGGGCACTTGATGGTCCATAAGTGCCCTGCCAAGAGTCTTTAGTGTAGACTAGGTAGGTAGGTAGGTAAGTAGGTACGTAGTATGTTAGCCGTGGAATATACCATGGACAGACCATGGACTATACCAAGATATGATAGGGTGCCTATGTAGGGACTATTGTGAGCTCGGTAGAAGCAGGCACGTCTATAGGTAGGAGGCTGCTCTACCACCGGCTGGGCTGTGTTTGTTGAACAGTGCTGCAATGTTGTCGAGGTAGTGACCGTGTGACGGGACGGAAGAAGAATGGCTGAGCTTATCTTCATATTTACACGCACCGACGTACACTTTTGGTACTCTTTCCCCCAAAAGTCGAAAAGGACTAGATAGGTATCTACAGTAGGCGAGATCGAATCGGGTTCCAAATTCTACAGCAAGCTAGGCCCGATGGGACGTATCGAGCGAATACCTTGGCGGGTTCCATCCTATTGGCAAAGCGGGAAATTGTGACGTGAAGTTGGGTAGCATCATGATGTCTGGATTTTTTTTTCTGGGGTGGTATTGAAGCAGTATACAGGGTCCAGACATTGGGGTCCTTTTGCAAGTCTCCTGTTGTACCTATACTACCCTGCTGTGGTGATGGTGGTGTGAACGAATACTGACTGACATGGGGGGACCAGCCTCCCCCCGTGGCTTTTGTGTCCTCGCGTTATTATAGTATGGCCTAGGTACTGTGGCAATCAGATGCACTGGAACGTGTTGTGGTCGCATAGAAATGAATCGAGACGGGACTTCTTTAGAGTGCCGGTAACCGAGGCTGGCAAGGCTTGCGATACAGACTGGTGCGATGCATTCATTCCCTCATCAAACAAGCCGCATTACATAGCGTGTTCTTAGTATGATGGTAGACACTTCCGTCCATGGTGGTAATTGTCATAGACATGCGGTACACTTTGGAGGAGAGGATACATATCTAAAGTATGCCTGAGCAGGCAATTACAGTTGTCATTGTCCATCTACACTATACTTAGAAGATCTTGGGCTGTTAAAACTTAACACGCATATACTATACCTACCGAAAGGTACGCTCTTACTTCTCCTAGACCAGCTGTAAGGCAGAATGAATGTCCCAGTTATGTATCTTCCGTGCTGGTGACTAGGTAGGTACATACATATGTTACTGTAGGTATGCATACATAGTACCTACTCTATGCTTCCTTATCTCCGCTTGGGTTTCATTGGAGCCAGTTGAGTACCGGCACTTCTGTGAGAACGGAAGGGGGGAGAGACTGGGACTGGAGGTTAGCGTAAGTTGACTATGTTGTTTCAGTGCTGTAAGGATTATGTGGCGCGCGGCTACGAGGTACCCGAGAGATCGGGAACTGCTATACTATAATTATGTTATGTCCTCCTCATCCGTGCACTTCCATGCTACTTATACAGCAACCCTGATACTATCTACCTAACATACGTGTTAAGGTAGGTATATCTACTGAGGATCTAAGTACATAAAGCAGTGAAGAAGATTCCTCCGTACACTATGCAATTCTTCCCGAATGGTATCAGGTGGCGTTAGAGGAGCGAGGAGATACAAGGAACTATGTACCTTAGGTACTCCCTAACTACATACATATGTACATAAGTACATATGTTATGTAAGTAGGTACATTGTGTGTATTGTGGTGTAGATATAGAGGTCCGATCACGTATGGTAGCACATTGGTAGGAAGACAAAACGTTACCTAGGTACTCTACTTCGTTAGGGCTAGGTATGTAGATTCACAACAGGTTATCTACCCGAATACAGTAAGCCGTGTAGCCTACCAGTAACTCGAGCTGGATATTTGATATCCCGTCCATTGTACCTTATTTAGTAAGTGCCGGTTGGTGGTCGGGAGGCGTCCTAAGGACTGTGGTTCTGTGTGGTGTTAGTGATTCTCTGCGGACAGGTGCGGACTCGGCCTTGTTTCGTCTTTGTGGCACGGAATACAAGATTTGAAATAAAGCTCGCAGTCCGCTGCAGTTACCCTAACTTCCTGCGTTAAGCGTACCTAGAACGGTACTGGTATATGCCTACCCCATCCCCAGCTACATACATGTACATCTAGGGAGCTGCAGCCATGGGAATTGGTCGGCTCTGACACGGGCCATGTAGCCATACCTGGCGATCTAGGCCGCTTGCCCGCTGGGTGGAAGTAGACGTACATGGGCCTCTCACTGCAGGTTGCTGTGTAATTGGTAGGAGGGCGAGGACGCGACCCAATGGGATTGGACTTGTTTTCAACCAATCCTGGCTGTTGTGGTGGTGTGTGGTGTTGTTGCAAGGAACAGCCACATCCATCCAACTGATGATGCTGATGCTGATGATGATGTGTCTATCCGAAGGAGGATGGATTGTTTGGCGTATGCAAGGCGCGTGTGTGCACTGATAGCTTAGCTGTACGTGCAGCCAATCTTGCATTTATTTACTCAGGTCATTCATTTTACCTGCCTTGCTACCTTCAACCCATCCGTCGTTGTTGTTGTTGTTGTTGTTGCTGTTGTTGCTGTTGATTCATTCAACCCACGGTTAGGGGGATGTTGTTGGCTTAAACTCGTTCAAGGGTGTATAGTAGATAGATACCAAGTACCTATGTCTTATCGCCCGCAACACACATTTACATGTAAAATACATGTGCGTGTGACTACCTCCTACTACCGGTAACCTACCTACCTCATACCAGTAAAGTGTACCTGGGTACGTACATAATGAAGTCAGTACATACATATGCACCAGGTACACATGTAGGTACGCTCTTACATAGGATACAGATACGGTACAATATTGTGGCAAGTGTCCTTCTTCAAGCTGAGACGCGGATAGGGAAATGCTTACCTAGTAGTCGGTTAAGTGCCTCAGCATGCAGCACTATACTTATATCCCGACTTCCATGTTAAGTTCGCTCGCTTGAGGGGCGGGGCTGTGACGTTGAGGCGGATCTCCATAGGCTAATGCAAATACCGACCTACAAATACCTACTTGATGTCCTTGCCTAGGAAATGGATGCAACTTGTAAGGAAGTAAGTGTAGGTAGGTTACTCTGGTAGGTACCTAGAGGCAGGTAGGCAGGAGAATACCCACCACGGCACAAAACACCAGGCTTCGATGACCGTTGATATTCATCGTGACCCGGGGATATTTCCTGATAGATAGCTTATAAGGCGGGCCTTCACGTGATGCTTGGTTTGTTGGATCAGCCACTGACAGTACCTACATGGCCGAGATACTGGGGGAAAACGAAGACTACCGGTATTGAAGTACCTAGGCTACCTGCTAAGTAAGGTAAGGTAATATAAGTCAAGAGGTGTGTCCAGTCTGGGGAGGAGGCTTGAAAGAAGGTGGGGGATGATGGAGACTTCACTCACTGAGTGATGGAGAAGGGGGGGGGGGGGGGGTGCATGTAACTCATCCATGGATCATGTAGACTGGAGAGGACTGGCGAGGACTGGGTAGCACCATGAATGATGAGTACCTCGAGGTATCGTACACACACCACCATCCATACCCTTGTCGCGGGCATCGAGGAAACCTGAAGTGTATAAGCTCGCTCTGATCTAGAGCACAAATGCAAAAGCCCTGACATTTCGCTCCAAAACACACCAGCCCCAACCGGATTTTCTGCATTGCACATGGTCTGCGTGAGACACAGACGACGTATTGATGATGACCCGAACTTGCACCTCGCCAGCCAGTTAATGTCCGTCTGCTGTCCAAGGCTCTCTGTGTTTGTGTGTCTGTGTCTCTGTTTTGTGTCTCTGGCTCTGGTCCTCTCCGCGCTCTGGCGTGCTCTAGCTGTTACTTTTACTTCCTCTCCTCTCCTCGACCAAGCTGCCTGCTGCTGCTGCTGCTGCTGCTGGCCATGCCAGTTTTGTTGTGTGCGTGTGTGTGTCAGTGTCAGTGTCAGTGTCAGTGTCAGTATGTGTGTATGTATGTGTGTATGTGTGTGTGTGTGTGTGCGCGCGTGTGTGTGTGTATCTTGTTATGCGCGTAGTTGGTTATTAGTAACAATGTTGCAATGCTGATGATACAACACAAAGTGAAGCCCTGCACACACCAACACACGCGTTGAATCCCAGTAGGTAGGCATGCTTGTTGTCATGTCGCCATAGTCTCTAGAGGCCCTAGTTCACTGTTGCTTGCTAAGTTAGTCGACTCTCTTCAATTTCTCAGTTACAGACCGTGCCTTGCGCGTATACACCTCTTGCCAACATTCGCTGCCTGTCTACTTTGCCTACTTTGCCTACTTTCCTTTGCCTCTTTTACCTCTTTTACCTCCTTTACCTACTTGACCTACAAGACAAACCAGGCCGACCTCGAGACCTTGGCTCGATTTTGACGTCGGTTGTTGTCGGCATGCACCTGACCCGACCCTCTCTACTGCGTAGGTAGCTTCTTGAACTGGTTTCAACCCCATTTCCTTCCAGCCAGCGCCAAGCGCTGAGAGCATTCCTCGCCTTCGTATAGCCATGAGTTGCCGGGTTAAGGTGTCTTGTCTTGTCTTGTCTTGTCTTGCCTTGTCTAGTAGTGGCAGCCGTGTTGTCAATGTTGCTTGTTATTATTCATTGCTCCTCCTCTGAGCATTCTCGGCGGCAACACACGGCCTGCTACCTACCACGTTGTCTCTTTTCTTCGTTCTCCCCCCTCGCATCCTCTCTCTACATACCTAGAGAGCTACCTACACTCACTTAGCCTCTTCTCGATACCACGCGGCTCACCAGTTAGCGAAGGTCTTTCTCGAGACATTTCACATTCTCCTCTGGTGAGTATCGTTATGATTACTGCTCGTCTGCCCCTGCTTTCCCCCTACCCCCCTCCATCGTCAACCATTTATTTGAGTACAAACGACTCTGAACGACGTACGCAACACTACCGGGTAGATAGCTGGCCGCCATCGTCCCCTCTCGGTTCCCTTGTCGTATCATGTCGTGGTCGTCTCAAGTCCGTCTTCTCGTCCCGTCCCGTCCCAACCTTGCCATCCGGCCCACCCAGGATAATAATAATACAGTGCTCTCCTCCCACGTCCTGCGGTACTGTGCTGGTACTACACCCAGCCTGCATGACGTGCAGTAACCTCTACATTTCTGCAGTCGGCCAACCTAGCAACCTATTTTATACCTGGCATTCTACTTGCCCTATCTGAACTCCAACTCTCCCCATCCTATCCCGATATCATAAATCATAATACCTTTGTTGCCTGTTTATTTGGATCCCCGTGTTCTTGTTTGCTTGCCGTACCTTGCCCCTTCTGCTCAGGTTACCACAACACCCATAGGCATAGGCCGCTCGACGACATGTTCGGCCTGCTGACTTGGTGGTAGATTCGACGTGAGCGTTTGCTTCTTGTCCCTGGCGTCTCGGGCGTGTCAACGGGTTTCCGACTCCAGGGGAAACGGACCTCTCATCATATCGCAACTTGATTGCAACTTGATTGCAACTTGATTGTCGGACTGGTTTCGCCTAACTGCTTGTTCCGTTATTATCACTGGAATCTCCTACCTCGCCATTCGTTAAGTTTTCTGTCTCTGGTCGGCACAAGCGCAGGCACACATACATATAAACGGAAACGTACACCTTGTCTGTACTGGTACATAGAAATACATCGGCCCGTTACCACTCTCCATCTTGGTCACAGTCACACTCTTCTCTAACCTCTAACTGCTACCCGTCCCCACACTCTTACTCCGGCCCGGGGCCCTGCAAACGTCAACGAGGCTAGCAATCAAGTGTGTTTCGTCGTCGTTGTCGCTGTCGCTGTCGTCGTACTTCATCATCGGGCCTTCAAGTGTGCTGCTGGACTGCTGCTGGTGGCTCACCCGGCAAGTTGGCCAACCAGCAGTGGGTTGTCGTCGGTTATCGAGAGCTGCCACAGCACGAAGAGCAGGCAAGCAATGCCCTCTCAGGTTACCGGCAATAGCAGCAGTAGTATTGCACCCCCATCGACCGTTGTGGCCTCGACCACGGCTCCAATCCCCGTTGCGACCACCACTCCCGCTCCCACCCATACCACCACCACCACCACCATTCCCACCATTCCCACTAGCAGCGCTACAATAACACCTGGCCCTGCAGCTCCTACAGGGGCGATCGCGCTCAAGCGACCGGCTGCATCCGATCTGCAGCGCATTGCCGGCACCAGCGCCACGCCGTCCAAGAGACAAGCTACTGGCTCTGGGAGCCACAGCCTACGATCCATCCCGAATCCAACAAGCGCCGCTGGTGCCAGTGTCAGCGCCAGCGCCAGTACTGATCCAAGTCGCTTCGAATCGCCCGCCTTACTATCCCACCACACCCAACTGCTCTTCCAGCCTGCGTCGGCTACGGTCACGGCCACCATGCCTGCGCCCGCACTACTCACCGAGGACCAGCTGCATGACCGAACCCCCGAGCAATTGATTGCTACCATTCTCCAACTCCAAAGCCAACATCAGCATTTTCTCGCGCAAATCAACGCCCAATTTGAGAGTATCAACCAGCAATTGACCGATCTGCGGAGCGGGCTTGTCGCTTCTCACCAGGCTGCTGCGTCGGTTCGTTCGGTCTTACATACATTATGTCACCTTCCAAATCTTGATACTGCTGCTGACTATTTCTTACTATTGTAGGCCCTGAGCGCTAGAGACCAACCCGTGCGATCAATCATACCACCACCGCCTGCGCCTCCACAGCAAACCGCCGTTCCCCCGCCTCCGCGACCGCCTACGCAAACACCCACACGCGCCACACCTCGTGTACCGCCTCCATCTCCCGGTCATCATATTGCTCCCAGGTCTTCCGTGTCGGGATCAACACCAACTCCGGCGGGCCCTCCACAGTATGAGTACCGAACCGTGGCGACAGTAGAGGAAGTATGGAAGGAGTACCGTGAAGGCATGGGTGGACAGCCGGCCATCGAGAAACTAGATTCTATGTACGGATCGAGATGGCGACCAGAACCTCGTGGACGAACCTGGTATTCGAGACGGAAAGTCATTTGGGATAAGATTCGCGAGTATATAAACGAAGGCATGGACGAAGATGCGGCAGTACAGGAGGTGGAGAAACTTCGTGAGGGGGGGACAATTAACAAGTTGATCCGCATGCTACAAGATGAGCGGAAAGAAAAGGGCATTGGCGATGATGGCGTTGGCACCTAGAAGCAAAGTTTTCTCGAATCATACATATAAGGCTGGCGTTTTTGGAGAGGGCAGCATTGATACCACTCACGAGGGGGGTTGGTGGGTTGCATTTCGGAATGGGTTGACACTTCGGGTTACGACTATATCTCCGACTTGTTACGAGCTATGTTCATGGCTGTGGTAGAGGCTTGGAGGCTACCTTCGCACAGCGCCGGCTACGACACGACAGGTCGCCTATCGGCGGAACTGCGATCACTTACCCTTTGCTTGGATATCCGCGAAAGCTAGCACTTGGCTCAAAATACTTGTGCACTTTGCCCCCATCCTATTGTCGAAATCATGGAACGCAGAGCCATGGACACGTGATGGGGATGTCACTGCGATACATTGTCCCAAGTATATGAACTTGCTATAGTGTAGGACCAGCAGTTTAGAGCCAATTGGCTAGCTCAGATAACTTGGAACACTCATCTTGTTGAATAAACCCGCACTTCTATCCATATTGCCGAGCCGACACTACAAATCATGATTCGGAATAATAGTCACGGCTGAAGGTTGAATATACGTCACACAATAGATAAAATTGCTCTCGTACAAATGCGCTTGGGTGTAGCTGTATGAACAGGATGTCAGACTTATCTTCTATCCGAGGCCTTATAATAACAAAAGAAGCCACATCAAGCGGTAATTGACAGAATGCCACCTGCATGACTATCATTACAGTAAGCATACCTTTTCTTCTCACTAGACTGAGCATGCCGATATCCGAGCATATAACCACAGGGTGGCGGTAATGGCGGTTATGGAACTGCTGCCTCATTAGTCGTGTCTAGATATATTAGAGTAATTGCCCGTGTTGGCAGTGGCTGACATGAGGCCTTTGCATGAAACATGTATGTGTGTCACGCTTTATACAGAGTTCATACAGAGGCTGTATCGATCGCGGCGCCGTATGGTTGGAGGAACATTTATTTTTTAGATTACGTCAGGAAATTCCTGGCGATGGCGACCGTTCAACGAGATGCATTTCATAGACTTCTATAGAATGTATCCATATGTACATGTGTTTGTATGTATGAATGAATGAGAAGTACGATCAACAGGGGATGACAACTGGGGAGTATCACCACATCTATGACTTCACATAGAAAAATAAGAGAAAAGACCGTGCTTAGTCCTAGTCTTGAGATTTTAATACAAATCGGTCTCGGGTTTTCTAGATACAGCGTCGCTGGTCGGTCACATCCTCCTCGTGTTGACAGCAGCTGCAACTTTCATGGACTGGATTCCTTGCGGTCCTATTCTAAGTGCAGGATATATATCTAGTCATCGGGCTATTCCGGGCCACTACTAACCTGCTTACAGGGAAGCCGTTACAATCAAGATTTAATGCTGTTTACCATGGATGGGAGACCATAGGTCTTGGGCTAGTCACAGTAACGTTGCTAGAGAAACTACAGAGGAGCCGGCCTGGTTGACCCTTCGGACGCTATTGTCAGCCTCGCATCACTTGGGGGTATCGCCTGTGCTGCGAGTAGAAGACATTATCCTTTCTGATTGATAATAGGTCCCTTCGTACCAATGAGAGCCAGCTTGACTAATAATGTGCCTAAATGCTTTATATCATCTTACCTATCTATACCAAGCAATGACGATCTGCTTTCGCCGAATGACTGCTCGGAGCCGTGGCATGGAATAAGAGCCGTCTATGCTTCGACCACGCTCTTCTAATCGCTCGTTTGCCTATCTTTCTCTTGTGCAGCATCTAGACCTGATAAGATGCCTGTGGGAGGTAAGTTGAAAAATAAACCACCATGTGTGCAGTCTTGGATGGGAAGCGGCGTTGCAACACCAACAGCCACGTGTGCACGTGTGATTTGCTTGAACTTGACAATCCAGGTCTGTGAGTCACTATATTCTTTATACAACAACAATAACACCAAGCTGATGCAATATCTCCCACTACTCGTATTGGTTTCTGAAGCGTGACGGCTTTGATGTGCACAATAACGTAGCTTACGAGTTCCAGCTGCATGCAAGTGTTAAAAGTACTTAGCAAGGTTCCCTTGCCTTGTTTGTAGAGTAGACCGTCTGAGGACCTGTTGTGATTTCTGATGCTGCTTTATGCACAGAAATTCTGATGAATTCACCAAATATCTCAGATAAGTTGCGACACGCGTAGCTTCATATCAATATAGAGATAGATCCTCCTAAATTACCTACGGAGAAGCTTGGAGCTGAATGACAGAACGTGAGAATCTAAAATCAAGCGATGTAGTTTCATAGGGTCATTCAAATGGGAGTGCCTGTCAGCCAAGACAGACATTATTGAGCAGCAGACCGAGATGGTTGAAAAACAAGTATCTTGTCTCAATATGAAGTAATAAGGCCTACAGCGACAGGCGAGATCCTTAAATGTAACATGCCACCAGAGTCGAAATGCTACAACTTGTCTTTAAGATAATTGAAATATGAGAGGTACGATCCTCACCGATAGCGCCCATCTCAAGCGATACAAGATGTGCTATGTTCTTGTGAAGTGGGCTGAACTTGAAAGTTCGATACGAGGGTACTCATGATGAAACTTGGAATAATTAGATTCGTCTTTGCTCCGTAACTCCTGATACTTTCCTCTACTAAACATGTGCCCAATTTGTGACATCCGCCTTTGTCTGCTACCTATAGTCAACACTAGCCAGATGTTTCCGGAAACAGTCTTTGTCTCACAGGAACCATGCCACAGCAACTTGACGGAGGGGCACAAAAAGGGTGGTGGCAGTAATCAAATCTACTAAATATGGACTGAAGATCAACGGGGAGACTATGTATTTATAGCTAGCGGAACGCATTAGGATTAGGTGACGATATAGGTTGGTGGTTAAACGTGTAAGCAAGCTATACCAATCTTGATAGAGTAGATCGGTCGATGAAATGAAAGCTTCAGTGACTGAGGGACAGCACGGCGACGATAGCTCGGATTCAGACGCACGAGGAGCTCACGAATTACGCCTATGGCCACCGCCTCGACTGCAGGCGTACTGCCTCGACCACTTCCTTATGGAATGCGAGATATACCACGAGCAGGAGAATGACAGATACAAGAAGCTAGTAGCGCATTCACGCGAGAGCTTCCTCAAGAAAATAACATCATCATCATCAAATCCACAACAACCTATTATTTCTGCCCCCACGCGCCGGCAGCCCTCGCGCCGAGCCAAGGAGAAGCACTCCGTAATAGGAACGCCGTCATCACTGAATGGTCCACCACGGCCTCGGAAGCTATCCATCGCCCCCTTCAAGCCGGCGAAGCTAGAAAAGGCGTTCAAGGAATCTCCACAGGGCACCATGTTTCGGATCCTCAATGGGTTCTGGAAGAAACTCGAACTCCACAAGAGTTGGGCTGCATACCGCTCGGTACTGGAGAGAAAGGTCCAAGAGCTCGTGAGACGATTGGAAGCTGAAACGGGCGAGGTACGACTCTTTCGATTTTGTACATTTGTAAATCTACTATTTATTTCTCACTTTTCATTCACTCCAACCATTATTAGCCCTAATCATTGTCTCTTTGCTCCCCTTTCTAGAAGAGAAGAGTGCTATATCAAAAATAACACAACCCCCTATGAAACACAGGGCAAACCCATCCATAAAGACTGCGTTTTCCGCGGCCCCTTAGGGGTAGAATGTCGGTACTGTGGGTTCGTGGCGACAGTGCACGAGGACGCGGCAGTGACGCCGCGGAAACTCGCTCCGCCCGCCGCCATGCGCGCAATACGGCGCCTCTCCGAAGGCAGCGACGACACAGCAGGGTCGCCAAGACTCGAGTTGCGCGGAACGGACATGATCGTCGACATCTGTAGCGGGAAGGCGATGATCGTGCTCGTGAATCTCAAGGGAGTCCTGGATTTATGCGCTGAGGCCCTTGGGGACGAAGAGGTTGTGCTGGCGAGTCCGACTAGCTTATCGGCGCGTTTGAGCACGATTCAAACCCCGAGTTCTACAGTTACACGCGCTAAGAGATGGAAAGAAACCGAGCGAGAGACGCCCAGAAGAAATAAGAGGAGAAAATCAGAGGTACTACCTGACTAAGCAGTGTGCAGGGGAAAATAAATGTGCATTAGCGACTTGGCTGAGTTCATCAGTATATGAGACGAATCCGAGATCACTCGAAAATTCTAGCATGCAATGCACTACTCGTAATATTCCCCCACTGATATTCATTTTTGGTCCCAGGGATATTATCAGCTCTTCATTGAGCCTGTGTAGAATATAATCCATGCATCTCGGCGCAACGCCTGATTGCGGCTGTATCAGATCTCTCGTCGTCCTTGAGGCCTTGACGGCCGACCTAGTCATTGCGGATATTGATTGATCAAGATCAATAAAGCAACCACAGATTCGTACCACAAACCACCGGCTGCATTGTTTATAATAAAAATACTCAGAAAAACACCAACTAAAAAAAACTCGCAATGACCACATATAAATCCGATTCGCATCAAAAGCATCCCACTTTGATATAGCTAAGTACTACAGACAAATCCATATAACTATCCTCGCCTAGCTTAGTTATACATTAGGCAGATGGTTATTAATCCCAAGTTTGACTATGAGATATAGTGGATATAAGTACTCAATTAATATCATTACTGTAGAGCTGTGAATCGTTAGAAGACGTTAATTGATAGTTGTTTCCTTTAAAGAATCTATACATGCTACACCAGCAGTAACGCTGCGATGTCTCGTAACTTACTCGTAACATAACACGCTAATAACAAGATGTGAACTATCCAATGTCATAGATCTTTATGGAGCAGATGCCAAGAATATTAAATTCTTCAATGTGATTCGCCGCCTCTGTTACAGTTGATCATTAATGGTGACATTGTTCGTCATTGCGAGCTAATCCTGTGCGCTACGTGAGCACCTTGCTGGCAACCCTGAGGGCTTTTGATAAGACTGTGGCTAAATAAAATATAAATACATATTCGGGCAGAACGCTACCCTGAATCAATGCTTTTCACAGTCTTCAGGTTTAATAAGATATGCTGAATATCGTGCGAACCTTGCTCCCATACATACCAACCTTCGCTGGCTTCTTGATGGCGTGGTAAGAGCTACGTTTCATGGGGGCTCTTCATCAACTCTCCCTCATTAGGAACGGCGGTTTTCAACAGGTCCCGTCTCTCTGGCGTACTGATGATTATAACTCATCTTTTGCTTATGCTGAGACTAATTTTGGCAAACGAGATAGTAGTCAATCTGACTTGCTCCTCAACGCGAAGCCTATATTGTCAACATTGAGAATACCCACCGTTGGTACTCCAATATACGAAGGGCCTTTTGCATGTTATCCCACGCCTCTACGTCCTAGGATGTTGGTCCCCGGATGCCGGGCTCGTTAGGATTGCTTGGCCATGAACCAAGGGGGGGGATGATTGGGTATGGCTCTGCAGCAGTCGAACAAAGATACCTAACACTCGAAAGGGTACGATGACTGCTGGAGTAGGATGCATCATTGATGGGACTTGGAGCGGACACACCAATAGCGCGAACTCGATCAACTGCGTTGTTGCTGTCATGACGCACGAGAGATGAGGAAAACGGGAGCGCAAGCCGCAGTACGCACGCACGAATGTTGCATACCTAGGGAGATAGCATTCTTTACTTGGACGGCTGGCGACGTAACTCGAATGACTAACGAAGGCCGGCCACCGGACTGTTGCAGGACTCGACGAACCTCTGCCCCTTGCTATTGTTTGTCTTGGTTGTGCATAGACACATGCAAGAGGCACCGAATGGGGTAAACATCATTTATCGTGGCGTTGTCATTGCCACTTGACTCGCCACGGAGCAAGCAGGGTTATCTATGCATTTATTCCCTTTCCATCTCGTCTGAGAAGTGTTACCAGAAGCCCTTTCTCACTTGTGTACCGCATCTTGTCCAACGTTGCACGCACAACGAGCCTGTATGAACCAACAGAGTAACTGGCCACGTGGGAGTATTGGTTACTATTTCCGAGGGGCATCGGAGGACCAAGATATGGGGAACAATGGAGTTGGATGGATGGCCATACCTTTCTGACCTAGGAGGAGTGCCTGCCTACCTAAGTGAGAACTTGGCGTGAAGCACGTAGATGGTCCAGACGAAGAGCGACAGCTTACAGACAAGAGGGCTACTACCTTGGCTAGAATGGACATGCTGGTACACAATAGCTAAGACACACACACACTGTGGGATGTGAATGATCTCCCATCCGGTCTTGGAGGTTTGTTGACGCTGTTGGTCATGATTATCAACCCCCCCAAAAAAGTCCGACACTGGCCGGGTTCCCTAGCGCGGCGGCGGGATTTGCAGCTCAGCCTACCACAGCAGGAAAGAGAGAGGGCGACGATCATGGACTTGCTGCGCAGACCGGGCGGCGAGTAAGAACAGAGGTAGGGGCGGGTTTGATGTCACACACTTTGCGTGACTTGTGCGTGCTGCATGTAGCTACTACGTGCGTACCAGACCAGCGTGGAACGAGGGAGGGATCGAGGGGATGACAAGAAAGCAGGACCCTCGAGGCTTAGCTCTTCTTCGCCTAGCTTGCCAATACCAGTGGGTTTTTCCCTGCAGAGAGGTTCTCTCGCACGAGAGGAGGAGGAGGAGGAGCAGCGAGAGGGAGGGGAGGGGAGGGGAGGGCAGGGGGAGGGCACTCGGGGCAGTTCGGGGGTACGCATACTTGCTATTCGCGATCGACTATGTACTCACACCTGGTCTATGGTCTATGGAGCTGTACCTGTATCCCACTGTATCATACAGTAGTACTAAGGTATCCTACTAGGTGTAGGTGAAGGAGCCGGTGTTTCCGTTAGATTGTGAGTTTATCTGCTGGTCACCCTACGCCATTGTTAGGTACGGTATCCCGTGGGATGAAGCACAGAGGTGTGTGTTGCTGTTAGCCTCGGACTGCAAGCGGCGAGGGGAGGGATGACGGAGGCGGCGGCAACAGCTTGAACTTGGGGATGAAAGAAAGAAAGAGAACACTGCCTCCTCAAGACATTGAGGCAGGTAAGTACATACGTAATGTGATGTACGTATATACTGGTACAAGGTTCCCACGCACAAGATAGGTACCTCCAGTAGGGAAGTCCACCGTGATAGTGACAGTCACAATGACAATGAGATGCATGGGATTGAGATGGATGTCGCGCAGAAAAGACGCAGAGGAGGCGTCCAACGGCACAAACCACGCAAAGTCGCTTGTTGCTTGTCGTTGCCTGCACTAGCCGGTCATTCCCATTGTCTGATTGGCCTCGCGCCGTGCTGTGTGGACTTGCCCGGTGGGTGGCACATGTTTGGGGTCCTCGAGTCTGGAGTTCTGTCTGGAGTCTGGAATCGCCTATATAAGCCTCCTCAGTTCCCCTCCATCATTCCTACAAGTCGCTTCGATTATCAACTATCCAACACCACACTCAACCGCTCTATCTACATTTCTGCACCCATATATCCATCTACCGTCTTCCAAGACCAAGACCAAAATCACAAATCAGCCAAAATGAAGGGTGACTGCTCTTGCTCTGGTGGCGAAGGATGTAAGCATCGCCCCCCTCTCTCCCTCTCTCCCTCTCCTCTTCTATTCCCCTCACCTCTGCTATGCCATGGCGCTTACCCCGCTATCATCATCTCCGATTGCATGCCCGCTGCTAACCTGAATTGCTATAACAGGCACATGCGGCTCTGGCTGCTCTTGCGGCAAATAAGTTCTTGATATCCTCAATTTGCGAGCACCTATAACACCAAAAGAAACCAACCAAAAAAAAAAAAACAATCGCTAGCATCATTCCCCTGGGAGGATACTTTTAGGACGTCAAATCGGCAGCTACAACACGGCCTAGATTCTTGCTACCATTAGTCCCCTCGCTGTTCATTATGGATCGTATTATTTGAATAGATTGGGGGTGGCGGGTGCATGGGGGCGGGCAAGTTCGCAAACAATTCGAGTTCTCGAGAATCAAACAGATTGTCTTGTCAATATCTCTGCGAGTCACTCCTTGGAAATTCAGACTTTCTCTTATGTGACCCCGAAACACATCTGTGCCCCGTTTATTCATAACGTAGCATGTTCATTATATTGTCACCGTAATCACACTCACTGCTATATTTGAAAGTAATTGCGTAGTTCTGTTGTGACCTTCCGCTGATAATCCAGAATCACTGTTCTCACAACACATATTGTGAACACGTACTTGCTTGCGAGCAAGGATCTGGTGAATTACACTCTCGATATGACATGTATAACGAACTCGGTAAGATGTATCGGCTTTCCCGCCTGAATATAATAAGCATGAAGGACGTGTGTAAGCATGGATCAGCTAAAGTAAAGAATATCCGAATGGTATTATTATCATGATCGTATCATATCCTAGTAGTGAGAATATTGAATGATTAGATGGCACGTTCTGCCCTCGCTCGATTTTCACGATACCGCTTCTCTTTTGCCGCCGCTTTTCGCCTCTTCCTCCACGCACGGTTCAAATCTCCTCGGCTTTCCCAAAACTGCTTCTGGAAGTCGCTCGCCGGCGTCTGGCTGGTCGGCTCATCTGCCATATTCCCCTCCATATCTACATCTTCATCTTGCTGCTCATCTTCCTCCTCTGCCACGTCATCAAGCTTCGTGGGACTATCCTCCGCATCCAACCCATTATCGTCTACGGAGTCTTGCGAGGCCCAAAAGTTGAAGGACCGGCTGGGGTGCGCCGTGTCGGGTGTGGGCGCGGCGCTTCGAATGTTCCGGAACTCAAACTCTTGCTTCGTGAATGGAGTCATAGGCGCTTGGCTCATAGGAACCGTCGAGTTTTCATCTTCCATGTCATCCTCGTTGCCGAAGAAGCTGAAAGGCACCATCTCGGAGCCACCATTGGACTCGCCATCGGCTCCCTGCGGTCGCTTGTACAAGGCTTCAAGAGGGTGTATCTTTTTGGCAGCGGGTGTGGCTGGTGGTATCTTGATTGACAGGCTTGTGATGGACCCTGAAGACTTGGGACGTGCGGAATCAGGCTTGGTGGCTGTCAAGGGACTGCTCGAATCTGGGGTCTTGACTTCGAGTTTCTTGGGCGTATTTACTGTTTTCGACGGTTGATCTGAGGCCTCAGAGTCTGAACCGGAACTAGAGGTATCATCATCCTCACCAGACGAGGATGATCCACTGCTACTCGTCTCGTCGTCGTCGTCCTCCTCCTCTACCGCCTTTTCTTGAGATAAAGGCGTGGTTTTTTCAGGCTTGGCGGGAATTGGAGCCGATATGACTTCTGGCCGCCTCTTTGACTTCACTGGTTCAACCACGTTTCCATTACCATCAACCCAGCCAACACCATCCTCAAAGGTAGTCGCCTCGGCGCCAGCGCCGGTTGAACTGGATTTAAGGAATGTAGGATACTTGGTAGTCTTTTCGAACTCGTGCACAATGACTTCGCGATTGCCCCTTCGGCCTCGGATTTTCTTGTGTGATGATGATTCTTCGTCGCCGGTCTCCTTGGTTTCAACCGAAGGAGTGCCGCTAGGGAGTTTGGTTTTGAAGAGACATTCAGGTTCGTCAGTATACTTCGATTTGACAGTTGCCCTCTTCTTCTTGTCCTTCTTCTCTTTCTTTTCATCCTTGGATAGCTGTTTTTCCTTCCTGTCCTTCCTAGCCTTTTTGCGCTTCTCCTCGATCATTTCTTGCTCCGTAGTCGTCCATCCTCGCTTGACTTTGCGGCCGTCGAGCTGAACGCCTTCAGTCACGTCGGTCTCGTGCTTCCGCTTCTTCGACTTCTTCTTCTTCTTCTTCTCTTTCTTTGCATCGGTTGTGTCGTCGTCGGGTTGAGGTGCCGATTCGGGACGCACCGTCTCTACGCGTATCTTGGACCCTTTCAAAACAGCGCCATTGAGTTTCTTCTTGAGCTTATCGGCATCCATTGTGGGCAGATCAACGAAACCAAAGCGCTTCTCGGGGAAGGTCTCAATGGTATGGTAGGATATGTTGCGTGCGCGCGGTAGAACAGAGGCGGGGATCACAACGCTCTGGAGGGACAAGTCAAATGGTGTGATGTGTAATCGTGTATAGTCTGTCGCAGCTTCGGCAAGTTCGGCGGACGTTGTTGATGCTGATGCCATTTCTTGCCAGCGGCCACACGCTCTGTATACTTATGATATATGCCGGATTGATCGTGGCGTAGGCGAAGACCGAGACGCAAGGCCCGTTGGCTGCTACAGCGTGATCACGCCGTTTCGGGGTGCGTAGATGGCCAGAGGAGGGTCCCTTCCTTGAGCCGCTAACCCAAAAAAAAAATGGCAACTTCAAAGGGAAACCCAGGTACCTAGGTAGGTACCCACCTACCTCTATAGCGCTTTCTGTAGTTGCTGTAGCATGCAGGTATAGGGCCTACTCTGGGCCTACCTAGGGATAAGATATAGCACTCATCCCTACCTAGGTACCTACCTACAACACCCAAGCAGCTTCAAGGTGTTGACAATCAATTGCTTAAGCATTCAGCGACGTTTCTATAAAGATGGCCTCCCCGAGATTTACTCCCACCAGGTTTGTCCGATCTGTATGTTGCGTCTAATACTGGCTGCTACCATATACGCACATCGATGTCTAATAGATACCGGTATATAGGTCTTGAAGTCATTCATGGCAGAGTCCGGGCTAGAACCGAGGTTAGTGAGGCACTTCCAATGCCTTCATACATCTTTCCACTACATGCAAACCACAATGCTCACACATCTATCTATAGGCTATTGGGGGCTAATGTGAGCTCTAGCTTAAACCAGCTACGATATCATAAAAAAAACATGAACTTCCAATTAACCGACGGTGGCAGATAAGAGTTACAAATGCCGTCCGTGGCAAGGTTGACTTTGAGCTGGATATCACGAAAGATCATACGGTATGGCCCCTATCTCCTGAAGGTGAGGCGCATTCACTCATCGAGGCTACATAGAATCGACTCAAAATATTGCACGGAGGCACGATTGCCTCAATGGTCGATCTAGGAGGCTCGCTTGCTGTGGCATCTACTGGACTTTACAACACCGGTGTATCAACTGACCTCAACGGTATAGTTTTCTCCTGTGTACTCCGTCACTCTACTGGGGGACATGCGAAGAGGTCTGTTCTCCTATGACTTGAACCTGGAATCTGACGTGAATTGATAGTCTCATACCTGAGTGGTGGTGGCAGAGTTGGTGATAAAATTACAGCTACAGCTGTCTGCGACAAGAGTAAACTCATTCCCACCCCCGCAAGTTAGATAATATCAGTGCTCATCTTTGCTTGCAGTCGGGAAGACTTTGGCATATACGTCTGTGACCTTCCGAAACAGCAAAGGCGAACTCGCAGCTAGGGGGAGCCATACAAAGTGAGTAATTGTCCTTCGCCTCGGTGTTTAGCTAGCTAGCTTGTCATGTCTTCCATCGGGTTGACAAAGCAGCCTCATATCTCTCCATCTTAATCGAAATACGGAATTAACATGTACAGGTATGTAACGCACGCGGTCAAGGCCCAACACGAGATTTTCGTTCCACCCAGACATGCTGAGATCGCCGATGATGTATAAGGTGAATATAGCATGAAAACAGCGCCTGGTCATATTAGCATAGGTATAGATAGATATATGTATATCAAATCATAAACCTTGTGAATCGCGGTAATCAATATAGATGGAGTTCAAGTTTTTGCCTGCTCGGTATCCTCACTGCTTGAGATGCTCACTAAGACAAATATAAATAAAAGAATATGTATAACCCGTGGTCGAGATAAGTGAACAAACATAGTGTGCTTATAAAGCATCCAAACTTGAATAAGAAATCAATGAATCAATCATCTTGTGCCTTCAATGAATTCGCAAGCAATGGTGGCCCTGACTCAAGCCCCTATCCTCTTCCTTTCTTCAGCTTGGCTTGCTCTCCCCCCCAGCTTCTACCCCCAGCAAGTTGAAACTGCCGTGCTCCAATGCCCAGACCCCGATAAAATGAGCCGGGGGGCCCAATGAGAAACGACAAGCCGAACGGTTTTTAGCTCGGCTATTTGTCGAAAGAAGCTTAAAACGACTTGGGTATTACTTACTTATAGGCGGCGTTTAGAGAGGACAGAATAGCTTTACTCATTTTCGCTAACATACATACATAGAAAAAAAACGAGCGGAGCGTTGGAGTATAGGTAAATTTGTGAGAACTGTAGGCTATTTCGCCTACTATTACAGGAAATACTAACCTCGCTGCAGATTATCTTAGACATTGCAGATTTATTTCCGTCGCGCTGGGAACTACATAAGTCAGCTCAACATTCACCACACCAAAGGCGGGGCGATAGGAGGGGAGTAGCTATGGCGACGATCGGTACGTTTTAGGCATCAGAATAAGTGAAACTTGACGACGAAGGAGACGAAACCGTCAAATTACATTTCCCTTCAACACCTCGATTCACGAGGGAAACTGGCAATATCACAAGCTTACCTAGAACTATGTATATACAGTGGCGGGTATCGCGGCCACCGCCGCAGGCCTCACATACCTCGACGGCAAATACCACATCAGACAGGACGTGCAGATGATACGGGCCAAGCGTAAAGGGGCCAAGATGTTGCAGAAAGCCAGTACGTATCTACACATGACATCCCTACATACACGCAGAAGCGCGAAGCAGCAACACTAATAGAAGCAACAGTCAAGGAAAAGCGCATATCGCCCTACTACTTCTTCGAGCGCCACGCGCGCGCCCAGCCAAGCGAAGAATGCATCTGGTGGCGCGGCGGCTCGTACACATGGGACGCAGCATATACCCGCGCGAACCAGTACGCGCACTTCTTCCGGTCGCAAGGGGTGCAGGCGAACGACTTGGTATCCTTCTTCATGATCAACAGCCCAGATTTCGCGCTCGCGTGGATGGGCCTCTGGGCGATCGGGGCCGCGCCCGCGCTGATCAACCATAACCTCAGCCAGCAGGCGCTGCTGCACTGTCTGAGCATCGCAGAGTCCAAGCTCGTGCTCGCGGACGGACCGGAGGGTCTGTTGGCGCGGCTGGATGCCGTGGAGGGGGATCTTAAAGCTTCCGGTGTCCGCGTCGTAAAATTATCCGATGTACGCTCTGAAATCGAGGCCCTCCCTACGACGCGATTGCCCGATGATCTCCGCGCAGCCGTGACTCCGGCCTCAGCCTTCGGATTGTTCTACACCAGCGGTACGACCGGGCTGCCGAAGGCATGCATCGTGCCTACTACGGCAGGCTTCATGCACGGCGCCGCCAAAGAGTGCGGTTTCGCGTACGTGACGCCAACGAGCGATAACGCGGCTTTAGGACGCGCGGAGCGCTACTACGACTGCATGCCCCTGTACCACGGGACGGGCGGCATCAGCGGGATGACGCAGCTGCTGACGGGGCAGACGCTCTGTCTGGCTCCCAAGTTCAGCACCTCGCGCTTCTGGGAGGACGTGCGCGCCTCGCGAGCGACGTGGTTCGTCTACGTCGGCGAGACGCTACGATATCTCCTCGCGGCGCCGCCCTCACCGCTCGACAAGCAACACTCGGTGCGCGCCATCTACGGCAACGGCTTGCGCCCGGACGTATGGATACCGTTCCGGGAGCGCTTCGGCATCGAGACGATCCACGAGTTCTTCAACTCGACCGAGGGCATCCTGCCCCTCGACAATCCCGCACGCGGCGACTTCCGCGCGCACAGCGTGGGGCACCATGGTCTCTTAAGCCGGTGGCGGTTTCACGGCATCCTCGTGCCGGTGGCAGTGGACGCAGAGACGGGGGATATCGTGCGGGACGAGAAGACGGGGTTCGCGACGCGCGTGCCGTACGAGACCGGGGGCGAGATCCTCGTCAGACAACCGCCGACCATCACCCCCGCTTTCCCGGGTTACTTCAAGAACGAGGAGGCCACGGCCAAGAAGTTCGTGTACGACGTCTTCCGCAAGGGCGACTGCTACTACCGCACGGGTGATGCCCTGCGGCGCGACGCCGACGGCCGCTGGTTCTTCCTCGATAGACTGGGGGATACCTTCAGATGGAAGGGCGAGAACGTGAGTACAGCCGAGGTTTCCGAGGTCCTAGGTAAGTACCCGGGGGTGAGCGAGGCCACTGTGTACGGCGTATCCGTGCCTGGCCACGATGGCAAGGCCGGTATGGCAGCTATATACATCAACACGGACGTTTCGAACTTTGACTATAAGGGATTACTGAGGTACGTGTCTCGTGTGATCTACCCCTCTCACCTGGCTCTTCTCCCATGGTCCTTACGATATGTTTACAAAAAAGTTATATTTGACCTTGGTATTAACGCTCATCATCTAGACACGCCCGAGATCATCTACCCAAGTATGCCGTGCCAGTATTTTTGCGTCAACTTGCCGCACGTTCCGCCACGCACAACAACAAGCAAGATAAGGTTCCCTTGAAGAAAGCCGGAATCGACCCGTTTCAGATGAATGGCGATTCGTTACTCTGGATCTCGGAAAACGGGAAAGGCGACGATTACATGCCATTCACATCGGATGAATTTCTCGCTATTCAAGTAGGACAAGCGAAGCTATGATCCCAGACCACCTCCTATGCTAAACGAACTGCATTGGTACCACCACTAGCCGTGGAGAGACAACGATTTTGTACACTAAAAAAACAAAGACAAACAGCAACGGTAATTTGAATCAGACCAATAGGCCGTAACTCTAGTAAATATGGACAGAGCTCAAGGAAATATCGGCGCCAGTTCAATTCAACATTGCGTCTACTCGCTGAATTCTTATCTATGGTGTTTCGAACAGATGGCTATGCATTTAGAATGAATTTGATTATGATTTGATGCATGCATCTGTGACTCATCAAGCACCGCTCATCAATTTTACCATTGCCACCATATCAACGTATTTCTGTTAATATTTTTAGTCGTATTTCTTTTGCAATATTTCGTCAAGATCGAAGGTAAGAGAAACTAGTCCGCATGGAGGCTTGTTCCCGTTCTAGACTGTTAGCTATTATTGCCACCTCTTTCGACACATAGGTTACGGCTTCAACGTGGAGCTGATCGCCTCGGCCAAGGTTCGGACATATAGCCAAATGGTCTAAGAATTGTGAGCGATGGAGACCTTGAAGAGTAACACTGGGTGCCATACTTTTTAGAGTCTACCGAATTGACCCCAGGCTTCGTCAGCCTGCGCTTACGAGATGCGGTAGCCCTAGTAATCTTAACTGTCTTAGGTGCCTAGCGCTCATATCAGTCCTGTCTCTCTGGTGCGACTGGTCAAACGTACCTCAAAATCATTATTCCCTGGTGCCACCATTTCTGCATAATCAAGCCGTGGTACATTTCTAAGAGTACGACGGGGATTTTCGTGTTCTCCCTCGTGGTTTGGCAGAAGGCTGCGAGTTGACTCTCGCAATCTAAAGAATGAGGTTGAAAAATCATCACCTGCGTCGTGTTTGCGCATACTACTCGTACGATCTCCTAGGGAATTACCCTGGAGGGCTCTCGTAGGAGTAACTATCTTAACTTAGCAACTATATCTCATCTATGGCAACTAGAATGTATAGAAAATCCAAACTCACAAGTGTGAGGTTTTGAACCAACGTGTTCTCTAATCCAATATTTACTGGCCATCTCACCTCCCCATACTATCGGGTATCAGACGAATAGAGTAAAGAAAAGAAGAGATAAAGAATCAAAGAATGAAAACAATAAGGCGTATTGGGGAGGAGTTCATACCTTGCCACGCATATCTTTCGAAAATGGACTCATTTGTCAGCTCTTCTTCCCCAGATGCGCACTTGACATGCTCTTGAAAATGCTTTAGTGCCCTATTGTTCTTCAAAGGAGGCTCGGTGAAGATGCCTTGTGGCTCGCAGTGTTCACATCGAATGACAAAATATCCTTCTCGGTCTGCATGGCGAAATATACATTCTATCCGGAAAGATCAGTTGTTACTCGCAAGGAAAGTGAAGGATAGAAAGTTGCGCACATCAAAAGGCTAATCAAGACTATACGTGGGCTATGAAAGAGACCGTGGTCATACCTCCTGTTTTTAAATTTGGGAACGCAACCGTCCGCGGGCTGTCGGGATCTACTAGTTTCAAGGATATCTACGATACTCGTCAGGTGTATGAAGCTCATCACCAAGTCGATAGGGGCGCATACCTTCTCCTTGGCTGTTCTTTGCCGCTTACACGACGCATCGCTCTCGGCACTCTGGTCCCGTTTGGGGCTGCAGGTAGTCTTAGAACTTTCAGCAGTAGCTAAAGATTGGGTTGCAGAGTCGAGACTAGGTGGCATTGTGGTATTATACTGGGTCGTTAAGTCCAGCGCATCTGCTGCCGGAGTTGACTCAGTTAAGGAAGCAGCATGGCTCCCTGGAATTGCGTCAGAAAGATGGTCAAAAGCACTATTAGACGAAGCAGCCGGGCTAGGCGTGGAGCGAGAGTTCGAAGTAGAGGCGGAGGTGAAGGGAGAGGCGGTCATAGGCAACGTCAGTGACGTAGTGCTCGGGAACAGAGCAAGATGACGGGGTGCTATGGCATGAAGCTGGTTGATGGCCTGTTCGACTGTCGCCGCATCGAAGCGGAGAAGCTTGAGGTGCGCACGCAGGTCGCGAACGGCAGCTTGCTTTTGTTTCTCGAAAGCATCCCGCTCCTGATCGACTTGAGCCAAAATGGCGTGGAATTGTGGAAGCAACTCACGCTCAAGGCGCTCGTCACATTCGCGGGCCAGGTGCTCCAATTGACTCTTCATGTATTTAGGAGCAAAATCGAGGATGGCAGCATCGAGCTGGACATCAAGAGACAGCCGATGTGTCATATCGCGCCATGCAAGATAGCGTTGAGCCCAAACCGCCACGGGTGGAAAGATGTGTTGTATATTCTGCTCCGAAAGGGTCTGATAGCCGTACGACGAACCAAGAAGGTTCTACCTCGCAGGCACTGACGGCGGTGGCTAGATGGATGGATAGATAGACAACTGGGGTTGGTCTAAGCCAGGACCATGTGACCGTGAACGCTCGGCCAGGTGAATAAGTACTTAAAACAAGTCGTTTGGACAGTGTAAGAGAGCATACATGTGAGCACGATAGCCAGTCACATCCACAGGGCTGAATAGAGACTTTCAAATGATCAAATGACTGATCTACGGGGTAATTGGACAGAAAGATGGAGAACCTTGGAAGGGCGAGATGTGGAAATAACAGTGAACATGAGCAGTTGGTGCGAGGAGGGCAGCCGGGGACGGATGCGGTGGGCGGCAGGGGCGGGTAGGGCAGGCGGGAGTTTTGGAGGAGGCTCAAGGCAAGACGGGGACGGTGGTGGAAGGTGCGGAGTTGGCGTTCTTCTTCTTTTTCTCCTTCTTTTTCTTCTTCTCCTTCCTCTTCTTCTTTTTTGATTTTGGGAAAGGGTATGGTAGGTGTAAAAGTGTATACCTCCCGTCTTAAAGATAGGTAGGAGGTAGGTAGGTGTGTGTACCTACCTGCATGCTACATATATCTGTTACATATATCTACCACATATTTACATGCCCACTTCATGTACCTAACTATCTCTCCACGGATCATGGCAGGTGGTCAAGGAATCGTCCTCAAATGGCCCAAATGCTGGTCTAAAAGATCTGTCGGTAAATGAGGGTAGACCTTTGATCCCGTCTCTGCCCGTCCCTTGCTGTTGCTGGAAAGGCGCAAACGGGTGGGGAGGCCACGCCCCCAGGATATTATCAGGGCTGCAGTCTTGCAGTGTTCTCCGCGTTACACAGATGCTGTGTGGAAATTGAATTAGGCAGGTAGCTCCTCGCTACCATTCCCGCCAGCAATAGTAAGAGGAGGCTATCATTTCGTATGTATCAGGTGTACATATATATGTAGGCGATGGCTATGGTGATACATGCATATGTACGTACTGTACACCGGCATGTCGGTGAAGAGTAGCACTGACACAACGCCCACCGGTTTCACGTAGGCTGCCTATCCAAAATGCTTGTAACGAACGGCCTGACTACTGGTGGCACAGCGAGAGATGGGGTGTACGGGCGAGCGAGGTGAAACCGCGTGACTGAGCCACATGCAGCTCTCCCTATTGGGAATGAGGCCCCTCATTTTGGCCATGAGCATGGATCAGAAGTGGTCCTGCCTACTTGACAGCCGTGGCTATGGGAATTAAGTCGGGATGGAATGGAAAGAGACTACAACAACAATGAGAAGGCTGAAAGGGAAAGCGGGAAAGGATGATTGCGCGATGAGTTCAAATGGTATGGTGGGAGGAAAACGAAGGGGGGAAACAAACAATATGCGAACGAGGCTTTGTTAGTGATACCCCCTCTCACATACAACTAACTCTATTCTGTCGATTCCCTCTGCCTGCATAATGATCGAATCAATCTCCTTACGAGCTAATTCAAACCTAACTGGACCCGGGCAACTCGCCATTTCAGTATCTCGGTATTACGGCGAAGCTTTTTGTCACACCATCTTATTTGCTCATGCCTCGTAATTGCGATTCCTGACCAAGAGTATCATAGAAATCCCAAAGCCGCTGTCTCGCCGTGGTAACACATTATCTTGTACGGGGGGTGGGGGAATGCGATATTCTGAACGTAGCAAACGCGGAATGACATAGGTGAGACTAGGGGTCCCACAAGAGGTGAAAATGATTCATCAATGTGATAGGGGTTCTAACAGGGCCGCTCGTCGTATCCCTTTATGAGCGCTTATCTCTCTTCTCTTAAGTCTAGCTGGGGCTGAAGTAATCACTCTCGCTTTCAGAAAAATTACCACCATCTTCTATTCGGGTATCCTTTCACAATAAACAAACGTACGCCAACATATTGGTAGTGACATTACTGATTCTTCACCTTGCGGTATCGAATCGCCTCCACTCCTTGATTGTCGATGATGCGTGTTGCAACAATCTTGTAACCACCAATAGCCGGCCAGATCTTAGTCCAGCAGACCCAGTAGAAACCACCAAGCAGTAGGACACCAACTCCGACAACGGGAAATACGTAGTATGGATACCCATCAGCATTCCAGTTTCCGTTTGGAGGGATGAAGGGGGTCACAGCCAAGAAGATATTCGCTAAAAGGTAGAGGACGGTGATGGGTAGGTACGTGTGCCACGGTGACGTCCAATTCTCGGATTTCTTCCATTGCAGGTATATCAAACCCCCACAGACGAAACCATTGATCCAGGATCCCGGGTACGTGTACAAGTTGACGACGAAATTGTATGCCGGGCCGGCAGGAGGGGCAACTAGGACGATAACCGTCACGATCCAATGAAGGAACAGCTTTCGCATTCATTAGCATCATATTTCGTTCTATAATGAGGGGCTCACGGTTACTTACTGCAGGGGCAGGGGCGCCAAAGGGCTTGATGGAGGCCCAGAATCTGCTGAAGGGTAATAACGCCTCCTTTCCGAATTCTTGGTTCAACCGGGCGTGTGCGAAGCTCACTGCTAGGACGTTACCGAGATTACTCAGCGCGACAAACACAGGCAGACTCCTGGCGCCCGCACTGTCGCCGAATACGTTCTTGAAGAATAGTGCTGCGACAAGCACTTCGGACGTGGCCAGGTCCTTCTTCGGGATGGCGGCGAAGTATGCGACGTTGGCCAGGACATATAGGATCGTGACGCCACCAATAGCAAGAGGAGCTGCGATGGACAATGTCTTTCGAGGGTGCTTGAGCTCGCCGATCACGTAGTTGGCATTTTCCCAGCCTTTATAACTATATATGATGTTCAACAGCGCATTCGCATAGCCGTAAGCTCCCGTGCCGCCATAGTCTTCCGTTACTTCGAGCTCGAACGCATTGTGAAAGTTATTGGGTACTTCCACGCGGACGTGACCAGCCAAGGCAGCGAAACCTGAAAATACTATGAATACCAGGATCACCACCTTGAAGATTCCTAGGGCATTGACAAGTCGGATACCCCACTTCGGGAAAATGGCATGTAGGCCAACAGCAAAGGTCGTTGCAGCGATGCCGATGCCGCGAGCTTTCCAACCATCCCCTTCACCAGAGCCCGATGCTGCTAACACATATCGTCCGAAAGCCAATGCATTACCGGACGAGAATCCAAGTAGAATCATCTGGGATGCCAAGACGCATGTGGCAAGGTAGCGAGGATGACGGTAGATGCGCTCGAGATAGTTCTTCTCACCGCCAGATCGAGGAATAGCTAGCCCGAATTCAAGCCATACGCTGAGGCCGCAGAAAGTAAGGACGCCGCCAATTACCCAGAGGAACAAAGAGACGCCGACCGACCCTGTAGCGGCAAAGATACTGGACGGGGTCGAGAAAACTTAGTCGCAGATTAGTACATACGACACGAATAAAGTCTGACAAGGTAATGATGGCACGTGGATGGACTCACTTCCGGTTCCTATCATCTTATTCAAGATCAGGAACGTGGCACCCGTAATCCCGATCTTCCTCGAGTCATCATAATCATATTTCTGGACATTGCCCACCGACTCGACGTCTGGATTATCCGACGAGCCAACCTCATGTGAGATATCCCGCTCGGAATCTTTGAGATCGCTACTCCGGTCGGTCCCCATGGTCCCATATGATGGCATCCGTGATGAATGAGGGAAGAAATTGAGAGGCGAGGAGGTAGATAGAGCTTCGAGCAGGTGATGTGACCTTCTGCACCCATACTTTTATATGCACATATGCCCACGTCGCACTGTAGATCTCATTTTGGCAGCCAATGGCGCCATAGAGTTTTTCTTACGTAGCATTTGGGTCAAAAGACAAGGTCTTGGCGAGCACGCCATAGCACCCTGTCCATCACCAGGAAATCTAGTAATGAGGTACCGACGATGTCAGTTATGAATTTTCAATCGAGCCGCACGCAACTACAGCATGAGTACGGGCGAACCATGCCTACGTGGGAATTAAACTCAAAGCTCTAGTTAATTAGTGTGCCTTCTCGCAGACACAGTACAAGGACACCCCTGCTACCAGCTCATGTGAAGGTGTTGCGTTTGGGCAGTGATGGCTGATTCCATAGCTGTACCAGCGAAAAATTTCAATGTTCTTTTCTATCAGAATACCCAAGTAGTCTATTCGCTACCTCTTTCGACTCGAATCCCGACCATGAGAGCGAGGCAATCAATGGAGCCGAGAATGGGTTGACTTGGCTGCTTTTTACCTTCCAGATGGGGTAAGACGTCCAGTAGGATCTGTCCATCGAGAGCTTCTCCAGCTATACGACAAGTCTAGGTAACAAATATATGTGGCATGCCAAGTTATCATATGCAGATATCAACATTGTTATATTTTTTTCGCCGCATTCTAGAAATTGATCCTTGCAGTCGACTCTATTGCGCAATACCACCCATTTCTCATGTCTTTGCTCGCTACACCAATCCAGGGCTAGGGAGCACCTCTTGCACTCTACGGCCAAGTCTTGGTGCTCTTGGGCTCCGTGATCACATGCGATCCAAACTACACGCGCGATTTTGACCTCAACTTGCATCAAGTCTAATAGCGAAGCCAACGTACTCTACCTCGAGGAGGCAACCTTTCGGATATGTCACCTAAACCGTTGCCTAAATGACCAAGCTACCTAACATCTATCGACTTCCCGAGTCCTACACATTTTATTTTTAACATGCCACCGTTGAGCAGCTACTCAGTGCTCAGCCTCGACATTCCGTGACTTCATTCAGGCAATCGGCTGATCTCGATATTTAATTCAAACGACGGACTGGCCGAGCATATGACCGATGAGGTGATGCGGCTGCTACCGGGTGCATCCGCTAGTGCTGTTGTCATCCCAACCATGTTGCTCCAAGAAGCTATTTAGCGTTTCAGGCGATGGTTTTTAAGAGTTAACATACCCTATATTATGCCTAAACAGTTTCACTGCTCAAGGTTCAGCTCAGGCTGGTTTCCATGCTCTGTGGATGATATCGTGTCTTGGCTTCTTAGCTTCATGGGCATAGAGCTGCTTGGTCGAACAAGTCTGCTTCCTTGACGATTGTGATGGCGTGATTGCCACCAGGCGTGGCGAAGAGCCACCACCGATCCACCGCATATTCCGGAAAGGAGGGAATATTAAGAAAAGAATTATTCTGCGGCTATGGTAATGATAATATAGAGATAATTTCAGTGCTTGTAACTTAGGTACAGTTTTGGGACAAGTCCAGTAACACTGTCTTCGTATATTTATATAAAATTGCATTTTTTCAACATTACTAGCAAATTTGACGCTTGCAACTGTGATCTGATTACTATTGTCTTGACTAGTATCAGGTTTTAGCTAATCTTTCTCGCTAACCGACAAGTTCACATCCGTGTCAACCAAATCATATATAGCGATTGATTATGTGTCACTATCTATATTCGGAGGGGTCATTTTAAATACATTTAAATCGACCCGTATATAAATAATTTGCTTTTCCGTTTAATACAGTTGTCTATGTAGACTTGCGAGCTAACATTCATTGGAGTGGTGGTTATTCATAAATTATCACTCCAGCTCGTGATATGAGAGATGTGTATCCCTCTCCTTCACTTACGATCTATCTATAGTATGCAGATAAAAATCTCTAAAAACTAGGCAATTATCACCGTTCTGACTTTTGCAACTAACCTAGCTCAATCATTCATAAGACATTGGCACGAGAAGCAGCGCTATCGAGGTGAGGTCGCATATAACCATATCATGGGTCGCTTCGGGAGCACAACTCCTCCAGGGCCTTAAAGTTAGCTTAACATTCCTAAAAATATTATACTGATCCTCCTATGGAATGGTGTATTAAATGAGACTTAATTATACGTTAGCTGTAACACAGATTATCTCTTATTATCGTTTAGTCCTTTTATGGCTCTGTGGTAATTATACCTTGGACATAACGCTTAATTATAGCGCAGGTAATATACACTAATAACAATACCTCTGAATCCTCGAATGTCTCTGTGGAACTAACATTGAAGACCCCGAATAGATGTGACTATATCGTAATGTCATTATGCATGTGCGAGATCATAGAAGGATTTGCGGAAGTGGGTGCATTCAGACTACTTACAGTTGTACAGTTTCAGGTATCCAACGAGCTACTGGCAACTCCATAGCAAAGATGGCTGATTCCGAAAGCCTAATACATGCCTAGGACACGAAAGATAGAGGGGAGGCTAATTGGACCACTAGAGAATACCGTAGACCGTGCAACCCTAAATCCAGAAATACCTCCTCGTGTGTTATTGTAGGCGACCAGTAGATTTAAGTACTCAATAATGACGCAGACTCACAGTATATCAATTACAACTTGCAGTTTGTCTGTTCGGTCAATTATGTAGCATGTGGCCCGCCATGGATGACAGCGAGATCTGGCTTGAAGATGAAAGCATTTTGCTTTTGCAAACATCATATTTATATAGCAACACGTCCAGCAAGTCTTGTTATCGTATCTAGTCTAACCTTTCTCACTAAGTACTCAACTTAATTAGTTGCGATGAAAAGTAGCCGAAAAGGGGGGTATTAGGGGTCCATTCCAGAGAGTATATCGACAGGTAATCTGAGCCAGATACCCCGTGAGAAAGGAATAAGCCAAATGATGCAGAGGGTTTCAAAGGTTTTAAATTCGGAATGTCACTTATACTTATGTAGAGATCATTCTTTAATTGACTCGCCATACCTCGAGGGCCTGAAAGGAATCCGCTGTCAGGTGATGTAGTCACATAAACCCTAGGGGTGGCTATATTAGACCTACTGGCTATATAAAGGGGTGTTGGGCCCCTTCGAGAGTTAGAAGGTTTAGGAATCAATGACTACAATATTGAGTCTTTATACTACCCTTCTACCTAACTGCTTGACTGTGACTGACCTTCTATTCACTCCGGGACAATCTACCTGACATCCGCTATCTACGATGAGCGCAGGCGGCTTAATTCCGGCCTTAACATTGCGTTCCAAGAGTGTCGAGATATGTTGGTATATTTCGGTTGCGTGATAAACAGTACGACAAGCCGTGCTCCAACTACAACGAAGCAGTGGGGCAGAGGAAAAGATAAGTAGATGACGTCAAAGTGAGCTTGTAAAGACTGAACAGTATAAATGGGTGCAACAAAAATCGAAATGAATGACAATTTACTACCGCTGCTACATGTTGAAGACTCGTGCTGGATTGATGATTTAAGTCTTCTCTTCTATCTATCAGCCAGAAAATCTTCCTCTCCTTTGCCTTTAAAGTTGAGCGAAAAGACCTACTGGTTTGAGAGCAGGCCTGCCCATGTGGTAGCAGCCAAAGAACCCACCGTAGTGAGAGGGTGGAGATAGAGTTGTTGGGCAAGTTCTGTAAGAAGTTTCTGTAAATATGGCACATGTGTGCTGTGAACATATAAGGATAACGTACTACTTTGCCTATTAAGCTCATGTTTCCGAGCCTGGGCGAACTGTATTCTGAATATGATCCCGCTCTTAATGTTACTACACACAGCTGATTTTGGAGGTGAGGCTAAATGAAAAAACCAATGACGACCAACACAGTAGCCCAATCTGATGTAGCTTAGTACCTTTTTGAGAAATTAAAGATGCCCGAATCTTACGGTTATCTGTTGATGATCAAATTGCATCTTAGGCATGATCAATCCAACGCCGGCTGGCTTCACTTTCATAAGCACTATGCATATATGGATTCATTAGTGTATTACGACGAAGAGTATATAAGTTTGTGGCTTGTGCCCGAAAAAATGCTTATTATAATAGTTCCTAAAGGCGGCGCTCTTCTGGCGTTCTTCTAGCGCACCTGAACCTATAATTATTGGATGAGCCACACGCCAGGTTACCGACGTACCGGGAACGCCAAAGGGGAGAAATTTGAGACCTTTTCGTGGAGAGCTCTTAAAGAAGCATTAATAGGGCGTTGCATAGGCGGAGGCTTGAGTAAGTTGTGCCTAGTGAAGCCTCAGATAAGTAGTGTATTATTGATGGGCCATAGGTGAATGAAACCGTAGGGTGGTAACTCTTCATCTAGCGTATCCTATCCTATACGGCGCTTATCCTCGAGTTGTATGCAACCAGGAAACTCACCGTAATGTACTATAGCTACTCTAGATAGGCTGAGACTATTTCTTAAGAAGCATTAGATACCTTCGTTATCAACTCTTCTACGCATTTAGGCATGCCAGCGTACGTCTTCGAGGAAGTAACTCTTGACAATATCTATCTCATTGTCTGATTATATTATACAGAACGATTTTCAAGCAAATAGTGTTTTTAGGCTCCCAGGCCCGTTGAACGTAGACAACTCCATAGTACTGTCTAGGGATGATCACTCTTTGGAGCCGAGCGGATGCCATACCAGGATAGTGAAACTAGGACCATTTTGCCCCTGGGCTAGTGTACATACATGTAATCAACAGAGACCTCCCAGCGCCGGTGGCTTGACTAACAAGGATGCTGTAGATACTAACCTCAGGTCTTGAGCTAGTTCCTCTAGCGTACCATTTCATTCAAGGGTACCGACGATCTGGGTCTATTATAATTGTGCACAGTGGCAACGGAGATGTCACATAATATTAGTCTCGGCTAGGGTACAGCAATACGGATGTGTCTTAGACACTACCTAATGGATGTGCACACTCCATGCGCCCAGCAGCTCCAAGTCCATGGATTCGGGTTCGATCATTGCCCTAGATGGCGTCGTTACACAGCTGTCTATGCCCGCCACGAACTTCGTAGTTCAAGCCCAATTGATGCTGTCGCTTCAATGAGGAACAGCTGATTCTGGTTACTAATGCCATCAAGTATATTATGTACTGACCTAAACTGGCCCCTAGAAGAACCTGAGACAAGGATTGTCCCTTGACGTGGGCTCAGAACTCCCGATACCGGGGGCAGTATATACTCCAAACAAGGTTTCCAGAAATCGAATACAACACAGCCTCAAGGTATGTCCTAAGATCTTGGGAAAGGCAGGCGTTGTGTCTCGTTTCCTCTACGATCTTTTTGAATGTCAAGACGTGCTTCTTGATCTCAGAGCGGCATATTCTCTTTGCTTCCGCCTCCGTGGCTGATCTTTCCTTCATTATAACCCATATGGCGTTGAACACGTAGTCTAGACCTGCTTCCACGGAATCGTGTCTCTCCTTTTCCCATGAGAACAGGTCATTTGTCAGGCCTAGAGCGGCATAGCCTGGTCGCGCCATTTCCATACACATTTCATACTCGTCATCGGGGATTGTGAGCGCCACTACAACACCCATAGTTAGCCAAAATTAGACACAAGCTCCAAAAATAGCCATTCGACCCTGAAAGCCGTCCAAAGGGTCAAATTGATTCCGGGAACAACTTACTTCCAAATGTTAGGGTGCCGAACCAAATGCTAGAAGGCACAACGTCAATAACTTGACGTTTATTTTATCGTGAGATTCTCGGGGACTTACAGCTCACCAGCGTCGATGACTCGTGAGGGGACATATTCTTCAAGTGTTTCAAATGGCAATGACCTCGTGCGTGATGCCAGTTGCACAAACTTTGCCCATGCCTTCATCGATGTCATAGCTCGTACCTGGTCGACAGCCATCATCTCCGATAGCATCTGCGCTTGTAGACGTTTCTCTGGACCGGATTTGGTGTTGACCCTCCGATCAAGAGCGCCATCTCCAAACGCGTCTAGCATTTTAGTGGTCTCTTTTTCGAAATCTTTCTTTAAGTCAAAACTTTCCATTTTATCTAGCAATAAAGTCAGCTTCCGCCTATTTGTTCAAGTTCAATATACGAGGATTTACCATCATAGAGGAAGGCAAATTCGTTTGCGTAGGAAACAAGTTCTAGCCTTTCAGGAAGACACTCGGGAACGGTCACGCAGATAAAGGTGAAAGGATCTCCTAGTCCTCCCTTGTAGTCATCCACATTGCGCACGTGTTTCGTCCAGTCTCGTTGGGCCCGGAGCGCCCCCCTAACTTCGAGGTGACGATCTTTGTGTATGCGAAGAGGAATACCCTCATCGAGCCCAAAGGTTTCGTAAAACCCAGAATTAATCTCCTGAGAGTATTTAAAATCCATGGTATGTGTTCAGGGCATATAAGATTAGGTAGATCTGTAAGAAGGGGTCTAGGTGAGTAGCAACGAAAAGTGAAGGATTTTTGACGGCTTACATGCGAGGGTTGGCCCCCATTAAATAAAGCACCCACATATAAATACGCACATACTGTACCAATCTCAATCCCAGCTACCACTATTCCTTGTTCCTGTCGACACCTAGTAGTGCATACTCCTTGGCTTTCCATATGACGGGGGTTAGGCATTCCAGTCCGGGTTGAAGCGGTAGGGATCTTCTCTACCCATATGGAACTTTACCGACTCTTGTCTTGGTGACCCACCGCCTCCAAACCTGACAATACTGCACCTTCATTCATGAAACTACATGCTTCTGCTACATTACTATGAACTTGTAGGGTAGGTGGTCTGATAGCCTCGATGGCTAACCTCCCTAGTGGCTACCTGAGTGGGTAGTGTGGTGCATAAGGCGGTGGACTGATTCAGTACCAGGCAAGGGTTGAATGGCTCGATGTTTTGTGTGCTCGAGCACAACTACAGGTACATGTTGGTGGGATTGTGGAAATGGTTTCGGAGCTTCGGTTTATAATGATTACTTTTTCCCCATCGTCATCCAGAGCGTGTGAAAGGGAGGCTAATTATCTGCTGTTCTAAGTAAAGGGTAACCTCTAGTGTAGTGTATATCATTTAGCCACCCGAAAGAGCCAAGGCCGGTCTATCAATATAGATGGGTAGAATGCAATCCTCCGAATTCTAGGTAGGGACTGACTATGCTCTTATGGGGTGTCCGTTCATATGGTATTATCTCTCCTCTCGAATACTTAGGTCATGGACCCAATCGAATGGAACGCCACTGGTCGTGGCATCGACAGCAATCCTACTAACGGACCGTAGTTAGCGTCAACAACCCTGACGGACAGACCCTGATAGACCCCGGCTGACCCGCGTCCGTTCCCAGCAGCCAATGTAACCCTATTGCATTGTACGTACTGTAGCTGTCGTATCTCATATCTCATCGCAGCTCCACCGAGATCATGTACCGGCATGTAACTCGAAGAACTTCTAGTATGTCTCGTTCCAGGTTAGGCTAGTATCGCATAGTATTACTGCTGAAGCATGCAAAAGAATTCTTCATATTATGAAAGCAGGTTGTCCCCAAGAAATGCACACGATGCTAAATATCAACATCGGCTGCCCTTAAAGGCAATTTCTGGCATCTTTTCCGAACAGTTTCAGTTTTCGATCGTATATGCAATGGCTGCCCTCATAGCAGAACTTCTTTCACATACTAGTCCTGCCGTCGTGATTGGCACTTCTCTGTTAGCCTGGGCAATCTATTTCGCTGGCCTGGTCATCTACCGACTATACTTCCACCCTCTGGCTGGTTTTCCAGGCCCAAAGCTGGCCGCAGCGACATCATGGTATGAGTTTTATTTTCAGTGCTGGCTCGAGGGCCAGTACATATTTCACACCGAAGAAATGGTGAAAAAATATGGTAAGCAAAAGCACTTTGATAGTCCAGGCCACCACATCTAAATGGCGTTCCTTACTTCTAGGACCTATCATTCGGGTCAATCCTGAAGAGCTCTTCATCCATGATCCAGCATTTTACAACGAGCTCTATGTCACGGAAAGTACGCGACGCACCAACCACTACGATAGTTTTGCTCAAGGTATTGGTTTCGACGGTAAGTGTTCTGACACCTTTCTATGCCATGATGGCTCTTGCGTTAACACACCCTAGGTTGTCATCTCTTGACAGTGGACCATGACCTGCATAGAGCCCGAAGAAAGCCGCTTGAACCCTACTTCTCCAGGATGGGAGTTTCACGGTTGCAATCCATGTTAGCTGAAGTCGCTCTGCATCTTGAGACGCGCCTAAGGGAATATACTGGCTCTGGCAAGGTTATCCGACTAGACCACGCATTCACCGCCTACACCGGCGACATTATAGGACGAATGTGTTTAGACACCGACGACCCTGGTGACCGATTTCTAAGCCGAGAGGACTTTTCTGCAGACTGGCAAGTCTTTCCATATCTGTGCTAACACGGCACAGTCTCTAACGTTACTCCTAGGTCTTGGATCATGCAGATGATAGTCCGTTCTGTTCCTCTATTCTCCGGTTTCCCATGGATTATAAGGTGAGCATTTCTTACCAACGTGTATGCCGCGCGTGCTTTTCTAATCCCGCTACCGTGAATAGGCTTCTCAATCCGATTCCTGGTGAGGTATTATTATGGCTGTACCCGAGAGGCCAAGCATTCGCTACCTTTCAGGAGGTCTGGAAACCTTGCCCCTACTTCTATTGGACTGCGACTAACCGCACTAACAGAAAGCACGGAATAACATTCGTAAGGCATTGGGGAGTGACTCGGTAAATGATAAATACATTGAGTCACTGTTTCATCATGTAGCCAATAGCGATATGCCGGCGTCAGAAAAGTCTGAGGAACGACTGGCAAAAGAAGCCCAGTTACTCTTGGGAGGCGGCACGGTAACTAGTGCTCGCGTGATTTCATGCGCCGCTTACTATATCCTCACCATACCAGGTGTGGAGAAACTGCTCGCAGACGAACTGCGAAAGCCGATGGCACAATGGCCAACTCATGTTCCTACCTGGGCCGAGCTAGAAAGATTGCCCTATCTACAGGCTGTGATCAAAGAGGCCCTACGGTCAGAACCAAGCCCCTTGCCGTTTCGATCCAACTGGAAGCTGATCTAGACCTTAGCGTTGACTTTGGTGTTATGACTCGATTGCCTCGGATCTCACCTGACGTACCGCTCAGATATAAAGAGTATACTATACCAGCTGGCGTAGGAAGTCCATCAAGAACCCTACTGCTGGGCAATTGGCTAACTCGCCGCGTAGGTTCCGGTGGGAATGTCATCATATTTCATGCACACGGACCCGGACGTGTTTCCGAAGCCCTTTGAATTTATTCCTGAGCGATGGCTCGGAACCATCAGCCCCTTGATGAATCGCAATTTCGTCCCGTTCTCGCGGGGCTCTCGAACCTGCCTAGGCTCGAAGTATGTTATCCTTTCTCCCCTGTGAGCTTATTAATAGCTAGGGCATTGACTGACTCCCCTTTCTTTCCCGTGCTTGTAGCTTGGCAATGGCCGAAGTCAGTCTTATTTTAGCTGTCCTTTTCCGTCCAAACGGACCTAAGCTGGAACTTTTTGAAACGGACGAGACAGACGTCCGAGTAGCACACGACTTTGGAGTACCCTTGCCCAAATTAGACACCAAGGGGGTCCGCGCAACTGTGAGCTAGTCCGCGAGCACTGAGAGATATTTATCACGCCCATGATGTACGTTACGGGGGCCAGAGGGGTTGGTGGGCGTGGTAGAGCTGTCTATCTGCAGTAATACCACCAGGTACTTAGTATATCAACGTAGACGGCGTAGGCATACTGCGGTACATGGTATTTGAGAATCTTGCTGGAAGCGGTGAGTGCAGCTAGCGTAAGAAATCCTTGATCATCTGCCTTGGGCGTGCTTCTCCAGGTTAGATAGGTAGCTTAGTCGAGGTGTTAAATCTCTCCTCGTTTCCCTCAGACCCCGCAGAGTCCGCAGGATAAAAGCAGGACATCGACTTAGTGTGGCGCAATCCCGGGAGCCAATGCAGACCAATGCTACCCCCAATGCCTGCTCCAACTTTTACTCCAATTACCCATTCCCTGGTTCAGTCTGCAGTTAGCATGCGGGTCAGTTCCAGAAAACTTCGAAGCCCGCTTCTCAGTTGCTTCTGAATGGCTACCAGCCACCTGTCTACCTGCCGGTGATTGTACATACCGAGAAGTAGTCATCCAGCACTCCTCCAGAAATGGTCTGGGGTGTCTTGTATAGTCGCATTAGATTATCAATAGCGTACTAGGCCACGGACTGGTCGGCCTAAGTGCCGGGTATATCTTATCCAGAACCTACATACTGTACTTACATGTATCAAAAACCTCCCGCCTTGAATGAACTAGTGCTTGGCTCCGGTACCTGAAGGATTCACTATCTCTACCTAGTGTTATGTAAAAGAAATACTACTAAGGGCGCCACAATTTGAGTGGGTGGCTTCTACATTTCCCATATGACATAAGACAATGCAATACCTACCAATGATAGAATTTTGCTGGAGATAGCTATATGTGGCGGGATATTCAAGAATTATGGTGAGAATTAAGGGGGCTTATGTCAGCGCACGTGGCCGGCAGGGTACGGACGGAAGCTATGGTGCAATTGTGTGCCATGTCATCTACATATGTAATATAATAGGCAATGGATTCTGAAGTCGCGGATTCTGTTGCGAGACCGATATATCTTGGCGAGCTCCTTAGTCGAGAAGCTAGAACAACAGACAAAGAGCCCGAGTACCTACACATAATCAAGTTAGCGTCTAGGTACAGGTAAGCGAGACTACTAAAGCAGTGTAGTGCAACGTAGTTCGATACCTCGCAGAATCATGTCTAGGAGAGTAAGTACTGCAAATACATAATAGTACATATACCTTGCTGCCCCTGGAGTTTTACTCCGTGGTGCGCCCGTCAGAAGTTCTTCGATAGCGTCGCAAGCGTCGATTCGTCAGTGGGATAAGCGGTATGGGCCGCCGTTAATCCGCATATGCGCCACGCGCGGGGAACATAGGGGATATGGGACTTGAACGGTCATTTCTGGGTCGGGACAAGACGTGGGCGTCAATGGTTGGCTGGCTAGGATAAACCTAGGCTTGGTTTTCGTGGGATAGGTATACATATGTACTATAAGTAAGAAGAGCAATGATATACTATAGTACTTAGCGTAGTGTCTAAGGTGTGTATCGCGGTCGAAGCGAGCGGTATTCTCGATCACTTCCGATCCTGTCACAGTACAGTACTATATAGTGAGTGCAGAGACGTCAAGCCTTCGACTTGATAACTCGTCGTTACCTTTTGGTGGCGTAGTGGCATAGTACTGCACTCCTTTGTCATTCCGTGACAGATCCGAAAGGGCTAATATATGGCATAGTCTTAGAGATGTGTCGAACGTGGGGATCTGTTCTAACTAGACCGCTCTGTTTCCAACCCGCGACTCACCACCAGTTGATAACTGGGGCCTGTCTCGGGAGAACATATTCATCAACACACAACAAGTATGTAAGCAGTGGCTGAAACACCCCCGTCTCGCGCGGACGAGATATCGTCGATTGGATCAATTTCTAAGCCACATATCATATCTGCTACGTTTGCTTTTTGAAGTACCCGACCGTACGGTAATGACAATAGCAGAATTCGCCGAGACTTACTACAAGCCACGAGACTCCGGACGAAATCTGACGCACCACCATCACATACCACGACCCTTGAGGTTAGTCATGTTATCAACGATGCGATTCTACAACAATCCGGTGGTCTACTATCAGCGGGGCATTCATTGGTGAATTAGCTTATTATTCTTTGGTTGGTCAAGCCATAGGTACAGACGAAGATGCGAAGACACCTGGTACGCTATCGAACATGACCTGAGCGCTATATTTAACTGTCCTTGCGTCACAATAATAGCATTGCCCACGACACTTGTTTATAAACATATCACATAACCGCTTCCCAACAGCCATCCATCACACTGAGGGTCTAGAGCTTAAATCTGGCGCTGACAACTAGAGATTGACAGGTATGGTGTGTCATGGACATGGGTATCCACTAGCACCTACACGTCTAATCGTCCCAAAATACTCTTTGGCTGCCCTGGGAATACCGCCTCGTAATGTCTTGACAATGATTCTCATGGTCCTAGATCATGATATTCCCCTCATACGTCGCTTATGTATGTTCAGCTACGCAGCGTGTACAAGATGGTTCAATACACCGTTCCCATCCATGTTCCTTGAGTCCAGAACGTGCTATCTAAAGGGAGATTCAAACCTCGTAGATAGTTCCTGCCTACATGTACAATCACTGGACTTGAAAGTGATGAGGTCGAATCTTAACATCATTTGACCAAGACAGCCTAACGTATAATTGTTTCTGAGAGGTGCAAAGCAGACAACCTATAATCCTAGATTACATATGAATGTGCCTGGCCTATTGTTTTCATTTATACTCGAAAAATAAAGTTCTCGCCTAGCCTGCTATCGCTGACTCTGTATCTCGAATAGTGAACCTTTACTACATGGAAAAGCGAGTAGTGTAGGCCGTAGAGAAGAAATCCTATAATCATGCCTTTAGATGATACTACATTCCGGATTTGGTGGCTAACGTAAAAAGTTATTTCATATTCAAACTTGCGCGAATGAAATCCTATAAATGTTACTACGATTCTGAATATCGTGCTGCTCCTCCCAATCATCGACCCCTAGATGAAATGATAACCGAAGATTATCATCCTTGGGATTATTTCCCATAGGACGAGCATCTATCCAAGTATTGACTCCCAAACGATCAATAGAGTCATTATCATCCTCCTCTGGGTTGTGAAGACGAGTCCATCTCTGGTTGTCGTCTAGGATGGTATTCGATACGCGCTTTTCGTCGGTGGGCGACGATTTCGAATCCTTGGTGGATCTGCACCTTGAGAAATGAAGAGCTTTAGGCAATACAGCTTTGGATATCTGTTGGAGCGCAGGGGGCATGAGAGGTAGACATGCGTTGATAATCCCAAGGTTGATTTCAAGTCCAGACCATAATGCGTCCCCAACTACAGAAGCCGAAAACTCTCGTTGTGCACTCGGAGTAGACACGAAAACAACCTGGTGTATACGCCACGCTGTTGCGAAGCAAACGCTTTCAATATTGTTAACGACGGAGACGACGATGAAGAGCTGAGAGAGCCCCTGAGACAGATAAGATAAACTTACAACAGGCCCAGGCCAAAAACAAAAATTAAGGAGACCTTCCTTCGTGTATTCATTTGCAGGTTCCACAGTATGGGCATTGGAAGAGTGAATATTATGAGATCGAGGGCGAGGTTGAAGATTGCGCTGAGTAAAAATTGTAGAGACTGGTTACCGCAGTATTCCACCTGTTCTGGTGTAATATCGAAGTTGCGATGAAATGGTTGGCAAATAGCGGCAAAGCCGATAGTAATAGCAATGAGGTATGCGATAACAGCAATCCTGTTTATAAGCTAGAGTCAGTTATTACCAGGCATACAGGAGGAATGAGGTCCAAGACCTGCCTAAGGAGGGTTGTTATGAGCGTGATTAATGACCCAAGGGGACTAACTGAACGATGGTAACGACAGTGCGAAACCGCCTTCCGGGGAAGATTTGCCTGAAGAAGGCCAAGATGGACAAACGCACGAAGCTATTTGCCCATCCTTGAATAAACCATGCGACGATGAACGCCTAATTAGATAGTATTGTCAGCATGCAATTCACCACTTAATCCAGAGCGAAGCTAGATCTGCAGCCGTTAAAAGAGTGCGAAGTCAGCCAGACTGTTGTCTCTAGACTTGTTGACGGCAGAAGTGTCGAACAAGGTATTGAAGCTAGAGGTGTGTGGGCGAGACAGTAGGTGCAGGTAGATCAATCGCTACGTGCTTGAAGGTTTCGAAGTTTGGGTAATAATAACTAGATGCAGTTTGATGAGAAGTAGTAGATAAATTGTATCCGCAGATGACTTGCAGTTGCAGCAGCCCGATAACTCGCGAAACGACTGCAGGTCTAGCCTCGCTCTTGATTCAGGAGTCAGAAGGGTTGCAACTAACTTTCCTCGCCAGTTTTTGTTCTGACAGTGTCAAATCTGCCGCTGGACGACCTAGGCCACCGCGCTCAGAAACAAGCCATGAAAGAGATAGATACCCGGCTGCCAGAGCAGAAGCAAACAGAATGGCGTAGTCAGATAGTGCAAGCGTCAATCTCTTCATCTTCAGTCTTATCGACCAGAGTCTTAAAGCCACGCAAACGAGTGCCAATATGAAGAATAGTGTCACAGAAGCTACAACAGAGACAGCCGTGGGAGGCAAGCTATCGCGTCTGAAAACGCCTTGCGACGACCTCTGTAAGAGCGGCTGAAGGAGCCATGAAGATGTAGTCATCGACATAGCGACTTGCTTGCAGGTGACTCCATGTGCTGTCAGAACAATGAAATCCATCTTGGTGGCCGGTTGAGACCTAATGTATGAATGATTCCGACTGTCAGCGTCGGGCTTGAGACCCGAACCCCCACACGGCCCTCGCTTCGGCGATATTCCTCCTCCGGGATCTTCCATGTTGGCTTGAAACCTCTCATTTTCTGTTAAGACTATATATAGTAATTAGATAGTTACAAGACCTTGATTATTCCGTATAGCACTGGTAAAAAGATTCCTGTTGGGTCATTGCTTTTTGTATTGGTGTACACACACCGCTGATGCTTGCCTTACAGAGTCTTACTCGCGCCACCGACCATCGCGGTAACCACTGTCAAGGTTTTTTTCAATCCTTTAGCTTTGGTTTGATTGATAAATTGCCAACCCCTGGGTCAATTGTTTCAGTTTAATCTGACTGATCCGTAGATGCGTTCTCTCCCCTGTGCTCTCACCTGTAAGCCGGAGTGTATATGGTATGTGAGACATCGAGTATGAAATTTCTAGTTGGGCATTGAAGAGCTATGGAATCATGCTGAGGGAATTCGAAGGACAGGGAGCATCCATTCTACTGGGTCATCTTACTACCTACAGAACTGCTGGGCTGACCGAAACCATACCCTATGTTCTGAGACAAGCAAAACCCGCCTGTATTGAAAAAGCCTCGCAGATGGAGCCTACTTTAGAGTATCATTCAATCTCTTGGCGCTTCCTTCAGCTCCCGCGCCCATTCCTCCGCCTGCTGCACCATATCAGGGTCGTATAGCCAACGTAGCTCCCCTCCATCGCCGCGCGTAAGTGACTGATCACTCCAGATTGCTCCTGGCGGCAACTTCGCCCTCTCGGACTCAGGGAGCCGCTTCGCATTCATTTGCATCGTCAAATCTAGGACCTTCTTCACTCGATGTTGACGATACGTTTGCCACCGAGCAACAGCCTTGTCTAGCGGCATATCTGGCGAGAGCTTGGAAAGGAGGGTGGCCAAGGCTCGTACATCTTCAAAGGCCTGGTTGGCACCTTGCCCCGCTGTAGGTGGAATCGCATGTGCTGCATCTCCGACGAGTATGATTCTCTTCGATTCAGAGGTCCATGATTCCAAAGGCGGGATGCTGTGAAAGGCCCAAAATCCCATCTCGTTAACAGGAGCAACCTCTAGTGCTGATTGTACCACATCAGGCCACTCGCTTTTACCCTCCTGAAGCATGTCATAAAGTCTCTGTTTATCATTTCTCAGGGAATCCCAGCCCGCAGCGTCTTGCTCTTCAAACCTTCGCTGCGTTCCAACGAATATTTCAGACCCGTCTGGTGTCTGAGGAAGAAGCAGAAAAGCGCCCATCTTTCCCATGACAGTTGCAGGTAGACTATAATTATCAGGAAGTCGGAGTTGCGACCGCTTCACGACGCTGTTGATGAAGACGAAGCCCGAGTAGACAGGTCGTACTTGAGGTAAAAAGGTCTGTCGTACAGCTGAGTGGATGCCGTCAGCTCCTATTAAAAGGGCTGCGGATGCAGTCTGACCATCTCCGCAAGTAAACTCGACCTTGTTAGGGCCATCAGAGACGACATTCGTGAATCTGGCATTGTAATGCAGGGGGATGTTGCGCTCCCGCACTGCAGTTTTCAACTTGTCCGTTAATTCCTGACGCATGACACGCATGGCACTATAGCCGTAGAGTTTCTCGGAGCCAAAATAGTATTCGTCGGTGGTTTTGTTCTGCATATCTTTAAAAGTCAGGACGTCAAACTGCAATGCGTTATCTCGCACTCGCTTGTAGACATCGACACTGTCAAGCACACGCAAAGCATTCGGTGCAAGCATGATGCCACCATCTCGCCCGTAATCTTCTGAGCGCGCCTCGTACACAGTACAAGGGATATTCAGGCCATGCAGAGCAAGCGCCATTGTAAGGCCCTGTCATACCAGACACGAAGTTAGCATCTTTACTCAAGCCACAAGCAAGAGTTACAAGTTGTTGAAATTCTTACCCCTAGACCTGCGCCGATAATGGCGACTTTATTTGGGGGCGAGTTTAGAGCCATGATGAGAAATGCGACGTATAACCAGCTAAATCTGATGGATAGCAGCGGCGGGACCAACGGTGGGGAGGGCAGCGGGGAGAAAGAGCAGGGAATGTCTTAAATAATGATGAGATTCAGGTTAAAACGAGTGCATCAATCATAGCATCCCATACCTCGCTAAAGAACAATGGTAATCCATGAACAAAAGGAAACTGGAGACATAGAGAGATATTTGACCCAACTTTCGAGCCCGCTGGCTTTGAAGAGCTATGCTGAATTTATCGCCACTTCGCCGACTCCCGAGACCCGATATCATGTAGCATGATGGCGCAGGAAAATCTGACTCATCAATGTTCATAGTGCTTTTCAACTAGCATCACCAGCCGCCCTGCTGAATAACATGCGTTCCATAACCAGTGTAAAGGTCATTCTAATTGATTATCCACATGGTACAGCGGACATATCGTCTCAAATTCCAACTGGAGAGCTTCGTAAACCGAATGCGTAATTCTTCTCAACCTCGTGTGCCGACGGTCAAGTTCTGTCCCTAAGTCGTTCGGACTACTGGCCCTTTGTGCTCCCTGGTAGTTAATGATAGGCTTCTGCCATTAGAATGGAAGATCATATATGACGCCTGCAACGTTGACTCGGATTAGGACAGGGCTTTTGGTTGTAAAGACTTCCTTCTGTTTGGCCCCTGGCCTCAGGCTCGGGAAACGTCCCTATATAGCAGGGATGTTGGACAAGTAATCAGTAAAGTTTATAGAAAAGGGGGCGCTTACGAAATGAATCAAGTGCAACTTTGCCGTTCTAATTGTAGACAACGAGGTCGAAAAACCATAAAAAGGGAAACCATTGTTATTAGGAAGAAAAAAAAAAAAAAAAAAAAAAAAAAAAAAAGGGAAGCGAGAGACAGGAAAAGGGAAGAAAAAAGAAGAAATAGTCAAAAACATGAACATACAACACCAGGGATTCGCTGGTCGTCACCGACCCAACTACTAATCCGGCAGTATCTGGCTTAGCTAAGGGGGAGCGGACGGGACCCCGCGTTCTCCAGATCTTATGGTCGTATGTATCAAACTGATCTGTTAATTATTATTATACCGTAACCTGCAAACTGCTGTCACTGAGAAACTGAGTCCCAAGAATCGTTAGGCTTCAAGGTGCTTCATGCTGTTACCCTCGACCCTCACTCCAACTTCTACTAGCAGGAGATCACAAATAGTAGACACTTGCCTATATACCAGGAAATGAAACTATAATAAATGACACATCTAAAGATCGCTTACTGAACGTTTAAACATCGGCTTCACCTTGGAACTTAGAATACCAAATGGCAAGGCTTTACGTGCGATTTGATAGATATAAAGCTCTTACTATTAGTTGTGAATCCAGCAAGTTGACAAGTCACTCTGAGCTGAAACCTATATTGGTGTGCTTAAGGCTTAGTGCTGACAGCGAGCTGGACAAGCGATCTGATTACGCCGTATTTCTGGCCGTATTTAAGTCATGCAGTATTTCGATTTCCCGCTATTATAATCTACGCTCTCTAAGGTCTGTTCGGCCACTGTCGCTAGCCAGGAAAGCAGTGTTAGCTAAATCCTTGATTAGAATGGCCTTACTTATCATACGACTAAGTCTTGAACCGTGCTATTTTAGGAGGATTTAAGCCCTGGGTTAGTAGTTTTACAACAAAGTTTTACCTATACTGACAATAGACAAGGGCATCTACTAAGTAAAGGACGGCGCCGTCGTCGTCTACGATGAATTATCTATGATTCTGACTAAGCTGGGTTTGGTGCTTGTTGGGACATGGGGACATGGGGACATGCCCTGGTCAACATCTCACACCAATAGCCTATCCAGCGAGCCAAACAGTTTATGACCCTAGTCATTTCATGGACTGTTATGATGCAAAGTTCTTTCATGTGAACGCATAGCAGAATTCGGCCTCCGCGGGCCCGGAAAGCTGCGCTATGCTTCAAGATTGCTGCCTATTCTATCTATGCTCATAGAACGAGGAATCAATTATGCCGATTGATAGTTCTTCATATACAAGTTCAATCGACCCATGGAGCTTAATCAAGATCTAGTGTTCTAGATTCGCGGCCACACTGTAGTTTCTAACCATGGCGGCCATGAAGACAGAAGTCAAGGAGAAATCCACCACTCGCCCATTGGGGCACATGTAAGGAACCTCAGTCTTATAATCAACAGACCATGGAAGCTAAGTTTCGTGTGCGCACTATATAGGGAATGCTATCAATTTCACATGCTCCAGCTAAGGTTCTTGGGAGGCACTATCGTGAGCTGTCGCTACGCCATCCCGACTCCTCTGGCGACGCCAGATCTCCATGATCACGTCGTTCGGCAGGTCGAAGATGCATTAGCACGGGTCGTAATTGAGCAACCCGCACTACGTTTTGTTGCCGTAAAGGCAGATACCAAACGTCCTGCGTGGGTAGCTGTCGATCAACTGAACTTTGCGCATCACGTCCAGTGGACAGATGTCAGTAGCGACAGCGAGACAGACGATGACGCAGGCATGGTTTCCCAAGAGACATTACGGGCTAGGATCGAGAGATGTCTCGACGAGTCCTACGCGCATGAACCCAAAGGCCCACAATGGCGTGTTATCATCCTTTTCAAGAGCAGCGGTGATCCCGTCCTAGACATCATATTCGACTACAGCCATGCGTTAGGCGACGGAATGAGCGGCAAGATCTTTCACGAGACTCTCTTCCGCACTCTCAACACATGTGCCGTCACTCCCAGCAAGACGGAGTCAATGATTGCGCCGACGCTTCTATCAAACCACATACTAACCATTCCACCCACGGCAGGGACCCTCCAACCCGCCATCGAAAAAACAGGCAAGTTCTCCGTATCAGCCAAATATGTCGCCTCCATGGCGTGGCAAGAACTGCGGCCGCCGAAACTATCATCGAACTCGGCGGCGCTGGCCCACTGGGCCCCGATCCGCGCGACGCCGTACAAGACGCACTTCCGCACCTTCGACATCGAGGCCGACGTCCTGCGGGATGTGCTAGCTGCGTGTCGCGTGCATAAGACGACTATCACGGGGCTCTTGCACGTCGTGGTGCTCATCTCCAGTATGCTACCCCCGGGGTCATTTTCATCCTATTCTAGGCGTGTTCATACTTTCCTATTAGACACAGAGCACGTCTCAGGAGAGTATACGTGAATCCTGAAAGCAGCTCCCGTTTTACCTAAAAGATTAATTTTGCCGACTCCAGCGAACTGTAGTGGCCGCACACATCCCCGCTGCGACGGCATTCACAAGCGACACGCCGGTCGACCTGCGGCGCCATATAGAAGCCGACAAAATAAAGCGTCTGGACTTCGACCCGCGGCGCACCATGGCCAACTACGTGTCGACCACGTGGCACAAGTTTGGTGTTGACGACGTGCGCGAGATCCGCGCGGCCAAAAGGTCGTCAAACGGGGAAGAAGAGCCAGCGCTCGTGGCTCTCGTCTGGCGACACGCCGCGCGCGTGCGCGCCGAGATACAGAAGAAGCTTGATCTCGGCCTAAAGAACGACATCAACAATCTGATGGGTCTCGTCACGGACTGGCGGGCGCAGCACCGCGCAAATGCGCACAAGGCCAGGCTGCTGTCGTTCGTGGTGACGAATCTGGGCGTCCTCGATGGCGAGCCCGCGTCCACGACAACACAAACGACAGAGGTTGAAAAAGAGAAGGAGAAGAAGGGCCAGGACGACGCAGCGGCGGAAGGCTGGAAGATTACGCAATCTACGTTCGCCATCAGCACCGAGGTCCTCGGCGCCGCGTTCCAGATCTCGCCCATAACCGTCAGAGGCGGTGCGCTTCGCGTGGGCTGTAGCTGGCAGGACTGCGTAGTCGAGCGCGGGTTGGCGGAAACGATTATTTCGGATATGGAGCGGTTGTTACGGTTCCTGGCGAAATCGTAACAATTCATTCCTCGTATCCAAATATGCACTTTGTATTTAATATAACTAATGTAGTATTCCTTTTCTTCTACATGATGCGTTTCTACATCATTATTTTACGGTGACGATATAAGAAGGAACAGTCTGGCTGAGCTCATCGCTCTACACAAAATCTGGCGCTTGAATCAGATCTTTTGCATGTATAAGGATACATAACTTTTTCTAGAACAGAGCGGAAGAGCAAAAACGTGGTTGAAACGAACTGTTTCCGCACATGAATATTGCAGAAACTACTACTTGGTAACTGGGTTAACTGTGTACACTTGTGAATGCCGCGTTAGCCAGACGACTAACCCACGACCGTGTTCCCGGGTTTTCGCGTGTTCAAGACACAAAAGGAGCAAACCATCTTGTCCCTACTGTACAGGCTAGATAAGGGTGCCGTTGAACATGGTTTAATAGCTATTAAAACTTAATCCAGATAGATGTCTTTTTGATCTGTCCAAGTTTTTACGCAGTCGCCGAAACACCCTCCTTCCCCGATGACAATCTTTTCCCCCCTCCGTTGCTCCCAACACCAAATATCCCCCCTCGAGGAAAATAGGGAGGGACAAAAGATGACCGCAAGCGAGCAACCCTCCAAGAACTCCTCATAAAGATGCAACCGGAACCTGTAAACCAATCCCCTGCCGTTCGTCACCGATATGGAATTGGGAAAAAGATGCGTGCGTTGGAAAATAGGACATGACCGTTCGGGTGAACAGTAAGTAAATCGTTTTTATTAAATCATCTTTATTCAGCAGTCCGAACTCTCTTAGCCCTGCCGCGCGGCGCAAGGTGCTTCGCGCGCCCGCCGACGCTCTCCCAGTACGCGTCAAGCAGCTCAGGCGCGGCCTTCTTGACCTTGGACTCGGCCTCCATGGTTGTGTCGGCGCGCTCGGCCGAGTGTCCGACCCACTGCACCTCGAACTGGAAGCCGCCGAGGTTCTTCTTCTCGTGTCGCAGAAGTTTGAAGACATGGTATATCTCGGGAGGTGGGTTTTTGGGCTTGTGAAAGAGCGCGCTGATGCGCCCGCCTTGAGAGCGCCAGTACTCGTATAGTGTCTCTTCGGCGCCTTGCTGGATCTCTTCTTCGGTTTCCCACGTCGCGTCTTGCTCGCCTTCACCCTCCCAATGGACTAGTAGTTCGACGGTACCGCTGCGATCGGCCACCATTCTATGTTTGATAAGTCTGTGGATCTCGTGCTCCTCGCGTCTATCTTCATTATCATCTTGTTCTTGTTCTTGTTCTACAACCCTTTCCTGTTGTTTCCTCTCAGCTTGCGACTTTCGGGATGGCTGTTGTCGCGTCTCAGTTGATTTTGCTTTCCCTTTCTCCTGGGCGGCAGATTCTTTCGCTGTTTCAGGTTGCGACTTTGGCGCTGAAGATGGCAATGCGCTAGAGACGTGATTGCCAAGAAGTTCTATGGATTAAGCGTTAGTGTACTATGCAAACGCAGATAGGGCGGAGAGGCGCGCAAAACCAGGGGTGCGTACCTAAACCGCCCATGGGGGCCTCGGGTACGAGGGAGTCTGGCTGCGCAGGGGCAACTTGAGAGGCTTTGGCGTGAGTGGAGTCTGGTTCTACAATAGTTTTTGATGCTGTCACTGTGTCGACGACAACGGTAGCGGCGGCCTGTTGTGACTTCAGCGATGGCCGGCCACGGGGTCCTAAGGATTAGTTGTGTCAGTCACATTGGCCCATTGATCTTGATGGCGGATGTGGCGGATGTAAGGGGAGAATCGGGGATCGTACGCTTGCCACTGCTGGGGAGTGAGGGACGAGATCTTGAGCTTGAACCGGGAGTCGCGGATGAGAGACGCGACCGCGCGGTGCGCTGTGAGGTGGGCGTCTTTCGGGCCGGGATGATATCGTCATCATCTGTTGCAGCACAAAATAAGGTTTAGTCAGGTCAGGCCAGGCCAGGCCACAGTCTGTTGGGCGTTGTTGTTCGGGGAGGGGAGGGGGGGTGTTGTCATGCGACTTACCGTCATCCATGGCGTCGTAGGGATCGGGTTTCGCTTTGCGCTTGGTGCCTCTCGCGTCCGCGGGAGTGCCATTGACGGAGGATCTCTTGGAAGACTGCTTGGTGGGCGAGTTCCAGAAATTCAGGAGGGCGGCCATTTAAGCGGTAGCCGGTCAATGGCCGATGCGCGGCGATGCAATCAATAATGCAAACAAAGGGGTAAGAGACGGCAGAGACAGCAGAGACAGCAGAGGCAACAACAGGAGGGGTCCAATCAGTCGACGGTTTGACAATGCTACGTCGACAACAAGGGGGTTTGCGACAGATAGATGGACACGGATGGAAGAAGGGAGTTTGTGGCTGTGGTTTTCTAGGTTTGAGTTTGAGCTTAGGACCAAGTGTAACCCTGAATTGCTTGGAGGAGGAAGAGGAGGAGGAGGGATGTTTGAGCGATGGTTTGTCGTGTACGTCGATGGAAAAAGAAGATGGTAAACATGTGCGTTTGCGCCTACGAAGTAGTTTAATGTGGGCGTGTGTGGTGAATGGTTTGTGTGTGTGTGTGTGTGTGTGTGTGTGTTGTCAACGCGGTCCTTCCTCTGGTAGGTAAGTAGGTAGGCCTAGCTTTTGAGAGCGGAGTCCAGAAGAGACTACCTACTACCATGTAAACCACAACCAGACCGACTACCATGACCAGACTACGACCCAAGACCCTAAGCACATTAATTAATTAAGATTGCTCGATAGCTGGATGCTTCAAGTTTACACTAACCTTGTCTAGTCTCAAGTGTATAACCAGACCAGACCAGACCTGATCCATCCATCCATCCATCCATCCCTCAAGTCACCTACCGGCTCTTCACGATGTAACCAAAAGGGAAAAAAAAGCCCGGCACCGGCATGCAAAGAATACGGAGTAATTAGCACCATCAACCAATCCTCTATGCAGAGACAGTTTAATCTTATTTCTATAGGCCATATTATGTAACATGCAAAGGTGCTAGGTGCCGGAATGGCTGGTGCCAGCTTTTGCCACAAGACAAAACTGGTTCCGCTATCCGAAGGAAAGACTACCATGCACTCACTTACTACGTACTTACGTTATTAAAAGAGATGGGGGGAGAGAAAAGCCTGGGGAAAAGAAGGGGGCAAAGAAGGGCAACATCATTCGCAAACCACCAAACTCCTCTCCAAGTCCTCTACAAGTCCTAATCACGTCGTAACGAGAACAAAGATGACCTCGGCCAGTTCCTCCGGCAACGTGAAGGTACTTCGATTCTGGTGTTCTGGTGGTGCGATGTGGGTGATCTGCTCGACCTTGCTGGGCCTTTTGGTCTGCTTTGGCGTCGGATCTGTATCCACTGGCCGTGCATGGTACATGACACGCGTGATACATACCAGATACATACCAGATACACTGCACAGAATGCATGCGCTAACCGCTTGGGTATAGATGATTACCTAATTAAAGTCGAGCAGTTGAAAACACGAATGAGTTGCACAGGACTTTGGAGTTTGGAGAAGCTGAATCAGCACCCGCTTTGCTGCCGGGTCGCTCGGCATAACCGCTAGAAGATACGGTATACGGACCACACTGATATCCCTGGACCTTCTAGAGAACTTGGAGAGAAGGGAAATCATGGATGTGGTCCATGTTAATAACATGACCAGATAAGGCGTAGATGACGGAGACAAAAGACGAACTCCTCCAAGCGCCGATGCTGTTCATAGCCATTTATTACATGAGTCTCACTAGGCACATACAATCGAGAGACTAGAGCACCTAGGTAGGTATTACTTGTATAATTCAAAATGGATATATAGGCAACTAGTAAATATATATATATTTCACACAAGAGGTGATAGCAACCATGCGATCGAACCTTTCACCGATACTCGCAGGTTTAACCACCCTAATTTACAACTAAATATATACGAGAAGGAAAAAGAAGAACGATATACATCGCCCACCATAAGATCACAAATCCCGAGGTCATAATAATAGAGCAGAGAAAAGGAAGAATATATTCAAAGCTATGGGACATTAAGGAAGGAAACCCCGAGGTAGGTAGGGTAGGTAGGTAGATCGAGAGAACCCAGCTCAACACCCCCCTACTTACAGACCCGAATCGATCTTCACGATCCCGCTATTGTCAAAGTAACCACGCCACCGCGCACAATTATCCTGGAAAGCCGTTGAGTCGGCGGCGCTGACCTGCGCCTTCTGCTCCGGGACGCGCTCGAGGAAGTCCACCGCCATCCCGCCGCTGACGTGCCACGCAATGTGGCAGTGCATGATCCAGTTCCCCGGGTTGTCCGCCTTGAAGGCGAGCACGAGCCACCCTTGGCCCGGCAGCATCGTGACGTCCCGGCGTACCGGGTTGGCGCCTCGCAGGCTCGCTTTGTCCGCTGCTGTGAAGCTGCCCGCGCCCGTGCCGAGCACGAGGAAGTCGTGCCCGTGCAGATGGATCGGGTGCGGCACGTTGGGTATGTTCTCGAGCACCCAGAACGTCCAGACGTCTTTTTGGTCTACGATGACGACGTTTTCGGAGGCCGGGTACGACGTGTTGCCTTTCAATACGTAGTCTAGCACCGGTCTGTCCCAGTCCACGTTGATCGAGGTGTTGTTTATGGTCCAGAACACGAGGGGCGAGGTTTGGAAGTTTATGTCGAGCGTGTTCTTCGGGCCAGGCGTGAATTGGTTTAATGGTGCTTGACGCGATACAACCGGCACATAGCTCAGAGAATCACTGCATTGGGCGTCTGGCGGCGGAATCCCAGGGGTGGTCGGGTTGGCGACTGGCGCGTTCGCGTAGTGTACGATGGCAGCCGGTGCCGGGTTGAGTGAGAGGCCGCAGCGACTGCTTGCGGGCATGGTGACATTCATCCAGTAATTCCCTGGCGTCTTCGAGGCATCGATGGTCACATCCACGCGCTGACCGATGCCGAGGAAGACGTTGTTCGTGGTGAACGAGTTGACTGGGACCAAGTCCGTCGCGACCACGGTCATGTCGTGGCCAACAATTGACACTTGGAAGTTGTTTTCAACGGAAGTGTTGATTAATCTCAGGAGATGACGCTTTCCAGGGGTCACTGTAATCCTGGAGTAGGCGCCGCCGCTACCGGCCGGGTTAATATTCGTTCCGTTGAACAAGACATTGTCGCTCTTCGGTGGAGCTGGAGTGTGCTGTGTTTCAACGATGAGTTCATCCGCTGTCTTGAGATAGTAATCGTTGATGGGATAGGCACCAAGGTCTATATCATAGGGCAACGAAGCTGGACCGTTGATGACGATGGGTCCAAAGACGCCATTGCCATATTGCCCAGAGAAGTGAGAGTGATACCAGGTCGTCCCGTACTGGGTAAACCTGAATGTGTACGTCTTGCTTGCTCCTGGTGGAACAGGGCATTCAGTTACCCCGTTGGTACCATCCATGATATTAGTACCCAACTGACGTATACCATGCCAGTGAAACGAGGTGCCATTGATCCTAAGACTGTTCTTGATATTCACCACGACGGTATCACCCCAGTCGGCTTTCAAGGTAGGCCCGGGGTATTGGTTGTTGACGAGCATTACTTTGCTCTTAATCCTCCCATCTGGACCAGTCCAGTTGTCATGCTCTGTCACTTCCCAGTTGAACTATGCTGTCAAGTCAGATGTGGCTCTGGTAGCATATTGTTATAAAAGGGGTAGAATCTTGCTCTTACAGTCCTCACGACACCTGGAGGGGTCTTAGTTTCATAATCGGTATTAATATCGAACCCCGGGCTCCAACATGCTCGATTGGAAGGGGTAAAGCAGGCTCCGGGGCCTCGAGGCTCGAGCGTGGTAGGCCGCGACGGAACACATTGGCCGAGCCGCGCTAGAAGACCAATCGAGACGATGTTGCCTAGTGAAAAACGCATCTGGAGAATGCGCGGAGTGATGAAGGATTAAGGACTGGAAGCGCGAAGAGCTATTGAGCTACGTTGAGATAATCTAGATGCTACTCGACCTAATGTGACAAGCCATGGATGGGTGAGCAAAACTGAGTGCTTCCTGCTGCCCATTTTATATCCCAGTCAAGGCAATCCGGTACCTGTGCGAAATTCCCTATGGAGATTCAGCTCAGACGACGAAAGAGATGACCTTTCGTATTCTCGATGGCTTTCTCCGGTCTGCTCGGGAATCATCACAAAACCCATCTGCCAGGCTTCCCAGAGCAGTAAAATCCTGCGTTATATCCACCTATGTGGAGAGACATGAGAGGAGGCATAGGCGTAAGGGCTAGACCCAATAGTCTGGTTCTGCGCATACTAGGGCGGCTGCCTTGGTGAACGTCGGGCTGGGCTCTTACAACATAGAATATCCCTGTGATGTTATATTAGGTGCTGGCAAGCAGCTGCAGGGCTGTAGTCGCGTGTCAGTCATTGACCGCAGTGGTGTGGGAGACTAAGGTGTGAATCCCGGTTTCCGGTGAAGTGAGTGTGGTAGGAAAGCATGGCTTTCATCATGAGCCCGGGCATACTGGCTCACCCTCCGTCGCCGGGCTCGTGACAATCTGGTGCTTGGAAACATCACAAGGCATGCCGAAGTTCTGGTAAGTCGAACAAGGCTGACGCGAGATTCGCTAATGCTCGGGTCCAACGCGGCACCAAGGTGGCGCACACCAACTGTAATTCGGCGTAGTCATTCGGGGTCAGCTTCGATGGTGCTGATACGCGCTGGCCATATCGATCTGCTATTGCGGATTTAGATTGCGCAAGTGTCAATAGCACGAGACACTATGTGTCGTAGCAACACTGTGCATTCTGCCAACGCAACAAGTATCCTCGCCGAGTTAGACGTCGGTGCTGGCTGGTATCTAGGTAGTTGAGGGTACGGCAGCTACTGACTTGCTTATACGATGACTGAACAACGTGGCTCCGCCCGTTTTTCTTACGCTAGAAACAAAAAGAAAGGATTACGACCGACGAAGCGAGATCGAAGCGAAATTGGAGAAGTTGGGTTTCTGTAACGTTAAAAGTGCAAGCCCGATGTTTCCAGGAGCTATTCAAGTTGGGTATCGTAAGCGAATTGTAGGTACAGCCGCGTAAGATAATTCTATAGCAAGGGACACGAAGTAACATTAGTTTCGTGTCCTCCTATATATAATGATACATTCGGAGTCAGGGACTATGCATACAACCTATGATCGGCCTTTACTCCAAGACATCTTCCAAGGTAAATGAATACTTAGGAATAGTAGCGGCTGCCCTGTCTCAAGGCGTCTAGATATTGGTAACCACCTAAGTTTTCTTGTCAGATACATACTTACTCCCAATACTTATGATGCAGCTTGTGCGTGGCTGGTAGCGTGGCTTGTCCGCATGCACTGTCGACTAGGTAGACAAGAAACATTTTGCAAGGTGTGTTATTTCGCGATGAGGTTCTCCGCTCGGCCCGGCTAAGCGAACCTGACTCAGATTCAAGTGTGATTGCAGCGTCGTAGCTTATGGAATATGTAGAAATGCTGGTGAGAAGACCTCCTCACAGTCTTATGATCTCTCGTGTTGACCAAGATAGAGTGTGGCACATGTACAGATTACATTGGTTTGGAGATCATCCATTCGATTAGAACCATGGTGTTGGGTTCTCTTGCGGCTGGTTTCTCCTTGCAGCCGAGATGTAGACATCCTTGACTTCGTGGCGCTTTCGCTACCAAAATGAGCCCAAATCCCTGTGTTCTTCATCTGTGTAGCATTCTACCGTATATCGGTAATGAACGAGAAAGGCAGATGATGACCAGGCTCCAAAATGTAGTACCTAGATCGGGGTCTTATTGACATCGAAACTGAATTGGAGTACCTATCTGCTTCTTCCCTGTCGTCGGCCACGAAGCACCGAAACACCGAGAGATAAGCCCCTACCTGACCAGTCGCAATCGCAATCGGTGTCTAATGCATGTCATTCTCTGAACAAGCCACTGCCCGTGGCTCGGTACCGAGATCAAAATCTCAGGTAATCATTGGAAGGCCCTCATAGTGCGTCACAGCCCTATGTGTATGTGAACCATTCCCTCATCAGTCTACTTTCTCGTTCCTGCATCCTTGCAACACCAATAATCGACAATCTACACATGACCATGGACTGTGATCATTGGGGTAGACCTTAGGACGTACAAAATCCAATCCCTTCTGCGCCACGGCTCACCCAGCTTCCCTCAAGCGAGCTAGGTTGTAATACAAAGGGTGCGCCACACTGACAATTTGATGATATCTTTGGAATGCTTTCGGCCTTCGGCAGCAATAGATTCTGCCATGATCGTTTGATATGCAGCCGTTTAACGGCTGATTGATTACTCATTTGCTCATCAGACGAAGTGGCTTATATATAGAAAGAACATATCCAAACCATCCTTGCCAATAATGGACTACGTATAGAAGGCCTCGTCCAAATGCCAAACAGCGGAAGAAGCGGAAACATAGGTTTTTAGACACTACATATGAGGCCACAAGATCAACCTAGCCATCATAGTCGGTGTAAGAAGAAACCCATGTGAACTAAGGCACGTGCTCATGCTATGTTGTGTAAAATAGACTCTCATACAAGAGGACAGCTAATATCAAAAGGAACTTACAGGCGATCGTAGAACTGGAGCTGCTAGTACATTTATTGTAGATTGAAATGGGTGATCACCTAATGAAAACCTTCTTATTCATTAAATGGACCTTGATGTGTGGAGTTAATAGCTATCTCATGATTTGAAATCTTACAATTTTTCTTACTTTCTCTTGACTTGGCACCCGGAAACCACCATTCGGGTTCAGCTATCCTACAATATAAGTGCAATTATTTGACAACGAGTATTACGACCATATGAACAGGCTGTTCCAGCACAGAATCTTTCCACGATCGTTGCTTAACCGTGTATATCGGTGAAGGTTGCTAGACAGCAGTGCTTACTTCTTACTATATCCTGGAAATGCACACAATCACATATGACGCCTAATCATCTTAGCTGTCTCCTAGTATGCCCAAGAAGGGAAGGCTTGTGAAACTTAATCTTGTTCGAATGAAAGGTTCAAGAGGCAGGGTGATTAACGACATTTTTCCACGTCCCCGACAAGTCACGTGTATGTGTCGTGTAGCCCAGCATATAGTCCTCTCACTAGATATCACAATATCGCGATATCAGAATTAAGCCCTAACTTTCAATTCAGAAAAAGCAAGACATAGGGCCGTGGAAAGGCCGGAGGGTGAGGAAGGTATTAAAGTTTGTTCTTGAAGAATAATTCATCGATCGTAGAGTAACGGGTCTAGACAATTCGCCCAATCATAGTCTAAACCTCGCTACAAAACAGCAAATGCGCAGAATGCTAGCAATTTATTCATCTAGGCAGGCGTTGGTGTAGCCTCGGCAGCCCTTGAGCAAACACACCCCTGGCCGGCAACACTCGTAGCAGGCGGCGCCGTACACGTACTCTCAGCCGTGAACGACTCAATCGTCGTCGCAGGCGGAGCAGCGACCTTTCTCGCCTTGACCAGCACCGGAATAGCCTGGCCCGTCGAGAGTCCGAACTCGCGGTGTCCAAGCACCTTCAGCGCAGTGCGGATCTGGCCAGAATGTGTCGTGATGCTGATCCACGTGCTCTCGTCGCGCGCAAATATATCGTCAAGGGCTGCTTTCGCACGAATTTCCTGCGCATCCCCCGTCTCGCCTTCGCCGTCGTGCCCGCGCCACAGCATATCGTCTTCTGTGAACCCGTCTTCAAACCTGTATTCGGGGAGCAGCGCCGTGATCGCCGATTTGCTCGAGCGCTCGTCGCACGAGCGGATCGAGATACCCTCGCGCAGAAACTCTTTTACTATGGGCGCGAAGGGGCGCGAAGAAGGTAGCCCGAGGTCTGCGAAGGTTAGGTTCGCTGTCGTCACGGAACGCGTCAGGGGACTGCTGTAGTATATCTGGGGCGCCGGGATCTTGGAAATGATGAGGGCCTGGCGCCAGAAGTTGTTGGCCTTGGTGCATTGGGCTAGACCCGTGGGTGTCAGGCGGGCGTCTTTCCAGATTATTGTGCCGTTGCCGTCTAGAGGCCCCCAGTAACACTATGTGAATTCTTCAGTCAAATTACGCTGTTACTGCTATTTTTGCTTTCCGTGCACAAGAGAGACGGGGAAGTATCTTGTAAAGAACTCACGTTCCAAGCGGGGGTTCCGTAGTAGCTTTCGGCGGCATTGTGGTAGCCCTCGCCGTGTCGGGCCATGAACAAGACTTTATACTGCGTGTTCTTCTCAGCTTTGCGGTTTAGTGTGTCAACATAGTGCTCGAAGCGCTGCCATTGAGTCTTCTTGCTGTTCGGATCGAACTCTTTGTCGGTTATGTATGATCTGTCGAGGAGACCATAATTCACGGTAGTCTGGTATCCCATTAGCAGATAGCCGTTAAAATAACAACCTACAATACCGTTAGTTTGACACGATGAATCGCACGCACATAATCAAATGTTGAGGGATCTGTAGTTGGCTCATCTTGTAGGAAAAATCCACTGATGGTCGTGTAATTGATAGTTGACCTATGATGCTGACTACATGTACTTGCCAGCGTAGCCGCGCTGAGCGATAATAAAGCAAGAATTGATGATATTATCATGTTGGTATTGTCTACTGAAATGTATTAGGGTAATGCTATATCAGGAACGAGATCGCTGAGATGAACACACATGTTTATGTCTAGGATATACTAATGTTGTAAGATGACTCAGGAGACATATATATCTATGTCTGTCTCTCTACATGACGTCAAAATGTTAGTTTTATCGAACTGCCTAACTGACAACGTAATTAGGCCCGACCGATCATAACTCGTGCGACATAGTAAGATGAAGACAATATAATTTTCAGATCGCACGTGGTGACATGCAAGTAAGGTGAAGCGGGGAACTCTTACTGAGTCTTGGCACAAAAGACAGTTATGACAATTGGCCAATGGATTGGCAACGTGCCTGCGAGGACCTTTCAAACAAGCGTTATTAGCATGGACTGCATGATAGTGCAATATCCCATGTTAAATCAGTTTGCGAAGACATTTATGTGAGACTCATACATAGTGTATACATAATGTATACACGAATATCTATCAGGTCGCTCATGAAATATCTATTTTCTGCGCTTCTTAAGGATACTCGATCGTTCATGCAAATGTCCAGGAATCATCTAACCCCCATGGCGACATCACAGTCACGCCTAATCCTAGTAGTAGTCGTTTCGGCAAATGGGTGTACATCAGCTTAGCCTTGCTCGCCGACAATCATTTTGGTGTACTTCTCGAGCTGCTTGACCTGCTCGACGCAGCCAGTTAGGCTGTCGTTGTACGAGTAGCTATAGATTTGTCCCAATCTGAGTTCCCGCTGTTGCTCCTTGTTACTGTATTTTGCCCGAGCAGCATATTCCTTCTCGAATTGGAAAACGCGGTCTAATAAACGTTTCCTGGCGACAGCTGCACTTGGGAGGTATTTCTGAGAGATACACAGTTAGGTAACCGGAAGAAGGCAGCCTAAGAGGAGCCGTTTACTCACCGGGACTAGTCTGTCCGCACGCAATGCTCCAGATAGAACGTATAGATTGGTTAATACCGTTGCAGTTTGATCGCGTCTATATCCAAGGAGCTCCATAGCTACCTCGGAGTCATCTCCGATGAAATGCGGGTGGTAAAATATGGAAGACTCTCGCACCGCAACAATGTGGTCAAAGAACTGCTCACATGTACTAAGAAGGGCCAGTACTTAGTGATTACCATTATATCAAGAGGAGGCATAGTATTTCGGTGTTCAAAGACTAACCTAATGAGCGCCGAGTATGGCAATGGATCAAAAGGGGCTCGTAAGCGGATTTCATGACGCGTCAAGCCCTAGGATAGTCAGCTTTCAATTCGCACCCACTGTCGATCTGGGAGCTATTTACCAGCAGTTGTCTAAGCCGAACAAATCCTTCGCGCAAACGACCTTCAATTATTTCAGAAGCTTTGATGTCCTCTTCTGTGGGTGCCTCTCCGTCCTCATAGTACGCGTATTGAGATATAATACCTTCCATGATTTGATGAGACGCAATGCATTGAATAGGGGTCCAAGGTAACTTACTCCTATAGACTACGCTACAATTAAAAATCATCGAAGCGAGTCCCTTGCGAAGATCATGACGAGCCACGAACGGCCAAAGAACCCAATTGACAATCACTGACGCAACGACCCCAAAAGCCATTGACGCACCCCTGGCGGTAGCTATTTCTGCGACCGATGGCCTTCCTTCCTCAATCACCTCTGAGAGGGAAACTACGATAAAGGCGATACAGCCGACCAGCCCCGATCTCTGTCATATTGTTAGCACTAGCAGTGAAAATTTCTTGATTTGCTTACGGGATGGCGACTCTGTGTGTACCTATACAGCATAGGAAGCATCTATTAACGAGTAAGCTAACGTGATCCTGCACATTTAGAACAAGTTGAGGATAAACAGAAGGGTCTGGTTCTGCTTGAAATCGGAGCTGAGAGTGCGCATATCTTCATGGGATGTGGCATGGAGCAACAGTTGAATGAATGACTTCGACATACGAATATTGCAGCAAACACTGCTATGACATAGGTGTTCCCATCTCCAGCTGCGTACGACAAACCGCCCCAAACCGCACCAATTATAACGCAAAATGCCCGGGCAAAGAGATCCTGAACATTCCCGCCTGTCCTATAAACGTTTGTTAGTTCACATCACATCTTGACATGAGGCGCTTTACCGAGGACCCATAATCAACCAGCCAATTACGACAGCCCACCATGCGTCAGAGCGATCCCACCAAGAATGACTATCCATCACATATGCAGGGACTGCAAGTAGGGAGGTTACTAGGGCTGTCTTGAGCCCAAAGCGTGTCTCAAAGCCTTGCATTCGGTGAAGAACAGTCCACACTTGTTCGCGGAAGCAATCTCCTCGACGCTCAGAGCTGCTGTTGACATCTCCAGTTGACGATGCGGCCGATGAGGTGTTCGGTGCACCCTTTTGTTCAACTGGATGGAAGTCACGGGATTTGATATCCTTGAGAACCCTAGCGATATCTTTGAAAGTCCTAAAATATGAACCTATTCTGGTCAGCTTGTCGAAAATACCACATCAGATTTGCATTTACCAGCTGTAACACCTCCCCTGTCATGTCTAACTTGTGCATTAGTCCGATGGATAGCTTTCGATAATGGATAGCAAGGTATGTGAAATTGTGGATATTTCGGCTGTCGTTGCCGCAGTTCAGTGACTTGAGTCACAAGAGATTCGATCGAGATTGCCGCTTGATGAAGTGAGAGACAGAATGCGAGAGTCTTAATTACATCGGGAAATCTGGAATAAGCACCTGGCAGCCTGTTGCTAGCTAATACGTCTTCCTTTCGAGCATTGAATGTAGTAAGTTGCTTCTGAAGATCGACCAGAGCCGCGTGAATATCACTCGATATGTGGCATGGAGGCCCTAAATGATGCCGATGTCCGCACATATCCATTATGACGGCATCACAGCTCTGCAAAGCTAACTTCATGGAATCCAATAGTGTTTGCGTAGGGGTTGCTAAACTTTCAGTGACGAACTTGGTAATTTGCTCTTCTTCAGGGTGGAACGAGTCTTCTGCGGTACTATCCATCTCAATGACGAATTCCGAAGGTTCTCGGCAATGTGTATGGTCTACAATAGACGCTTTCCCCGTCGGGGACCCAAGAAGCCTGCTTTCTGTCTTCAAGCTTACTGCAGTATCCACGGTCAGTAGCGATCGCAGTATTCATATTCTTATAGAAACCCTGGGCAAGGGAACATGGTTTCAATGACTCACAAAGTGCCCGAATCACAGCTTGAATTGAGTTGCGAAGGATCAAGACATCTTTTGGGCTTAATGTAGTGATAGAAAAGTCGATTGCTATGTCTCTGTATGTTTGAGACATGTTCACGAATGCTTGGGCTAATCGTCTTTGAATTTTAACTGGATCATTCACAGGCGGAATACCATCCTATGTGATTTAGCATGTGTTGAATTGACGGAGGGCTATGGAAGCTTACAACTAGGATACTGAAAACTTGATGAAGCCCTACGGCTATTCATATATTCAGGGTTAGTGGCTGTCTTTAAGAGCGAGGAAAGACTTTGGGAGATTTGTAGCGAGTAGAGTAGGAAGAGAAACCACTCGGCTTGATAACTCGTGGTCCTGAATCGTGTCAAAGGGCGCGTTAGAGATTCTAGTGGACTAACCTAATGGACGAGACCCTGCGTCAGGAACAACGATACTACAAACAGCTAGAGACACACCTTGCCCAATAAGCCAGGGAATGCCGTAGGAAAGCAACTTGAACCAGGAGACTTCAGTGCGTGATATTTCAGCCAAGCATGTGTATGACGTCGCAATACCGGCACAGATGACGAATTGGTACGTGCGGATGTAATATGACCGGAGACAGGCAATAATAAATATGTGTATGAAGAGAAAAAGCGCGAGGATGCCACCAAAACCGACTTGCGCCGTGGCTGTGACGGTAGAAAGCCATAGTCCAAAGGAACCCCAACCAAGCCCCGTTGCAGTACCGAGGATTGTCATCAATGCTCCATCAATCTGAGACCCAACAGTTCGCCCAGGGTGGTTCAGGACAGCAGATATCACCATGATATAAGCATAGCGGCCAAATTGCGCTCGTACGGTAGGAATGAGACAAAGGATATAGGTTATGAAGAAGCCAAGAAATGACTTCAACAACTTGATGCCAGACCTCGTGGTAACGACTCGGTGGATGACGTTCCAGGCGGCATTAAACTGCCTAGGAAAGAAATGTTTTAGAGATAGAGGGTCCTTTTTCGCAAACGCCAGGGGCAATGTGGCCTCGGCACGGTCCAGGAGGATCTGGCTATCAACATCATCAGGGGGAAGGAAGATGGCATCGAAAAACCCATCTCGTCTCTCAGAGATACCATGTGTTCTCTCAATAAAGCTCTTCTCAGCCGGGGTCAAAGAAGGAGCTCTGGCGATTGGTATTGTTGGCCCATAATCAAATATCTCGTCCAATGAACCAGTAGAGCTAGGGCGAGCTTCGTGTCTTCGTTGATGGTTTTGACGGTGAAGCGAACGGGACAATCTCCTACCAATACCGTGTCCCTCACTCGATCTGTTACTATCGCTGCGACTAGACGCATACCCCTGATGAGAGTCCATTATGAATCGACCTACGTTGGATGTAGAAGGCCTAGTTAGGAGATTCTAGAGGATCGGGTTTTGGTCTCGTTCATAGCTGATACAATGAGGAATTATATATATAGAGATATGTGTTCAGTCGAGGCCCATATCACCAAGAGCGAGCTCTCTTGTAACGGGAAATGAAGCATATAGATGGCCTATGATATAATAGCTGAACGATACACATGACCACAATATGTAGGAGCGAGTTTGTGTGTCGATGTAGGCGGTGATCGGCTAATCCGCGTGTTTCATTTCCTGTATGTCATGAAGGTTGATTCTGTTCAATTCACGACTAGATGTCATAGGAAAGAGCGATTTGCGTGTGGTTACCCACATATGTAGGTACTTACAAGCGACAATACACATTGGCAGGAGCGAGGGTTGGATGGGACGTCATATTGCAGCTCCAATCACGCTGCCAGAGTTGCATGCAGGCAGTAGCTACATAACTGCATCTTTTGCTAATTTGCAAGTGCGCCTGTTCCTTAAATGATGTATTTGGATAAACGGGGGTTTAATAAATGCCCGGTACCTGCATTCTGCCGAGGTTGGTAGGCACATGCCTGATCTGTCTACATAGTACATAAGTACCTAACTAGGTAACTAACAGAGGGAATTTGGCACTTGCTTAAAAAAAAAAAAAAAAAAAAACTTACCTACTCCGATGGGAAGAGGAGGCAGGGCCATGGGAAGCTTGCAGTGAGGGCCTAACGAAGCCCGATGAAATTGTTTTACCCCGCCAGCGCAGCGCTTTGTTCCCAAAGCATGTACCTAGGTGGGGTTACGTGTAGGGGAGGGGAGGTCCTAAGTCCTGCACCTACCCCTCCATTTTGGTCTCTCTGGGCGCCGACCACTGCGTGGGTACCTGAGGGGTACCTCCTTTGCCCCATCGAAGACTGCAGAGGCGCTGCACTCCCGGCCCAAAGTGCCTCCCTGGACAAGTCCCTCGATAAGGCAATAAGTCTCGCCCAGGTACCCAATGAAGCACCTAATCAAGGTTGCTAGAGCGTTCCAACATCCCACCCGGCAGCACAACAACAGCCTCACTTTCACTTTCTTCTGTATCGCCAATATCTCCTCTTGACAACCCGCCTGCGTCTCTCTCCATCTTGGCAGTCTCTCCTTCCTCACTTTCCATTCTTAGCGTCGTCTACAAGAAGAAGCCTCGCGCTTAAAACAAACTTCAAAATGGAGAGTGAGTTCATGTAGCTGCACCTACTTTGTCTGGTCCAAATGTGCTAACGTGCGCTGCGCAACAGGCCTTGCGCCCGAGGAAATTGCCGGTATGTCTCTCAACATCGTCTTCCGAAGCCCTTTATCCTTTGCTGCGAGCAGCAGTCCCTCGCCATTCGTGCTGTCTAACGATGATGCAGCTCAGTTTGCCCAAAAATACTACGCCGATTTCCAGGTAGACCGCCAGTCCTTCGTCCAGTACTTCTACGTATGCGCCTCCCTTCCCCGCCTTCTCACATCACGCCAGACCGACATGCCTGCGTCCCCGGAGGAGCCCTCTCTTGACGTCCCCGCTAACCGCCTCACAGCGTGAACACTCAACCTTGACCTTCGAGTCCAACACGCTCCAGGGAATCCAGGCAATTGGACAGAAATGGACTGTACGACAATGCCCGCCACAACGTCCGTGCCCGAGTAGAAAAGCTGGAACTAATATTGAGCGCAGGAGGATTTCCTAAAGACCGCGAAGCACCAGGTCACCACAACCAACGCCCAAAGGGTACCTGGTGGCTTCGTCATCGTCCTCGTCACTGGCCTTATTCAGGTAAGAATTTTTATTTCTTCCCGCGCATCTAACGAGCGCCTATGTGCCTCTCGGTTTCTTGCGCTATGCTGACCACGTTGATTAGCTTTCCGAGAGCGATGCACCCATGAACTTCACCCAATCTTTCCTGATCTCCATGGATGAGAAAGGCGTTTTCTGCAACAACGACATCTTCAAGCTCGTCTACGGTTAGACTCCAACCTTTCTATATCTCAAGGGCAAAATAAATCATTGCTGGACGGATAAGGGGACACTTCGCCACAGACGTGCCCGCGTCGTGCGAACGTTTTCCCATCTACTTAGAATGGATCAAGTGGTCGGTCAACCTTTCCGGTTGGCGTCTCGGGAATGTGACTTGGGGGCTGTTGCCGTCTAGATCTTGCCAAACAGCGAAGATTTCAATCGATACAATTTCAACCCTGCTTTTTCTACTGGTCAACTCAGACTACATTCCTCCTTTCATAGTAAAGTGGTTGCCTAGGTACTGCCAGTTTGGCTGTAAACTACCTAGTTAGTGCATTGACTTCAGATCCCACGCTCTCCAAAGTATCATTGGTACGGGCTAGCCTAGCCCATCCGACAGAACTAACGTAATCGACGGTACCGTTATGTTATACTTATCCTCACAAGATTTACGCCTGAAGACGCCATGCACATCTGATATAATTGCCCTTAACTCATCCACCTCCCTGCTCCCAGTCTAAAAAGTATTCCGCTAACCATCGACGATAATGATGACTATAACACGTAATAACCAACGCATTTCCGCTATATGAATTATTCTTATTCTATTTAACTCACATACTTCCCATCGATCCTCGGTAGATAGATACAATGCATACAAACACCATCCTCATGATTCATTTATCCGTAATCTCAAACCTGCTCATTTCATTTCGTGTCATTCTTTCTAACAAACTCCCCCCCACTGTACACCAAACCATACAAACCAACTCCAGTTACATCAATGACGGTAAACACAGCCAAGTCAAAGAACAAACTCCCCACATTTAAATGGGCGGGTTAATTGGTTAGTTAGCTGAGGTCGAAACCCGCACCGGACTGCACTGCATACAGCAGTTTGGCCTTCAACGTGGCAGCCGACTTATACACCGGAAGTTTGAGCAGATTGACGCAGGTGCTCGTGCTGGGGAGTCGTTCCTCGTCGGGGCCGCCATCCCTTATACTGAACTGGGGCTTGAGCTGCGAGAAGCCGAGGAGGGGTGCTCTCGGCGTGGACGTGACGTATTTCAGCACGTCTCTGCGCTCCGAGTCCTTTAGTGTTCGCATGACGTCCCAGAAGAAGCGGATCGTAGGGTGCTCTTGCCCGTCGTCGCCTATCGTGTAGAGACCGGAATAAAAGGTGTTCTTCCTGAGATCCTCCACATCTATCTCGGAGCTGTCGCCGCCGATGAGGCGCTGGAGTTCGGACTGGTTGAACATGGAGAGCCAAGAAGGGTTGATGATGGCGCCTAATCCGCGAAGAAACGCTTTCGCCTGCTTGTACTGTTGTGCGACAAGTCTATGGTTTGCGACATATGATATGTAGAGTGGGCGATCCTTATTGGTGACTGGTATATTGGCACCGTCTCTCCTCAATGGACGTGCGATAGTGCGTCGATTACCAGAGGGATGCCACACTGTGTCGGCGATCGTGAAGTCTAATGCGAGGTCCGCTACATCCCCGGGGTAGTTCTTCATAGTCAGAAGCCCCTGGTAAAGCATAGGATCAAGATCCCGTAAGTCGTTGAGATTGGCCCGGTAGTCTGTCGAAGTACTCTGCCCGGAGGAAGCCCACTTGAGAAGAAAAAAGCTGGCGAACGAGATATCGATTAAGATCCCTTCGTACAAGCATTTCCCAACTATACGGCCTATAAATTCATATTTCTTTAATACATCACCCACGGTGTCCCTCCATTCTTGACCCCCAGGTGGGAAGCCGTAATGTCTCATCTTCGCCTCCAGGTCATCGATAATTGATGGGTTGGGATAGAGCATGTTTTGATCATTGGAGACGAAATAAGTCTGATCATCACGTTCTGGGCTGAAAGCATCGTTAGTGACGCTGATTAGGAACTCTTTCGTCACACCTCCGCCATCGATGCCAGCTTCTGGCTGGTTGAACTGATCCACAAAGGTGATTTGAATAGGCTCTTTGAGGCCCTCGCCCAACGTGTAGAATTGACTAAATGCGTCTTCAAATTCTCTTCCACGTGCGACTGTAGCGGTGTGGCGGCCCAATGATTCCCTCCTGGCATCACCACCTGATAATATCGCAAGTCGCCATTGATCCGGGTTGACGTGACCACCTCGTCGCTTTGATTTGTCCAGATGAATGAATTGCCGGAATATTTGAACCCTCATTTCGAACGGGATTGCGAATGGCATATTCCGAAGAATCTCGAGCTTCGGGCCAATTGAGTATCGAAACTGCTCCGACTGGGTTGTTTGTAGTCGGCGACGAGCTGTAGGTTGGGTAAGCCGGTTGTTGATAACGTTATCAGAGAGAGTCGATGAAGGGTCTTCATCATCGTCATCAGACTCCTCGTCTTCTTGTAATCCTTCCACTACGACGGCCTTCATAAATACATCCATGTCAAATTTTGCAGTCATAAGCCAAAAGCCACGAGGAAGGAACGGTCGTCGTGAATCCCTCTCGTACAAAGCGCGGATAGAGGATGACGTTACATCTCTGAGGCCAAAAACATCCAGGCCAACAATACCAGCAAATGATGCAGAATTATTTTTCGCATCGCCCAAAGATCTCGTTGAACCACCACCCCTCGTGGTATCTTGCAGTTCGGACGTCGGCTTGGGTTGCATAATTTCATGTTGATTGTAATATAACGGGAATGTCAAGTGTTTAAGGAAGGTGACGAGAAGTTTAAGTTCTTCAAAATTCAGGTTACTGGAGCGAATCCTTTGTGTTGCCTGACTCTGCTGTGTCCCTATATCGGCTTCGTGGGGTAAAAAGTCTTCATCATCAGTGACTCGAAGCAAGAAATTATAGAGCTCTAGAAAGAGAATCAGGGTCCTCCACTCTAGGTCTAGTATAAAATCTCGTTCTAATAGCGGTAGAACGGAAACAGATCTCTCTTTGGCTTTCGCTTGCTGTACTATGCTCGTGAAAATGGAGGTTTTAGATGCTACTCTCCACAAAAACTTGATGGAGGGCGAAGCGAGCTTGTTCTCGCCTTCAAAAGTCTGGATATCACCCTGGAAGAGACGCATCTTGATATCATCACCATGAGTAGGGAAACACCGTAGTAGGACGAGGGTATATCCTGCAAGCAGACTTGTATCTTCTGAGATACCATGGGTAGTTGAAGTAGTGCTGCCTTTGGTCAGCGTGACAAGACAAGGAATTGGGGCATTCATTACATACATCGCAAATCTGTTTAAAAGATCCGTAATGCCATCCTCGCTAACTAGGATTTCAAGTTGACTGATCACGTACTCGGGTAATGGCGTGATACCCGAAATTATCATATCTTCATCCGGATCTGATGCGTATTCATCGTCACTTTCTTCTGGGGGGTTCATACGTGATCTAATGTCAGCTGCAAGAAACGACATTTGTTGATTCAGAGCTTCGAGATATCTGGAACCCTGAGATGCAGATGCCACACTATTTAATTTAATAAAGTGGGCAAGGAGCCAGAGTAGGTCGTCCCTTGTCACAGTACTAAGAAAGCTGGGAGTCGAGAACGCCTGCAGGATACTTTGCGATAAGGCCTCAAGGTTTAGAAGTTGGACAATATCTTCGGGATTATCTCGCAAAAACCCCGACCTCGAAGAAGTCAAGAAAGTATAGGCAAATGTCTGATATGCTTCCCCATCATATGCTCCTGGAGACGAGTTAGCATCTATAGGAGATAACAGAAACTTTGCGAATTGTGTTGAAATTTATCTAGCTCCGAATGCGTACACCTGAGTCTTCGATTTCACTTATGAATTGTTGACTTACTGGTATCTTTATTTGATGCTAATGGGGCCGCCACAGCCTCGAGCAGAGTCCGGCCATACCCATCGGGAAGATTGATTGACGATATCCTATCCGCAAGTCGCGCGAGGGTAGAGTAGTATAGTTTTAGTACAGGTTTAATGGAATTGGGCCTTCGCTTAACGATATCGGTCAAAGCGATGAGAAGTTTCTGAGATGAACCATCATCATGCCTATTAGTCAGCATATTAGTATGATAATCTGAGTGCGACAGCAGGGTGGTATGGAAGGAGTCGCCCTACTTATCTAGAGCATTCACAGAGAGGCGAGCCAACCGATCCCACGAGATGGCGTCGAATATGCTGAAGTCAACTGGCTGGCTTGGGTTTGGAGAGAGGGCCAGGAGATCTGAGATAAATAGTTCCAGACGCCGCTGGTCGTCGGAACTGGTTGGCAAGAAAATGGCAAGTAGGAGTGGATATGCTTGTTTTATTCGTTGCTGACAATTTTCGGGAACGATAGGATGTCTGTATATAGCATCATATTCTAGTCGTCGTAAGTCCCGGAGGCATCGGCGATCCCAGTGGCCCCGCCACACCTTTTGAAGACGCTTTGAGGCGGCTAATTCTTCTCGTTCACGGTGTCTCCTTTCGCGCTCAACCTGGGCCTGGGCGACAGTTTTAGAGGCACCGGACAATCCGGGTGTGCGGCTTGAGCTAGCCCAAGGATTTGCGTTGCGCTGTCCGCTTAGGTTAACGTTCCGGGGTCGGCGGGAAGACCCCGTGAATGTAGGGAACATAATGGACCGAGAGTTGGCGGAGGCTTCGCCTTTTTCAAGAATATATTTCTGAATGAGGGTTGCGGCCGCCACACTACCACGCAGCTAAAGCTAGCATTCTGTCTTCACACGAAATTTGCCGCGAGTTGGAAGACGTATGGATGCAGTGCCCAAGTTGCATACAGGCGTTGGTCTTGACGTAATGCCGACCTCTGCCTTGGGTAGCGTTTTATGTAGCACTAGTTGGCTTCCGAGGTAAGCAAAGTGCAGGGACGAGGATGGAGATGAATAGCAAGTCGGTGGGTGGAGGCTAGGGTCGGTCTCGCGAGACTCGGAAGTTGTTGGTGGTGAGAGGCTTATTAACTTGATCCAGAGTGAAGTTCTGCGCGGGCTGGCTTTGCGCAGTGCGAGAAGCTCTCCCTTCAAGGTTGCATTGATCCCTGGACTTGGGTAGCGTGTCACCCACCTAGCTTACCTAAGTTCATACCTACCTACATATATAGGTATACCTAGGTAGGTATGTACATACCTGCTACATAACTGATGCAGGCTAACTACCGGTACAGGCTTCCAAATTACATGTACACGAACAAGCTGAAGCTTCGGTGACATTCCAGGCTTCTTCCCGTGCAATAGTGGGATGTTCAAGCGTCCCCTATCTACTTGGCGTTAGATGACTGCGTTGTCAGCTCTGTGAGACCCTGTTGTAGACCATGCCTTAAGGGTACGATATACCTACTTCCTTAGTTTATGTGAGGCTCCGTGCCTTGGTTGGATAGCATAAAGGCAGGGATAAAGCAGCTGTCACCACATACTATGTAGGTGTATGCCACGGTATATCGTGACCTGGGTGGGTATATATATATATATGTGTGTGTGTGTGATTGTCGGTACCTAATGGTCATGTGCGGACCTTGAAAGTTGCTGGTATTCTTTCTCCATTGCCATAAATAGCGTACGCTTATATATGAATTCTAGCCGCCATATTCCTCAGCGGAAGACTGGCCCAGAGTTTAGAGGCCGACTAGAGAACTGCTGATTTCTCTTGATCCTACAGATGGAGGCGCAAACGTTATGCCTGCGGCCGCAATTATATCACCGAGAGCTGGTAGACACCCTTGGAAGTGTAACAACTGGCCACTAAAATGCTAATCAAACCGCCGGCGGATTTGACTGCAACGCCCCGCGCTACATGACAGCGCCAGCAGGCTTCTAGCCGATTAACACAGTGATATAACTTGGAAACCGGTAGCGTGTAAAATAAGCAGGCGAGCCTGATAAGTGTAAGGATTGCCAAAGGGTTATTATTGATGTTTTAGAGTAGAAGTTCTAGTCTACTGAAGGAATCCATTGTGAGGGGTAATATAGCTACTCCCACCGTACCTGCCATCATTTGGCCAAACTCCCTCGCCACAAGCACCACGAAGGCGAAACCAGATCGTCACTTAATTATCACGAGATTTCCTCATCTTTAACTATTCGTACGAATATTCCATCACTTCAATCTTTCCACCAACGGATTCCTCACCCGACCCCCATCCGGCCCCGAAAAAACACACATACAAAGGTCTCATCATAGGAGATAAAAAACAACACAATAAGGGCACCGGTATATACGTAGATTGTTAGACATCGCATAGTAATTTCAATCCGATAATTTCGTTCGTAGACTGTAGTCAGCCATAGTAAATTCAAGAATAAAGGGGATTTAGGTCTTTTTTCCGCGATAGAAGGGAAAAGGAAAAGCGAGCTGTTTGCTTAAGCTATACGGTCGAAGATTCTTTTTACGACGAAGATTTCTTCATTATTAGGTATTAATAGGATTCTTTTCGGTCGAGGGGAAAACGGCGAGCTATATGCTACGAACCGTACGCCCGTAGGGAGGGATTCTTCCAATTCAACGGGAGAAAACGACATTCTGACTCAACCGCTGTTTAGCCATAGTGGGAAACCAAAGAACGCATGGTAGCTTAAAAAGCGATTCGCCTTGCGGCTCTCACCAATTGATAAGTGTAAGGATTGCCAAAGGGTTATTATTGATGTTTTAGAGTAGAAGTTCTAATCTACTGAAGGAATCCACTGTGAGGGGTAATATAGCCACTCCCACCGTACCTGCCATCAAGCCATAGGGTTAGAGGCTTCTTGATAGTGGTCGTGATGTCGGTGCTGGTGTGTGTGATCCTTCAAAGTTTGGCGCCGAACTTAGTAGGTGGGTAGGTAACTCTATACAATCCTCTACCTAAGCCAACACTATTTCGTATTACCTAATTGCCAGTGCCGTTTGTGAATGCGAATTTACTTGTGGGCGAATTCCTCGACTACACAGCCACTGAGTATATTTCGAACTTTGACAATCTACCTTTAGGGTAGTTGATGCACACAACACATCTGCAAGCAAGAGATTTGGAGGGAAAAAGTCAAAGGCCAGTCGGTGCTATTGGATATAGCAACTTACATCGTGGACCTGTTCAACAACATCAATACAATCTATTGCCAATCCCATCGCTCAACAGGACCTTGAGAAGTAGGTAGTACTTACCCTACTTAATAAGTACCATACTTACCTACATATGTACATACCAGTCTGATAATCATACCAGGTACACACATGCAGCCAAGGGTACATAATCAAACCTATTTAGGTAAGAAGGGAGGTGGGGGAGTCAGTGAGCAGAAAGTGAGGTAGCCGCTGAGAACAAAGCACACCGACAATTCGGAGCAAACCCAGAACGAACGAAGTAGTAGGTCGGGCACTCTGTATAAGTCCAAGTTAGAGTTCCAGGTCGCCTGCACATACAGGCTAAGAGAGGGGGGTGTAGGGCAGGCAGGCAGGCAGGCAGGTACATAGGTAGGTAGGTAGGTACCTTCCTAGACCACGGATGGACTCCCGGACCTACTTAGGCTCACCTGTGAAAAGAGCTCTAGATAAGATACCTATATGTTCGCATCTTTCCAAGTGTTTGCTTACCTACCTACAGAGCCAGTCGTCAGCACATCATGTGCGTACATTATTACCTACGGATGTAGGTAGGTAGTAGGAGTGGTTTTGAGCTACATATCTACATAGACAGAGAATACCTACACCGTGGACGTACCTAGGCGGTAAGTCCTTCTTACAGCAGTTCAGCCAATGCGACTGCCAATGAGTTGAAGGTTGAAGTTGCCCCCACCACCTTCTCCTTGCCTAGGTACCTACCTACACGACTAAAAGTAACATGAAGGTAAGTTACTTAGTCGAAGGTAGTACATGCGTGGACTTGTAGTACGGAAGGTACCTTGGTGTTGAAATTTTTTCGTGGTGTTATGTGTGTGTGATGCAACCCACTTCCGCAAACTCACGCTCTCGATACCTACTCGTGGGTACGTATGTACCTACGTAGGTAGGTACCTGGGCTATTGCTGAGCAGCTGGGCGGGGTGCTTTCGGCTGCTCTTGGCACTGGCAAACAGTCCTGTCGTGGCATCAGCTGTCTGCTGTATCTGAGCTGTACCTCTTATCTGCTCTTAGCAAGGGTGTTCGCAGCTCTGCCGGCCTGTCCACCAGCCGGTGCGCCAGCCCGCCATGCCACCATGCCAATGCTACGGTACCTACCTCGGTAGTACCTCCTTTGGCTGTGGTCAAAGTATGTAGGTACCTGCCTATCTGTAGGTACGCGACTAAGGAAAGGTGAAGACACAAAATTTCTGTCGGGGTGAAGGGTCCCTCCTCTTCCTTTCTTCTCCTTTCCCTTCTTCAACGACAACTTTATCCGCCATCTCGTCGCCCAAAAAACTTTCAAAAGAGATTTCAGTTTTAGAGCACGGTCTTCCCGTTCGTGCCTCATTCCTGGTCTCGCCTAAAATACAACAATCAAAAACACCAAAAAAATTCGGAAAATCACAAAAACCACACACGCCTCTATACCCACCATTATCTACACCACCCACCATCTAACTACCTGCCTTTACCACCCACTTAACCCCTCCTCCCTCCCTCTCTTTCGACGTCTTCCATCTCTCTGCTCAGTCACCCCCCTCTGGACACGATCCCGTTGAGCATCAGCCTCGACGCACATCTGTCCCTGGTATACGGTCCACCGACTTGGTCTACTGCTCGTACCTCCTCGGAACCTACGGGCTCGAAGTGAGTTGCTGCGTTTACTCGCTTCTTATATATTCTTCTTTTTGTGGTAGTCGTCGGCAGGCCAGTCTTTGTCTACGACTCACCCTCGCCGCCTGATCCTCCTGTTGATTCAGAGGCCCCTTTTACGACTTGTTGAGCTGCTCTGGTAAGCCTTTGCTTGTACCCTCACTTGTCTCGCATGACGCAAACCGCAGGCGGCTTGCTCCATATGTATTCTTTCTTTCGTGCAACCTCGAGTTTACCTTCTCTTATCGCTGGCGACTAATCTTTGTTTGGATAGTCGAGTCAATTTATAAACTATTACCAACATGTCTGCTACCACTGCTACCGGCGCTGTTGATCAGCTCGCCGCCGAGCTTGGCAACACTTCTCTTAATGGCGGCGATACGCGCCCCGCTACCATTGACACCAACGTCGCTCCTAACGCGAACGCCGACGAGCCTGACACCGCTGGCCCGACTCCCAGCTCGGCTCAGACTCCTCACCCCGCCGCTTCTGCCTCTCTCTACGTTGGCGAGCTTGATCCCACGGTTACCGAGGCCATGCTGTTCGAACTCTTCTCCCAGATAGGCTCTGTGGCTTCGATCCGCGTTTGTCGTGACGCCGTTACCCGCCGCTCACTTGGATATGCTTACGTCAACTACAATACCACCACCGATGGTGAGCGTGCTCTTGACGAGCTCAACTACACTCAGATTAAAGGCCGCCCTTGCCGCATTATGTGGTCTCAACGTGACCCCAATTTGCGCAAAAGCGGCCAGGGCAACATTTTCATCAAGAACCTGGATGCCGCTATTGATAACAAGGCTCTTCACGATACCTTTGCTGCTTTCGGTAACATCTTAAGCTGCAAGGTCGCTCAGGATGAGAACGGCAACTCCAAGGGCTACGGATTTGTTCACTACGAGACTGATGAGTCTGCCGCTGCTGCTATCAAACATGTTAATGGAATGTTGCTTAACGAGAAGAAGGTCTATGTGGGACACCACATCCCTAAAAAGGACCGACAGAGCAAGTTTGAGGAAATGAAGGCCAATTTTACCAACGTTTACGTTAAGAACATCAGCACTGATGCCAGTGATGATGAGTTCCGTGAACTATTCGAGAGATACGGTGACGTTACCTCGTCTTCTCTTGCTCGTGACAATGAAGGCAAGTCTCGTGGTTTTGGCTTTGTTAACTTCACTACACATGAGAGCGCTGCCAAGGCGGTCGAGGAGCTGAACGGCAAGGACTTCCAAGGTCAAGACCTCTACGTCGGCCGTGCTCAAAAGAAGCACGAGCGTGAGGAGGAGTTGCGCAAGTCATACGAGGCCGCACGCCAGGAAAAGGCCAACAAATACCAGGGTGTGAACCTGTACATCAAGAATCTAGATGACGAGGTTGATGACGACAAGCTACGCCAGATGTTCTCTGAGTATGGTCCTATCACTTCAGCCAAGGTTATGCGCGATACGCTTTCTGAAAACGAAGATGAAATCCCGACCAAGGACAAGGAGAACCAAAAGGAGTCGGGCGATGAGAGCAAAGAAGAGGGCGAGAAGAAAGAGAAGAAATCGGAGAAGAAATTAGGAAAAAGCAAGGGCTTTGGTTTCGTATGCTTTTCCAACCCAGACGATGCTACCAAGGCTGTTGCCGAGATGAACCAGCGTATGTTCAACAACAAGCCTCTTTACGTCGCTTTGGCTCAGCGCAAGGATGTTCGGAAAAGCCAGCTTGAAGCTAGTATCCAGGCTCGCAACCAGCTCCGAATGCAACAGGCCGCAGCGGCAGCCGGCATGCCTCAGCCCTTCATGCAACCCCCAGTCTTCTACCCACCTGGCCAGCAGCCTGGCTTCCCTCCTCAAGGTGGCCGCGGAATGCCATTCCCTGGAGGCATGGGCATGCCAGGTGTTCAAGGCGGACGACCTGGTCAATTCAACCCCAACTACGGATCTCCCCAAGGTGGTCGTAATGGAGCCATGCCGCAGCAAATGCCTCCCAACATGTATATCCCTGGCCAGTTCCCTCCTGGTGCCCCATATGGTCAGCCTGGTAACCCACAATTCATGGCTGCCATGGCACAGGCACAACAGGCAGCTCTAGGTGGTGGCCGAGGTGTCCCAGGTTCTCGAGGGCCTATGCAAAACATGCCTGGAAATATGGGCATGCAGGGCCCTGGTGCTATGCCTGGATACCCACCCAACCCACGGCAAGGTGGTCCGGCTGGTCGTGGTGGAGGCAACAACCGCAATGGTCAGCAGGGTGGCCAGTTTCCTCAAGGCGGGCGCGGTGCGCCTGGCCAGGTAGCTGCTAATGCGCCTGCCCCCTCTAATCAGGAGTTAACTCAGGGCTCGATTCTCCAAACACAACTCCAGCAACACGCTAGCAACCCGGCTCAGCAGAAGCAAATTGTAGGCGAGGCCATTTTCCCGAAAATTGCTTCAATCCAACCCGAACTCGCTGGCAAGATCACCGGTATGCTTCTAGAGATGGATAACGCCGAGCTTGTTCAACTGTAAGTGCGATTTTACGATGACTTGCTGTTCTGTACTAAACATTGATAGTGTGGACGATGATGCACAACTCCGTGCCAAGGTTGACGAGGCTATGGCGGTCTATGATGACTATATTAAGACAAACAAGGGCTCTGGAGCCGAGGGCGCTAATGGTGAAGAGAAGGCTGAGGAGAAGGCTTAGGTCGAGAGCCATTTGGTTTCTTTGGCCATCGATATGATGCTTCATTTTTTTCAAGCATAATTGATTTCTGCCAACAGGTTTCGGAAAAGTTCATGATGGCACCGACTCCAATGGGCGGTTTGCAACATCGATCTCGTGCATTTTTTCTCTCTTATTTCTTTTTTTCAGTGGCGGATGTTTAGTCATCATTGAGCCCCTATGCAATGTTGGCCAGGATCTTGCCAGCGCACTTGAGGGAACCTCGCGTATGACTTTTCATGTATTGATAAGCCCTATGTTCTCACTGCTGGAGGGAGTATTGGCTGGATGTTCGGTTTTTTAGTCGTCAGGCGTTTGATGGTCACGCTCGGTCAGCCTCACACCGGACGGAATGTGCGGCACCATGGTTACTAACCAAAATACCCCTTAAGGTTGCCGGTGGGAGGACACCCAAATGCAAGCAGAAGTTTGCTATGATAGAACTTGATCTGCTAATGAAAAAAAAACTTGCTCACATTCTTTTTCTGGCCCTATAACACGTAGCGAATTTTGACCTTTCACAGATACCTATGTTCTAACATCTGTATTTAGGGTGAATCGTCAGCTGCCTCGCTAGGTACCAAATTCTCAAGCTGGCCAGGTTGGTAAATATAGGTATCAAGGTGAGCTACCTTGCTTAATGTGTTCTGCCTCCTCATCTGTGCAAGATGCGATGCCCGGCAGCTCACACACGTATCTGCTACCTATCTACACCTGGCATCATCGTGGATATCTGGCAATATTTCCGGGCATGGGCTCATCGATCGACATGGTTCGATGTGTTTTTCCTTCCTTGTCGGAACCGTGAGGTCATCTGTTATTATCAATTATCTCGGGGGTTAGCCGGTGGCTGGATGCACAACATCATGCTCGATCCGATTTTGCCGTTTGAGTCCCGTCTTTGCGTCTTACCTCAGCGCTTATGTTGAATGCACCTATCATAGGTACCTAGCAGGCCGGGGGGGGTTATTCGTAAGGGTTACTGCAAGGGTTACTGGCGTAGTACCCCTTTCTGCAAGTGTGACGGGTGGAATATGCTGTTGCCAATTGGTTATTATGGCTATAAGGCTTTTATATATAAATTCCATACTAATTTAATGTACCTTTTGAATTTCTATATTCCTTTCAATTTGGAAACTATGTTGAAGCGTAATACTATGTCCAAATTTAGAAATAATTACTATAGTATAACGCATCTCCCACTTGACCTGGCCACCCAATTGACCTGGCCACCCCAATAACCTATATAAAACCCCATTATTTCAATCTTTAATAACTTTA